GTCAGAGATAAGCCATCATCAGGGGCGTTTTCAACGACAAATCCTTCCTCTTCGTCAGAAAGGGACATGATTGCCCATGCGGCCTCGCTAAGAATCGGCACTTTTGGGCACCAACGGACTGCACGGCTCTCCATGTTGCCGTCAATGGGATCGCCAATTCGACCCGCCCGGTTCGAGAAGACCGCATGAAGAAGGCCAAAGCCGCGATGACAGCGTCGAAGTGGAAGACTCTTATCGAGGCGGTAAAGGCAGCGAAGCCAGCCTCAGGGGGTGCAGACTCGTCGTGGCCTCCACCAATGGCCCAAATGGTCATTGATCAGTCAACCCCTGAAGGGCGGCAGCTGCTGGCCTTTTCGACTATGCCTCAAGCCCACCCACTCCGCGATTCGACGCTTCTCGATAATTGCGCCAGCACGCACGTTGTCAACAACAGAGATCTTCTCGTGGATGTCCACCCGGCCAGCGCCTCTGATGTCGTTTTAGTCGGTGATACGGCTCTCCAAGTCGTGTGCCGAGGAAAGCGCATCATGAGGAATGCCTTTAACGGCCCTGGCGGACGAAACACACGAGATTTGGTCCTCAACAACGTCGCCTTCGTGCCGGGATTCCATACTAACCTGATCAGCGGCAACGAGCTTCGGGCCCTTGGCTATTGGTCGTGCACCCTCGACGACACGCTGCGCTTTGGGACGATGGCCAGCAACAAGATCATGATGAATATGTCCAGCAAGTACGGTCTTACCGTAGCTGAATACAAGCCTCTTTCATCTTGCTTCTCTCCCAAGTGCTCCAGCGTGTGTGTTTCATCAATTCGAGACGTTAATGCCGACCAACCAAGGCGCCGGCCCTCAAGGGATCCACAACAACCAAGGCTTGCAACGGCAGCTTTGTGGCATCTCAGGGCCGGGCATGCAAACCCGAAGGTCCTTGATCAGATGGTTCCACAAGTCAACGGAGTCCGAATCCAAGGTCCAACAACGGTTCAGTGCATTGGGTGCGCAACGGGTAAAGCGCACACAGTGATCTCCCGCAGAGAGTCGCCCAACCGGTCAAAACAGCCATTCCACCGGGTGTTTTTAGACGTGTTCACCTTCTCTGCGGCTTACAACGGTCATCGCTATGTTCTCCTTGTCACGGATGAATATAGCGGAATGATGTTCTCATGGACGATGGCGTCAAAAACCGAGTGCTTCCACATCATTCGGAACTTCGAGTCATCAATCAAGCGTCACTGTGGAGTTGTGATCTGCAAGATCAGGATGGATAACGAGAGAGCGCTGGTTAACTTACCGGAACAGTGCGACTCGGAATTCCAGTCCTGGGCAAAGGAAGAAGGTATCGAGATCGAGCTGCCGCCCTCCCACACAAAGGAGCCCACAGGGGGAGCAGAGAGACCAGGCGGCATAAACCAACAACGCCTGAGATCAATGCTTGGCGAGCTTCCTCGTAACCTTTGGCCTGAAGCCTATCAGACCGCAGTCAAACTTCACAACATCCTTCCAAGCCGCAGAAATCAATGGAAAACCCCTCAGGAATCATGTGATCAATGGTTCAACAGGCATCTCCGCTGGTTTGGCAAGGTAGGGACAGATATTAACTATGAGAAAGATTTACGACCAGAGTGGAGAGGCAAGTACGCTTTCGGATGTCGAGCGTATCCTCTGATCAACGACTACAAGGCAGGCATTTCCAAAACGCCTTCAAAGTCAACCCCAGAGCACATGTAGGATATTTGGTTGGCTATCACAGCAGCAATATCTACCGCATCTGGGTTCCCAAGCTTCGGCGGGTAATTCTGTCAAGAGATGTTACGTTCAATGAATATCAATTCTTCGACCCTGCAACAGAGGACCAGCAAATCGCGATACCGGAGTTCAAGCCGACCGTTGAGGCTATTGAACTGCCTATCCAACGAGACTGGAACGCGATATTGGACGATTTCCTGCAGGAATTCGATGAACAAATCCTTGAAGTTAACCCCGTCGGTTCGATCTCGGGGGTGGAGGGCCAGAGCACCGCATATACCACGAGATTAGCTATCTCGATGGACGATCAGATGCTTCGTGCAGAGCCAGAACCTGCCCCAAGAAGAGATCTCACGCCGGAGGAACTAGACACGTCGACTACCGCAGAACCTCTGAGAGTTGCAAACTTGGGGCAGATAGCGGCTCACGTGGTCCCCTCCATTTTTGCAGACGAGGGACTAGATGTGCCGACTACCGCAGAACCTGAGGACGCTGCACAACCTCAGGCAGATAGCGGCTCGACCAATCCTCCTTTCCCTATTCCAGAGGACTTTCCGCCGAGGACTAGACACACGGACTACCACAGAACCTTTGGACGCTGCACAACCAAAGGAAGATAGTGGCTCGCGTGGTCCCCTCCATTCACGCCCGAAGCAACACCTAGGCGACCTGGACGAGATTTATCGATGTCGCAGGGTTAGGCTTCGAGGCACCATCTAACGAGGGTTCAGACGGTGTAGGATCATCTGATCACATGTCTGACAGTCCTGTTAGAACGCCTTCTTCGCTTCCAACTTCTTCGCCACACGTGGAGCTTGGCACACCGACCTGTCAGATGAGGCCACATCTGAAGGGAGTACAGGGCGGCCCAACTGCCAGCAACGGCAAGACAGGAAGGAATAGCAACCTCGGTCTCGCCTCCGCAATGCTCCTCGTTATAGCAGCTGCCGCTGGCCCGACGTTAGACCCGCCCTCGTCCGGTGGAGCTATGTGTCCGGCCGCGTCCCCGATCCCTTTGGGCCGGATGGGTTGGGGCGAGTGCTTGCTTACGCCCTTCAGCCGAAATCTTGTTAAACGTGATGCTTGCCCTCCCTCTGAAGTGGCACCATCGACGTGCGGCAGCTTTTTTCCCAGCTGACCGCCTCGCCGACTTCGCTGAGGCAACAATCTTTTGAGTGCTTCTGCTTCTTCCCTCGTGAGTCCCCTCGGACGCCGGCGCCTTCTTCGCCTCGATAGGCCGCAACCTAGGTGCCGCGCCCGCTTGACTTTCGTCGCCCGACCCCGATTCGGCCCTGTGTCCGTTGCGATCATCCTCGCCTCCGCAATGATCCTCGTTGCAGCAGCGGCAGCTCCTACTGTCTCCGGTTCACCCTCTCCTACCACCGACCTAACGTCGCCCCTAGGATTCTCCCCCAAACTTATATTTCCCTTACGGTAAGGGTCTGCGAACAGGCGAGAAATTACGAAGCCTTCGCCTGAGGTGTGATCCAAGGCCACCCCGCTTGCAAGCGATGGCAAACTTATAGTCTCGATAACATGCGGGCAACACGGCAGTACCTGGTCCGGGAGAGGCCCCCCCTCCCCATCTATTCCCCCTTCTCCCCATCCTTCCCTACCTTACCGCCATGTGTCTATCCCTACGGACGGCCTTGACCGGCCCTAGCCCAGGCAATGATGCTGCAGCTCTATCTAGCGCGGCCTTCTCCTGGTCGACTCTCCTGGCAGCTCCTATTTGACCGTTGCCAAAGGGCGTCCAATCGGGCATTATACTAAGACATTCTCCTTGGTATCTCTTACCATCCCCGCCGCGCCGAAACCAGGAATCGCCCTGCCATCCGGCTCCGCTCGCCTAGCACGGTGTCGAGAAGAAGGTCCGAACGAGTTGAGGTCTCTAGGTCTCTCTAGGTAATACAGCTTGAAACCAGGTAAGAAGGGAAGTCTGCAGACTGTTGTTTCTTCTTCCTAGACCACTGAGGGGTCCGGAGGATCTCCTATTCGAACGGGGACCCTTTGAGGAGTCCGGCATAACTATTACTGGCTCGGGGACCTCGAGAGACTGAACTATCGATTTCATAGCTAGAAGAGCTATTCGATCGGGGAGATGGAGCTGATGTTGCTGACGTAGATGACTTACGTGGCCTTCAGTAAGTGGCAAGAAGTGCCCTCTTCCTGATAGAATGTATACTATACCTGAAAACGGGATATCAACTTGGGAGAAGCTTGGAGGGATATAAAAGGGGCTGCTTGAACGGGAGAGATAGAGAAAAAAAAACATCTGATCGGGTGATACTCGACCTTCAAAAAGTCCCTTTATCCACGTTTATGCCCGCTTTTGCTCTCTCCTTCGCGAGAGTTATGAGCCCGGGCGGAGGGGTTACCCCTCCGGGAACTTCCCGGTGACTGCGCACGCACTTCTTCTGGCTAGCCTGGCGCGCACTACCCGAAAGGCCCGTGGTTCGAGTCCCGCCAGCGCAATTGAGCGCGGTTTCAGCATGGGGCCTGCCTATATAAAAATTCCCGCTGTGGTCTAGGATATCCAGGTATCCCGGGACGAATTGACCCGATATCCCTGAGGGGGTGTGTCGCGTACTCTATATGCGTTAATTGACGCTGTCGCTTGTATCTGACAGGCGGCCACATCTTTTTCGTGACACACGGTGGTTTTTAGGTCCGTCTTGCCCGACCTTCCCTGTCAACCCTAACTGCGACCTTCCTTATAGCCGCTCTCCGTGCGCTTGTTTATATTATATGATGTTCGGTCGACTTCTTCTACCCCAACTGAAGACGGCGTGCTAGTCATCATACGGCAAGGCGAGGAAGGCCGGGACTCGGTTCCGTGTGTCGACCTGGCTTGCTTTATCCTCCTATATTTCGGCCTTCCAACACGCCCCTTGTGTATGTCCTTCCGCAATAATGCCCCCCTTTATGCATTGGGCCTCTATTCTCCCGGACCTTCCGGGCTTCCTCTAGACCTATCGGCAGACGAGTCTGCCGACAGCCCTGCCGGACTCTTAAGTCCGCGTCACCCTTGGTGCCTGACTGGAGCCCAGCTTCGCGACACCACTGCGTATCCCTTCGACATCTAGGCAAACACTTGCCGTGGCAAAACTCCTCACATTTCCCGGCCAATCTATATCACCCTTGGTTTTTTTCTACGTACGTTTACGCTCGATCTCCTCCTTACTCCGCTCTTAACGCCAGGCAGCGGTCGTTCTAGGGGGGCGCGACGGGTCTATCGACCGGCCCAGGTGCACAATGTCTTCCTCTCTACATCCTACCGACCTGCCCGCACCGCACCTCCGAAAGCCGCTCGATAGCCAAACCGGCGCTGGCGGTGATATGTCCGTGATGCTTTTCGTCCAAACCGACTGCCCCGCCAGGTTTGCCCACCTGGACGAACACCGCATCAAGGGACTTAACGCCGAAGCCATGGCCCGCGTCTTGCTGCCTCCGCCCGCGTGGCTGCTCACAGCGGAATATGCGCCCCTGCGGTCGGGTGCCGACAGTTCCCCAACCTTCGTCTTCTTTAGCCTTAACCTCTCGATTTACGGTCAGTCGATTCTTGACACCGACTGGACCGAGCAGTGGTTCTTCATGAACGGCCGCGTCCACCCTACGCCCTTGCGTGGAGGTCGAACAGCGCGACGGCCTGGAGTCTGACACGGGCGGCACCGTTCTCTATACCATGCCCGCCCTCGTCGTCCGCGACCAGGGCTACCAGCCGTAGGCCGGGTCCCATTCCCCCGCGCGTGGCAGCGAGGAAATGGGTAGCTAAATCTGTCCTAAAGCGTTCTTCCTAGGCTCTTTGCCTCTATGGACGACTTCCCCCACGTCCCGCCTGTTGTTTCCTTCACCGGCCTCGTCGTCGGCACCGGCCACTCCTGCTGCGGAGGGACCTGCTGCCAGGCCTAGACACCGCCCAACTTAGATGTTGCGGCTTCGTCCACCTATCTACCTACGTCGCCCCGGGAACCCCGATAAGATCCCTTTAAGGGCTTCCACCTTCCAGGCCTTCGTCATCTTCCCTATTCACGCCAACCCCTGGGCCGTCCTATGTAAGAAGATGGCCGAGAGGCGAAACTCTTACTTTCAGCCTAATGTCCCCTTTACCTGCACAGGCAAGGTCGCTGGCCTGCTGGACCACAGCGTCATGGTTCACCCGCCGGGCTCTGACCGTGACTTTGTTTTTATAGTCGTCCCGGATTCCTGGACTTTTCTCGACAAGTCGTCCACCTCTATGGCTGCGATGACACCGCTACCTCTACGCCACCAAAACGACAACAGTCCTCCGCTTCTGCCGCTTTTCATAATATGCGCGCTGCCTCTATGTCCGTGGTTATCCCTAGCACTCTCCCAATTAGTCCTCCGTCCTTAGCCGCGGCTGCGCCTTCGACTTGCTCCCCCACGCCGCCCCAAAAGCGCCATTATCCTGAACCTGCCGATACGCCGACGAAGCGACCGTGCCTGACGCAACAGGCCTCTGTGCCTTCTTCTTCCCCTATCCCTGGCCCCTTGGCTACTCAATCCTTCTCGGTCTCGGCTGTCTCATCCATTCCCGACCCGGATGTATCATCTAAACAGGGTCCCGCCTCGGAAACCCGCCCCTTGATTCGATTGTCGCCCACCCCGTAGCCTCACCGGCCCGCCCGCCTCGAAACCGTCACCCAGCTAAGAGAACGATAGATATAGAATAATAAGGCAAGTTTACTGTCGGCTGGGATTTCTTGAACAGCTCATGTTAGTTGACCTTTATTTTATCTACTCTTATATTACTTGATAGAGGCCTTGACCTGGCACATTATGTCGTGAATCGTCACTTACACCTACCAAACTAAACCTCGTCCCTTCGTATATCGTCCTAACTTCCTATCACCCCTCCCAACTTTGAGTCTTTCCTGCCTCCCCCTTTCCTACCTTGAGTCTTCCTAACTTTCCAACCTTAACTTAAAGTCTTTTTCTTTCTTTCTAACTTCCCCCTCTTAACTAATCTTAAATCTTCCTAGCTTCCCTTTCTGAGCTTGGATCTTTTAGCTTGAGTCTTTCCAAACCTCCCCTTCCAACCGCAAGTCTTTCCAACCGCAAGTCTTTCGTTCCTCAAGGCTCTTTGCGCAACCCTGCTGGGTTGCCTTCTCCTGTGTGCCTTGAGGAACGAAAGGCTCTTCTGGACGCGAAAAAAAACCCAAAAACTTCAAAACTCATTCACCCTCGAAAACCTCGGCTTCTAATTGGCCCAAGATTTCCTTCTTTCGTCTTAGCCCCTCCTTGCAAGCTTCCTTCTTTTATTGGTTGTTTGGTTGTGTTGCTTTAGCACGTTGGCCGAGGTCCGAACCGCGACCTCTCCCGCATCCCTACTTAATACGAGCACGATGCTGTCGAGCGTCCGGCATCACCATGGCTGCACATATATGCCCCTGGAGCTTAAAGAGTCGACGTCCAGCCATCCCGAGGCCTCGCGAACAGTCTTGTCGCTCAGCTCACCCAGTCTCGCTTGTGCGGCGGTCATCTCCTCTGGAACTCTATTGCCCACCAAATCTCTATCCCGCACTTTAGAGACGAGCATGATGCCATCCAACGTCGGGCAGCGGGACAGCTGCACGTACAGGCTGTACGGGTCGCACTGCGAGGATACGGCGCGTCCATCGATGTTTGACGTCCGCGTCCCCCGCAGCTCCAGAGCTACACGCTCGAGCGTCCTGCCCTGCACTTTATAGTCTGTGCACGCGAAGGCCGCCGTTCAGGGCAGACCCTTTCGGCTGACGTCGTTCTGCTGCCACGGCCTCTTTCGCTGGCATTGTATCTTGACGGTCATGGGCGTCAACAAGATCGTTCCTGGCGGCATCCCGACGGAGTGAATGTCTTTCGTTGTCTCGGACTCCAGCATTATCCCCGCCGGCGGCCCGAAATGGACCGTCATGTCTGCCGAGATGCGATGCCCCGGGTACGACTTGTCGAAACCTCCAGCGCCGTGTAGCTGGCACCGTTCACCAGCTTTAGCCCCTGATGGGTGTTGTGGTTCACGACGACCGGCATCCCCGGCACGAACATGAAGACGGCCGGCACCGGTATTGCGCTATCGTCGCCCTGGTTCAGCATCATGATGGCCTCCTCCTCCGTCGGCAAGCCCTCCTTCCATTTATGGCCGGATATGAAGATGCGCAGCGTCGACCGGTGCTGGATCTGGAACGCCAAGCTGGCCTCCATGTTGAGGTTCCACCGGTTCCTATTCAGCGGCGTCACCACAGTGATGCCTGATGCCCACGGGATCCGCCTACCTTCCTGGTAGCATCTTGAGTTGAGGAGGTCCAGATCCGTGCGGTCCTGCGCGCCCAGTCGGATTCGCTTTAACAGCCTCTGCAGCTCTGGGTCGCCAGCGGCGCGCACTTGCTCGTCGAGCATGACGACGGTCGTGAACCTCTTCCACAGCGCGTGCGCCTTGTCGTGCTGGTGCCGTTGCTCGGCCTTGAAAGAGTTGTCCATGTCCCACGAGACGGCCGTGCTGGGGAGGAGGATCGACCGCTCTTGGACCGGGCGGAACTGGTGGAAGTCTCCGCAGAAGAGGACAATGGGGATCCCTCCAAAATCCTTGTTCGACCCGCGCAGCCGGCAGAGCTGCTCGTTGACCGCGTGGAGCGTCCGCGCACCGAGCATGCTAACCTCGTCGACGACAAGCACGTCCTTCTCCTGCCAGTCCATCCGGGATTGCCCGTGGACGAACCGCTCCGCCTGGTTCGGCATTCGCAACCCGTCGAGATCCCTGGCCATATTTGCGACTGCCGCGAGATCTTTGGAGAACCCGCAGGCGGGTGGATCGTGATGCCATTGATCCGTGCTGCTGCCGTCCCTGACGTCGCCGTTATTATCACGCGATTCGATTGATCCTTGGACGCGAAGAGTTCGACGAGCGCCTCGATGACTCGCGACTTGCCCGTTCCGCCCTCTCCGCCGACGAATTGGCATAGCTGACACCCGTTGCCTTTCTCCCCGCGCCGTATGAGGTCAAGCTGACGGCATATGATTAGGAAGGCAATCGCCTGCTTCTTGTTCAGCGTGAACCTCGCTACCAGGGCCTTACCCGCCTCGATAAAGGAGGTTGAGGCGCCGAGCCGGATCTCCATTCCCGCGCTGGCCTCTACCGTTTCCTCGAGGTCCGCCGCCGTCATCAGGATATCGTCATCCCCGAAACCCGTGAGCACGCTGCGCACCGCCGCCCGACGATCAGTCACCTCTGCCGGGGGCACGCTTTGTATTCCCGGATCATCTTCTCCTCTCCTGGACGCACAGGTTTGCTGCGACTTTATGGCCCTAACCTGACTCTGCGGCGGTATGGTGGCTCCGGAGGATGCCCGCCCCGGGATGTTGATTCGTCTCGGGCCCCGTTCGGATAGTATTGCGGCCTGGAACTCGGAAGACGACGAAAACGCCAGTTGCTGGAAGCGGCTGAGCTCCTGCATTATCGCTATGAGCTCTGGCGAGCCGGCCGTGATTTGGTTCGCCCCGATCGAGCTTCTGACAACGTCGATTAGACGCGTCGTGTTTCCGTACTGTCGGCCTGGTATACCGATCCGGGCTCGACACCCGCCTCCGCGGTGCCATCCTCGTCTAGATAGACTGCCGTGGAGTCGCCGTCACCGGATGAGGCTGCCCACTGCTTGGCGTCCCGCTTTGCATCTTCGGCCGACCGTCGCAGCAACTGCACGTTATCGACGTAACATGATATCCTCGGGACCAGAGCTGCTCGTTCCCTCCCCCATATGCGGTTGATGTCGCCGCTTTCTTCCCCTAAGAAGAGCTCCCAAGGCACGAACAGCGCAAGATGCTGCACAGCCGCTCTTCGACGTGGAAATTAGCCTCCTCGACCCGGCGCCCCTGGTCCGTCAACGACAAACGCACCTTCGGTAGCATGATCCTTCGTCGTCTTCGTCGAAATCCTTGCTCAAATACCCGTCGAGGCAGACCATGGCCTGCTTGCCCGGTCGCCTGAGCACCTGCACCCAACTGCTTCCTGGAGCCCAGCCGCTCTCAAGCGGGACCTCGCCCCAGGCGGCGGGCCTCTCGTCCCCGTCGTTGCGCTTCAGCCTGACTAGCGAAATGTAATCGTAGAGACATAGCCCTCGAAGGACATCTCCCCGGTGACGATATGCCTCGACGCGGCAAATCCTCTGGCCTGCTTCCTCGACGAGTATTGACTCGTCCACGGAACCATCTGCAGTGGCTGCGCCGCTTTCTCGTCGAAGGTGCGGCCATTGTCGGAAGACGTGCCAGTAGAGCACCGAAACGTTCAGGAACGCCCAGGTACTGTTATTCGTCAGTTCAGTCGGGTATCCCAGAAGATCCGCAATAACCTCGACCTGCGATAACGGCCTCTCCGTAAACACGCGATTCGCCACCTTCATTAAGAATTTTCGTGTCTTATTTTGCCTGCCATCGTCCCCGGCACCTTCGCCTCCACGAACCTCCGCGCCGTCGGCCATTTCGTCGCCTGCTCTGGGAGGCAAGAGGTCCGCGGCCGCGACGACGCGCTTCCACACGGGGTCCTCTACCTTGGTCACATAGTTAGTGACGTAAAAGACGAGGGCCATGGTCTTGCGCTGTGTGGCGATGAAGGATATGTCATGGTTGTGGCGAAGCCCCACGGCAATCGCCTTGTTCCACCGATTCACCATGCTGTGCGACCTCCGAATCCGCAGCACGCCGTCTCCCGTGAAGGCCGTCTCGTCGACCAGTCCCCATGGCGCCTTGAAGCGGCATAAATCACCCTGCGCCCCTTTTTCCCAGCGAGTACTTGACACAGGTCGGGCTATGGGTATGGATTTGCGTCGCGCCGGCACAGAAGTTCGCTTCTTCGTCGAACGAGGCTGAGAATTGCCGTTCATCGCCTAGCAATTGCGATATATCTAACGTCACCGATCGCTCTGCCTGGATTGCGCAGAAACCTTCCTGGTCGAGATCCTGTCCCATTCGTCAGCATTCCTCTCGCTCGGGTTTAACTGAACGGGGGACATAGGCCAACACGCGGCCCCCTGCACCATACCTCGGAAAAGACGCTGTCGACGTATCTGACGATGCGTTCTCGGTATGCCGCTTGATCCTCGCCGTGGATATCGACAAGCATCGAGCTTAGATGCGCGTTTCCTGCAGCCAGAGCAGTCCGTGAACATGAAGCGCCCTCGCTCGTTGGTCTCAACGGCGCCGTAATAGTGGCTGATGCGCCCGAATACCGACTCCTCGCCCACTCTGACGTAATTTTCGAAGAACAACGTCATCTCTCGGTGGAAGAATTCGGCCGAGCTCAACGGGTCCGAGATGGCCAGCCGCGCACGTTTGAATGCCATGTCGAGGCTTCTCAGAAATGCCTCGGCCGCTTCAGGATCACGTGTGCGGTACGCCGCCAGTCTCAGCTTCACCGGGTTCGTGATGTCGTTCGGGTTGAGCGTGAACCATATTGCAGGCACGCCACGACACAAGATGAGTGACTGGATCTTGCGTCGCATGCTCAGACGGAGTTCCCTCGACATGGGCTGCCGGTAGCCGTATAGCGAAAGGCATCTTAGGAGCTCCTTCACGCCATCATCGGTGGTCTTGCCCAGGCTCTCCAACTCCAGCCTGGCCGCCGCCAACCTATCTGCGGTCAGCGACTGTACGATGCGCTCTACCTCGGGGAAGTTCTTCCGCGTCACGCTGAGCATGCTGACACGACGATTCCTCGACCGCACGTCCATGTTGAAAACGAGAAACGAGAAGATGGCATGCGTCGCGAATCGGCCACCATGGCGCCGCAGCACGATGCCGGCCCACGTCCGAAGGCTCATGTTCCGAGACGACAGGAGATCTCGCGCGGCCGTCTCGTCTCCGACTGCCGTAGCGCGCGAATTGACCGTCCCCTCCGACCCTAGGATGACTTCCTCCGCCAGCCGTGGTCCTCCACATCCGAACGGCAATAGGGTGGGAAAGGTCTTCGCGAAGAACGAGGCGTCCAGCGAGTCGGCGAATTCATCTCCACGACCGACGTGAATGTACGGCTCACGGACATCCATACCCCCTCGACCCGCCCCCGCCGACCTTATCCATGCCCTCGGGCCCGGCCGGTCGTCCTCGGCCCCGTCGCCGCCCACGGCATTGCAAGCAAAGCGGACCTTCTCCGCATCCGACACGCCCGGCGGTCCGTCCAACGCAAACATGCCGGAAGAGGTTATCTCGTTGATCATTTTGGCCCCGTCTTCGGGCACGGCATCATTAGCCCCGTCCGCTCCGCCCCTCAAATTCTCGACTCGGCTTGTCCGATACGTCTTGTCCCTGGCGGAGCCGAGCAAGGACTTCCTCGATCTCTGCCGGACCATCGTCGTCCATGGCCCGCTCTGCGGGCGGCACAACCTGTGCCGTTCGCGTCTTCTCCCACGCAGACGGTTCGTTCCGCTCCATGCGTCCGTACACCATCGACGGCACGCCGTGCGACGGGTTCCCCAACTATCCATTTCCGCCTTGTCGATCTCAATGTCGGCGTAATGGGGATTGTTCTTCTTCAACCAGACAAGCGCTCTCTCGACGACTTGACGCCTCACCGACAAGAGACCCGACAAATCGCTCGGTGCTGGCTTCTCCGCGCCCTGCCACGAGACATGGATCTCGTCCATTGTTTGCAAGAGCGGGTGCGGGAGCACCTTTCTCGCCAGCTCCTGCACGTTGTTTGGGAACACCGTGATGTGGCCCTTGACGTGTCTCGGATACCTCACGGCCTGCCGCTGCCCGCCCGGAATGCTATACCTCGTCACAAAGCCATAACACGAGTTCAGCGAGATGAGCTTTTCTTCGACCGGCGTCAGGCCCTTGAGCTCGTCGGGGAACATGTGCTCACAGCCGAGGCGACTGTGAAGGTGGACCGCCGGCGACAGGCTCCCGCGCCCCAAACATCGAGCGCACTCCACACAAACCGAGACGGCCTCGCCCTCGGAAAGCAACTTCGACACCCAAATGGCGACCGGCCGCCTTTTGGAACGCTGCTTGACCTCCATTGGTCCCATGTGCTCTCCTCAACTCCTTCCTTGTGCACTTGCGGTAGCTGGCATGCAGGTCATTATCGGCAAGGTGCTCACATCGTGGAACGCCCGATAGAACTTTCCCACCGTCGATACCTTCCTCTCATGCGGTACTGGTGTGCACCAAGTTTGCTCGTTGGACAGCCTCTCCTTCACGGCGAATTCCTCTTCAAGGTACCGCAAGGCACTGGCCAAATCCTCCGCCTGCAATTCCTTCCTCCTCTGCCCCGGATGGCCGCCCCGTATGCGTTTCGTCAGAGACCCGTCACGGCCGGGGTGGCGCCTCCTCTTTCTCTGCTCCACGGGCCGCGAAGGTCTCGCCGCCTCGTCTCGTCTCGGCCGACCCTGTTCTCCACCTGTGGTCTGGCGTGATGGCCGCGCTGACAACAGTCCGAATGACTGCCCATCTCCTGCTGCCTCGCCCTCTCTTTGGGCTGGATTGGCCGAACCGGGTACTCCTGATATTCCCAGACGGACGCCTGACAGCGGTTGCTGGCCGACCTTCTCTTCCCGGGCTACCTTGGTCTCCCTCCGGCCCTTCCGCATTCTCCATTTCTTTAGGTCTGATTGGCCTTGGCGAATGCTGACTCCCGTTTTCCAGCCGAAATCTCATCATCATTGTTGATCCTCCATCCTGGCGCTTTCTCCCCACACCAAGTGTCCGCTCAATAGGACCGTTCGGCCTCACCAGTACGTCCCCGCTAGATTGCCTAGGCCCAACGGTCTCAGGTCCACTTACGGCCACGACAGACGCTCTCCCACTGTCTAGGTCGTCGTCTCGCCCGACCAAGGCCTTCGGGGGACTTGGTGCTTGCATACCAACGGTGGCCGCTGCGCTCCTCCCATCACCCCAATCCTCCTCCTCTTGGGCAAAATGTGCCGGTACGAGATCGAGTCGTTACCCTCGCACTGCAATACACCGCCGACGGGTGGCTCCAGACTCCACACGGCTTCGTACCCAGCCCCGGCATCGCAGCGTCCGTGTCCATACTCACGGGCTCGTCACGCACGTTTATCGGTGCTAAACGTCGTGCTGGCCGCACCTTCGAAATGCCATCGTTCAGATCTGATGTTCCCCTTCGCCGCCGACCGCCTCGCCGACTGCCCCTGGGCGACGCTCCTTTGAGTGCTTCCGCTTGTTCTCCCCGGGAGACCTCCTCGGCCGGCGCCTGCTTGGCCTGGATAGGCCGAAACCTGGATACCACGTTCGCCTGTCTTTCATATTCCGGCACCCGCTTCAACCCTTCATCCATTGCACTCAATCTCGCCTCCGCGGTACCCCCCGTTGCAGCAACGGCCGCTGCTGCCGTCACTATCTCGCCTTCTCCCCCCACCGATTGAACCTTGCGGCTAGGATTCTCCCCCATGATGATGCTGTCTTAACGCCGAAGATCTGCAAACGGACGATGGATCGCAAAGCTTTCGCCCGGAAGATTCTCCCAGGTTGTCTCGCTTTCTGGTAATGGTGCGCTCCGCCGTATCTGGCATTCTTCCTACCAGCGGTTTCCCAAAGCCCTATTGTCTTTATATCACCGAGGCAACACGGTAATGCTTGTCTGAGAGGGCCCCCTCCCCCCTTTTCGGACGGCCTCGACCAGCCCATGCGCAGGAACTGACACCGCAACCCTATCCTGAGCGACCTTCAACCGCTCTGCCCCCCCGCTTCCTCCGATTCCATCGTCGCAAGTGCGCGTTTGAACAAACGTCGTATTAGACTTTCTTTTTCTCCACTGTCCATGCTGCAGCAGGCAAAGGGGTAACCCTGCCATTTGGCTCAGCTCACCCGGACGATAGCTTCCAACACCGTCATCCCCAGCTTTCCCCCTCAATCCTAACAGCAACGTTCCCCAGACCGCCTCTTCGTGTCACTCATTCGTGGCGTTGAGCACCATGTGCACCATTCTTCTCCTCATGCTTGTCATGACAAAGTTGCTCGCCCCTCCCGTCCTTTCCGTAATCCCTTCAAAATACAATAAGCTCGTTCACTCTCCGCTTCCTACTTTCCTGCTCCACGGTTGCAACAGTCGTTTGCGTGCGGGACAAAACACTGATCAACCCCACGTAGATGCAGTGATACACCATGTCTTCCTCTTCACCTCTGCCCCACCACACCTTCGAAGGCCGCTCGACAGCCAGAGAGACGCTGGCGGTGAAATGTCCATGATGTTCTTCGTCCAGCCGGATTGCCCTCCAGATTCGCCCACCAAGACGAGCATCGCATCAGAGGCCTCAACGCCGAGACCATGGCCCGCGTCTTCCTGCCTCCTCCGTCGTGGTTGCTCACTGCGGAATATGCGCCTCTCCGATCGGATACCGACGACTCCGCGACATCCATCTTCTTCAGCCTCAATCTCTCAATTTACAATCAGCTAGTTGTCGCCTCCGAATGGACCGAAGAGTGGTTTTTCATGAATGGCCGCGTCCATCCCTACGCCCTTGCGTGGGAGGTCGAGCAACGAGACGGTCTTGAGTCTGGCGCCGGAGGCATCCTTCTCTACACTATGCCCGCCCTTATCATCCGCGACCAAGGCTACCAGCCGTAAGGACTACCCAATTCCTCCGCGCACACCTCGAGCACTAAATTTAGCTGAAATGGGCCTCAAGCGTTCTTCCTAGGCTCTTTGCCTCCATGGACAGCTTCCCCCGTATCCCCCCCATCGTTTCCTTCACCGGGCTCATTGTTGGCCCCGGCCACTCCCTGCTACGACAGGACCTTCTGCCAGGTCTGGACGCCACCCAGCTGAGGTGCTGCGGCTTCCTCCAGCTTTCGACCTATATCACTCCCGGATCCCTGACAAGATCCCTCTCAGGGCTTCCACCCGTTTCAGGTCTTCGTCATCTTCCCCATCCGCGCCAACCGTGGGCCATCCTTTGCAAGAAGATGGCCGAGAGGCGGGACTCTCAATTTCAGACTAATATCTCCTTCACCTGCACGGGCAAGGTCGCTGGCCTCCTCGATCACCGCGTCATGGTCCACCAGCCGAGCTCCGACAGAGACTACGTCTTCATCGTCGTCCCGGATTCTTGGACTTTTCTCGACAAGACCGCCACCACCGCAGCCGCGTCGGCCTTAGCCCTCACATCGCCACCGAAGCGGCAACCGTCCTCCGCTTCGGCGGCCTTCCAGGATGCCCGCGCTGCCTCTTTCTCTGTCGCTACACCTGGCGCCCTCCCGCCGAGTCCTCCGCCTTCGGCTTCGACTTCGGCTTCGGCCGATCCCGTTACACCGCTGCAGAAGCGTCCTTGTCCCGAGCCCGCCGACACGCCAACGAAGAAACCGCGCCTGTTGCAGCTGGCCTCAAAACCTTCCTCATCGGCCGCCACTGGAAGCTCTGCCACTCAATCGTTCTCGCTTTCCGCTGCCTCTTCTTCCTTCGAGCCGGAGACGATGAGACAGAGTCCTGCCTCGGGAACCGTCTTGGGACCCGCCGTTGATTCGATCGTTGCCTACACGTCAGACTCATCGGCCCGGCCGCTCAGAAACCGCCACCCAGGCAAAAGGACAATGGAAACAGAGTAACTGCTTGATATAATAGTCTACCGATATAAGTTACAACATTCACAGAAAAGTGATTCAGTTCCATGCTTTATCTTGCTTCTTAGCAAATATCTACACCGAGCTGCAATCTTACAACACTCCGTCCACAACTTCGGATCTCGTCATCATTCCCTTCCGGACCTTCCCTCTCTAGTGATCTTCTCTCGGCACGCATGCCTTTTTGTGAACCTTCCAGTCCGCCTTTTGGTGTTCTTTCCCGCAGTATGCCACTGCATGACATCTGCCGCAGCGACTCACGCCCGCGGTCGTCCCGCATACTTTGCACAACGTGACCTCCGTGCAACCAGTGCGTCCTAAGAACCCGTCGCGTGTTTCGTGCTCTTGCCGCATTTCCCCCATCATCAGTTGCATTTCCTGTCTCATTTCCACCTCGCACTGCCCGCTTCCGCATAAAGATGTGACCCAAACTATAATGCGAGCTTCGTCCGCGTGCAGCAAAGATATTGGACTCTGTAGGATATCTGTCGCAAACCGCCCGCAGCATTCGCAGAAAGCCCCCGACGCGCTGCGACATCTTGATTCATGCTCCTTCATGAGAGGCATCATGGCCTGTGCAAATTGTTCCTTGTATTCAGCATCCTCTCCGGCGCGGTTTGCGCCGGTGATGAGGCTCCGGCAATGCCGTGGCTGCGTATGAATTGCTTGGCACCGATTTGGCACATGAATTCGAATCGAACCGTGGACGTTGCCATAACTGACTTGGCCGTGATTTAGATGCTATGGGTGATAATGCGTAGGTAGGTACGTATGATGAGAAGGACGGGGAAAAGCCCGTGGCTCCGGATCGGATTCTACTTGTCCGATCTATTGTATCGGCTCTTCCACCCATCCCTTCTCACCTTCGCCTTGCTTTTCTTGACACGTTGTGCTGCATGACACGTTGGCGCGCGCTCCCAAGGCCTCTACGTTTCGCCCCTAACCGGCCGTCGCGCAATGCAAGCTACTGCGGGAAGGAATTGCCGGTTACCTAGTGCCGCAACCACCACAAAAACCTTCAAATAGATGACTCCCTCTCCAACGTCATCTCATCCAACGTCATTTCATGTTAACTCAATCCTCCAACTTTCGTTCCGAAAGGCTCTTTGCGCAACCCCCGTTGGGTTGCCTCTCCTGTGCCGCCCTCTGATTCGTCGTCTGCCAACCTCTGATTCGTCGGTTGCCGGGGCCTCTTCTCTGATTCGTCGCCTGCCGCCCTCTGATTCGTCGGTTACCGCCCTCTGATTCGTCGGTTGCCGCCCTCTGATTCGTCGGTTGCCGGTGTCTTTCCTCTGATTCGTCAGCTGCCGCCATCTGATTCGTCGGCTTGCTCTCCTCTTATTGGTCTGAAAATACATCGCACTCGTCCTCGTCGCCCCCTTCGCCCGTCCTCCTGGCCCTTGCTTGACCTATACTCCTTTTACGTCGGTAGCTACCGCTAGCCTAGAGTCGGCCGGCCCGTCTCTCTTCCTCTTGGCTGTACTGTATATGTGTGCGAAAATGTAAATCTCCGCCTTTTTGCGGTTCGGCTATATTGGGCACGCACCCGTCCATGTCCGTTAACTACTCTTCGGATTTTTGATCTTGTTTCCATCTACCTACGTTGCGCCTTCCCATACCTCCAATGATATCTTCGCCCCCTGATTATGTGCTAGGATAGTCGTCCTAAGGGCAGGATCTCCTCCGCTGCGAGCGAGACGCCTACGCCGCCCGCGTTACCCGCTGAGCCAGTCGGCCGCCTCCCGCGTTGTCTGCCTGCTAAGCTCCTCTAGCCGGGCCTGCGCTGCCGTCATCTCCTCGGGCACCCGGTTCCCCACCAGGTCCCGCTCCCGCACCTCCGATACGAGCATGATGCCGTCGAGCGTCGGGCACCGCGACAGCTGCACGTACAGGCTGTACGGGTCGCACGGCGACGGCACCGCCCGCCCCTCGACCGTCGTCATCCTCGCCCCCGCAGCTCCAGCGCCACGCGCTCCAGCGTCCCGCCCTGCACCTTATAGTCTGTGCAGGCGAAGGCCGCCGCGCACGGCAGGCCCCTCCGGCTGACGTCGTTGCGCTGCCACGGCCGCTTCCGCTGCGCCGTGATCTTGACGCTGATGGGCGTCAGCAGGATCGTCCCGGCCGGCATCCCGACGAAGTGGAAGCCCCTGGTCGTCTCCGAGGCCAGCACGATGCCCGCCGGCGGACCGAAGTGCATCGTCAGCTCCGCCGACACCCGGTGGCCGGGGAAGGCCCGGTCGGGGATGACGTCTACCGCCGTGTACCCGGCGCCGTTCACTAGCTTCAGCCCCTGGTGCGTGTTCTGGTTCACGACGACCGGCATGCCGGGCACGAAGACGAAGACGGCCGGGACCGGCGTCGCGCTATCGTCGCCCTGGCCCAGCATTAACAACGCCTCCTCCTCCGTCGGCAGGCCCTCCCTCCACTTGTGCTCGGACAGGAAGACGCGCGCCGCCGTCCGCCGCCGCGCCCGGAACGCGAGCGCCGCCTCTAGGTTGAGGTTCCAGCGGTTCCGGTTGAGCGGCGTGACCACCGTCAGGCCCGTCTCCCACGGGATCCGCCTGCCCGGCCGGTGGCACCTCGAGTTGAGCAGCTCAAGGTCCGACCGGTCCTGCTCCCCCCGGCGGATGCGCCCGAGCAGCCGCCGCAGCTCCGGGTCGCCGGCGGCCCGCATCTGCTCGTCTAGCATGACGACCGTTGTGAACCGCCGCCACAGCGCGTGCGCCTTGTCGTGCTGCCGCCGCTGCTCGGCCGCGAACGCCCCGTCCTCGACCCACGCCACCGCCGCGCTCGGCAGCAGGATCGACCGCTCCTGCACCGGCCGGAACTGGTGGAAGTCGCCGCAGAAGATCACCACCGGGATGCCGCCGAAGTCTCGCGCCGACCCCCGCAGCCTGCACGTCTGCTCGTTGGCGGCGTGCAGCGTCCGCGCCCCGAGCATGCTGACCTCGTCGATCACCCACACCTCCTTCTCCTGCCAGTCCATCCGCGACCGGCCGTCGACGAAGCGCTCGCCCTGGCCCGGCAGCCGTACGCCGTCTACGTCCCTCGTCGCCCCTCCCGCCTGGCCGCCCTGACCGACCGTAAGGCCGCAGGCCGAGTGTAGTGTGATGCCGTTGATCCGTGCTGCCGCCGTCCCCGACGTCGCCGTAACCAGCAGCCGGCTCGATAGGTCCCTCCGGGCGAGCAGCTCGACGAGCGCCTCAATGACGCGCGACTTGCCGGTGCCGCCCTCGCCGCCGATGAACAGGCAGAGCTGAGCGCTGCCGTCGCCGCCTGCTTCGTCGCCCTGCCGGATTCGGTCGAGCTGCCGACACACGATTACGAGGGCGATGGCCTGCTTCTCGTTGAGCGTGAGCTGCCCCGCCAGCTCCCTGCCGGCGGCGACGAACGAGCTCGACGGGCCGAGCCGCACGCGCATCCCCGCCGCCGTGCCAGCGTCTACGTCGCCGTCGGCCGCCGTTACGTCCATGTCGTCCTCGCCGAAGCCCCCCATCACCCCGCGAAGAGCCGCGCCGCGGTCGGCCCCGACTCCCGCCGCCGCCCCGCCGCCCTGGATGCCCTGGATGGCTCGCTCCCGCTCCCGCGCCGCGCTCCTCTGCTGCGACTTGATGGCCCGCACCTCTTCTTGCCGTGGCAGCGCCGCCCCCGAGAGCTCCGAGCCCGGTAGGTTCACCCGCCTGCCTGCCCTCTCCTCCGCCACTACCGTCGCCGCGAGCTCGGCCGCCGACCCCAGCGCCGACTGCTGGAACCGGCAGAGCTGCTGCGTCATCGCTAGCAGCTCTGTTGACTGCGCCGTGACTTGTCCCGCGCCGGCGGCATTCCGGACGACGTCGATGAGCCGGGCCGCGTCGCCCGCCCCGCCGGCGCGGTACGCCTCCTCGCCCCCCTCGGCCGCCCCCCTGCCTTCGTCGCCGGCCTGCGGCACCGTCGTACCGCCCTCCTCGGCCGTGGCGGCCCACTGCTTGGCGTCGCGCTTCGCGTCCTCCGCCGACCGCCGGAGGAGCTGCACGTTGTCTGCGAGCCGCGCGACCCTCGGCGCCAGCGACTCCCGCGCCCGCGCCCAGATGTCGTCGATGTCGCCTGCCTCCTCGCCGAGGAAGGACTCCACGGCACGAATAGGGCCAGGTGCTGTACCGCCGCCCTAGGCGCTGTTAGCCGATGCCCCTAGCCGCGCTGCCTTCCCCTTGGGCGCTCCCCGTCTTATGGTGCGCACCTTCGGTGGCACGACTCGTCGTCTCCCTCGCTAAACTCCTTGCTGAGGTATCCGTCGAGGCATACGGTCGCCCCGCTACCCGGCCGCCTAAGCGGGGTACCTCGCCCCAGCCCGTCCCACCGTCGGCACCGCGGCCGTTTCGCTTTAGCCTTACGAGCGATGCGTAGTCATAAAGGCAGAGGCCCCGCAGGAGCTCGCCCCTGTGCCGGTAGGCCTCGACGAGGGGGATCCTCGGGCCGGCCTCCTCGACGACGACCGTCTCGTCCGGCGCGTCGCCCGTCGCCTCCGCGCCGCTCGCCCGTCGGAGGTGCCGCCACCGGCGGAAGACGGCCCAGTAGAGCTGGTTCGCGTTCACGTACGCCCACGCCGAGCTGCTGCTAAATTCTGCCGGGTACCCTAGGAGGTGCGCGATCACCTCGACCTGCGACAGCGGCCGCTCCGTAAATACTCGGTTCGCCGCCTTGAGCAGGAACGTTCTCGTCTTGTTCCCCCCTCTGGGGTCCGCCGCCGTCGCCACCCCTTCGGCCCCGCCCCATCGGCCGGCGTCGCGGTCGGCGCCACTTCCGTTGCCCTCTCCCGTCGGCTCTAGCGCGGGGAGGAACTCGGCCGCGGCGGCCACACGCTTCCACACGGGGTCCTCTACCTTCGTCGCATAGTTGGTAATGTAGTAGATTAGGGCCATGGTCTTGCGCTGCGTCGCGATGAACGAGATGTCGTGGTTGTGCCGTAGCCCTACTGCCATCGCCCGGTTCCACCGGTTCACCATGCTATGCGTCCGCCGGATCTCGAGCACCCCGTCCGCCGTCAGCGCCGTCCTCTCCACCAGCCTCCACGGCGCCTTGAACCGGCAAAGGTCCCCCTTCCGCGCCCCCGCGCCGAGCGAGTATTTTACGCAGGTCGCGCTATGCGTGTGGATCTGCGTCGCGCCGGCGCAGAAGTTGGCCTCCTCGTCGAAGGTGTCCGTGAAGCTCCAGCGTCCCGCCCTGCACCTTGTAGTCGGTGCAGGCGAAGGCCGCCGCGCACGGCAGGCCCCTGCGACTGACGTCGCTTCGCTGCCACGGCCGCTTCCGCCGCGCGTCGATCTTGACGCTGATGGGCGTCAGCAGGATCGTCCCGGCAGGCATCCCGACGAAGTGGAAGTCCTTGGTCGTCTCCGAGGCCAGCACGATGCCCGCCGGCGGCCCGAAGTGCATCGTTAGCTCCGCCGACACCCGGTGGCCGGGGAAGGCCCGGTCGGGGATGACCTCCACCGCCGTATACCCGGCCCCGTTCACCAGCTTCAGCCCCTGGTGCGTGTTCTGGTTCACGACGACCGGCATGCCCGGCACGAAGACGAAGACGGCCGGCACCGGCGTCGCGCTGTCGTCGCCGTAGCCTAGCATTAGCGCCGCCTCCTCCTCCGTCGGCACGCCCCCCTTCCACTTGTGCTCGGAGAGGAAGACGCGCGCCGCCGTCCGTCGCTGCGCCCGGAACGCGAGCGCCGCCTCTAGGTTGAGGTTCCAGCGGTTGCGGTTGAGAGGCGTGACCACCGTCAGGCCCGTCTCCCACGGGATCCGCCTGCCCGGCCGGTGGCACCTCGAGTTGAGCAGCTCTAGGTCCGACCGGTCCTGCTCCCCCCGGCGGATGCGCCCGAGCAGCCGCCGCAGCTCCGGGTCGCCGGCGGCCCGCATCTGCTCGTCCAGCATGACCACGGTCGTGAACCGCCGCCATAACGCGTGCGCCTTGTCGTGCTGCCGCCGCTGCTCGGCCGCGAACGCCCCGTCCTCGTCCCACGCCACCGCCGCGCTCGGCAGCAGGATCGACCGCTCCTGCACCGGCCGGAACTGGTGGAAGTCGCCGCAGAAGATCACCACCGGGATGCCGCCGAAGTCTCGCGCCGACCCCCGCAGTCGGCAGAGCTGCTCGTTGGCGGCGTGCAGCGTCCGCGCCCCGAGCATGCTGACCTCGTCGATCACCAGCACCTCCTTCTCCTGCCAGTCCATCCGCGACCGGCCGTCGACGAAGCGCTCCCCCTGGCCCGGCAGCCGCACCCCGTCTATCTCCCTCGTCGCCCTTCCCGCCTGGCCGCTCTGGCCAACCGCGAGGCCGCAGGCCGAGTGCAGCGTGATGCCGTTGATCCGCGCCGCCGCCGTCCCCGACGTCGCCGTAACCAGCAGCCGGCTCGATAGGTCCCTCCGGGCGAGCAGCTCGACGAGCGCCTCAATGACGCGCGACTTGCCGGTGCCACCCTCCCCGCCGATGAACAGGCAGAGCTGGCCGCCCTCGCCTGCCCCGTCGCCCGCCCCGTCGCCCTGCCGGATCCGGTCGAGCTGCCGGCATACGATTAGGAGGGCGACCGACTGCTTCTCGTTGAGCGTCAGCTGCCCCACCAGCTCCCTGCCGGCGGCGACGAATGAGCTCGACGGGCCGAGCCGCACGCGCATCCCCGCCGCCGTGCCTGCGTCTGCGTCGCCGTCGGCCGCCGTCACGTCCATGTCGTCCTCGCCGAAGCCCCCCATCACCCCGCGAAGGGCCGCGCCGCGGTCGGCCCCGACGCCCGCCGCCGCCCCGCCGCCCTGGATGCCCTGGATGGCTCGCTCCCGCTCCCGCGCCGCGCTCTTCTGCTGCGACTTAATGCCCCGCACCTCCTCCTGCCGCGGCAGTGCCGCCCCCGATAGCGCCGAGCCCGGCAGGTTCACCTGCCTGCCTGCCCTTGCGTCCGCCACTACCGTCGCCGCGAGCTCGGCCGCCGACCCGAGCGCCGACTGCTGGAACCGGCAGAGCTGCTGCGTCATCGCGAGCAGCTCCGTCGACTGTGCCGTTACCTGTCCCGCACTGGCGGCGTTCCGGACGACGTCGATGAGCCGCGCCCCGTCGCCCGCCCCGCCGGCACGGTACGCCCCTTCGCCGCCCTTGGCCGCCTCCCCGCCCTCGCCCTCGGCCTGCGCCGCCGCCGTCTCGCCTTCCTCCGACGTGGCGGCCCACTGCTTGGCGTCGCGCTTCGCGTCCTCTGCCGACCGCCGGAGGAGCTGCACGTTGTCCACGAGCCGCGCGATCCTCGGCGCCAGCGACCCCCGCGCCCGCGCCCAGATGTCGTTAATGTCGCCTGCGTCTACGCCGACGAAGGACTCCCACGGCACGAACAGGGCCAGGTGCTGCACCGCCGCCCTATTATGTCCCGTTAGCGTAAGCCCCTGGCCGCGCGGCCTTCTCCCCTAGGCGGCCCCTTTCTCGTGATACGCACCTCCGGCAATACGACTCCTCGTCTTCCTCGCTAAACTCCTTGCTTAGGTATCCGTCAAGGCGCACGCTCGCCCCCTTGCCCGGCCGCCTGAGCGCCTGCACCCAGCCCTTCCCCGACGCCCAGCCCGCCTCGAGGGGCACCTCGCCCCAGGCCGCGCTGCCGCCCCCGTCTCGCCTTAGCCTCACTAGCGACGCGTAGTCGTAGAGGCAGAGGCCCCGCAGGAGCTCGCCTCTGTGCCGGTAGGCCTCGACGAGGGGGATCCTCGGCCCGGCCTCCTCGACGACGACCGTCTCGTCCGGCGCGTCGCCCGTCGCCTCTGCGCCGCTCGCCCGTCGGAGGTGCCGCCACCGGCGGAAGACAGCCCAGTAGAGCTGGTTCACGTTGACGTACGCCCACGCCGCGCTGCTGCCGAACTCGAACGGGTACCCAAGGAGGTGCGCCACCACCTCGACCTGCGACAGCGGCCGCTCCGTGAAGACTCGATTCGCTGCCTTTAGTAGGAACACCCTCGTCCTATTCCCCCCTGCGCCGTCTACCGTCGCCATCCCCTCGGCCCCGCCCCCCCGGCCGGCGTCGCGGTCGCCGCCACTTCCGTTGCCTTCTCCTGTCGGCTCTAGCGCGGGAAGGAACTCGGCCGCGGCCGCCACCCGCTTCCACACCGGGTCCTCGACCTTTGTCGCATAGTTCGTGATGTAGTAGACTAGGGCCATGGTCTTGCGCTGCGTCGCGATGAACGAGATGTCGTGGTTGTGCCGTAGCCCTACTGCCATCGCCCTATTCCACCGGTTCACCATGCTATGCGTCCGCCGGATCTCGAGCACCCCGTCCGCCGTCAGCGCCGTCCTCTCCACCAACCTCCACGGCGCCTTGAACCGGCAGAGGCCCCCCTTCCGCGCCCCCACACCGAGCGAGTATTTTACGCAGGTTGCGCTATGCGTGTGGATCTGCGTCACGCCCGCGCAGAAGTTGGCCTCCTCGTCGAAGACTATCGGCAACTACTACAGTACCATCGCCGAAGAACATGACGTTGCGAAACAACTATCACTCCTACAGTCTCGAGTCGCACCTACAGACTGGGCGCTCGAACGGGAAGTTCTTCAACGTTATCGTTCAACACTGTCGTCGCCTAATAGGACCAAGATCGAGACTTGGTGTCACGCGCCTAAAGTGCTTGACCACGGTAGATGGCTGGTTGATTCCAACCACTGGCTGGAGTGACTTTTCCAGGGAAAAGCACGGGGCTGGGAGGCCTCTCGTGGTTATAAAAGTAGGGTTGCATAGCACCTGATGGAGCTCGTCAGAGATCAATGAATTGAATGATTGACCCCCGTTCCTCACTCTCTGTTTAGTTGTGTGTGCGCCTTACATTGACAGTATATTGGGGTCATCGCCGCCGCCGGTCACCCCAACACCACTCATTCCGGGGTGGAAGGGGCTTCAAGGGATCGTTTAATACGTCCGGGCTTCTCAGGCACCGAATTAGGATCAAGAAGGTATATAAATTGGGAAGAGCCGAATGTGGGCTACGCACTTCAACATTAATAGGTGCGCGCCTCAACGCCGCGCAAGGCCGCATAACGCGTGTTTTCTGCATCATCAATAGCCTCAAATAATAAGGGTGATTGGGTCTACAATTTGCATGTCTAGAAAATTTATTTAGACACTCAAAGGACGCTGTGGCGGCTGTTTACCCGGATGTGCCCACCAGGCGCGCGTCCGGGAGTTTTGGGGCTGTCCGGGAATTTTGGGCCCTCAGGAACCCTAAGAACCTTTCGTCACTCGTTCCTCGTTCCTCAAGGCATTTGTCAAGATCGGAACGCTCATTCACTGTGCTGCCTAACAGGCAGCAAACAGTTCGTAATGCCATATTAGTGATGGATTCGAACCTTCTAGGTGACGTCGTCATCTATGCTGCCTGGGTGGCAACATCGCCACTCAGCCCAAAATCACAAGTATAAGAAGCCAACTTTTCACCATCACTTAGATAGAGAATTAAGAGTCTTTCGTTGCCCGATTCACAGGGGATCTTCTTCCCGATCGTTGCTCAGTCACCCACACTGTCCGTGCCTCTTGTTGTGTGACAGCATTGGTCTCTTTCCGACTGCTATCTTCGTAATGCCTGGTAATTCTTTTGATTCTGGACCCCGCTAACCCCAGAAGCTGTCCCATTTGGACTCAGAATTTTCAGCGTCGTTCCGTCCTCGCAAGTATTGGGTTACTTCGCTGTTATGAGCACTACCCGCCTGTCCAGACCTGTGTCGCATGGAAGTTGCCGTCTGCGTTGTCATGATGGGCGAAGAGATATTTATGTCTCTTACAGGTCTGTTGGCCTTGTTCCTGCGCAATCGAAAAATTGACAAGACGAAGCGAATGAATTGGTTTTTTCTTTTGTCCTTGTGCAGTGCATCTGCTCCGACTGCCCGATTGACTTGGGCTGGCTTAGCGCAATGGCGCTGAGGGGAAGACTTTTGGCTTTGCCTGCGCATCCTGGCGATGACCGTAGTTTCGGTCAACGCACCGTTGAGGTCTTCGCCTCCGGAGTTGTAGTACGAACGTGGACTAGACATATACGAGGCCTGGTGGTAATACAATGAAATCAGTTACCAGAGAAGTTTAAATGAATCCGGGCCGATATAGGATGCTTTTTTATGGATTGTGAAAGCATTATGACTCCCCTTATATAGTAACACTTATGAATGGCTGGACGATGTCAGAACCACCGTGCGTAAAAGCCGGCAAGGCCTGTATAGAAATGTGTCATGGAACCTGTAACCATGGTTGCCACAACTTGAGATGTAATTCATTAAAGGAGTGAGAGCTATCTGTCGGGAAGGAAGACAGACATCAGATATGTGTCAGTTGCAGCACACCTGTTGGAGCGCGTTCCACTTTTGCCTGCATGGCGCAATGGTCTTCGCAACACTATCTAGAGCAATAATGCCGTGGCTAATCGTAAGAAATGGCGCGGATGCATAAGCGAACGAACTGGTTCGGGCAAGATTGGCTATTTAGTGAGGTAGCAGAACCTCCCTTCCTTGGAGGGGATCCTCTGAGCTGGTTTGGCCCAGAGGTTTAAAATGAATACTCAAACCTTATCTGGGGTTGATTGCTTGAGTCAGGACCAACCCAAGTCCTGAAGGCACTAGGCTTTTCCGATCCGGAGGATGTTGTTAAGAACAAGCCGAAAAGCAAAATGCAACATCCTAATGACTCGAAGGCCTGCTAAGTCCGCCCTGACTCGTTTTTAAGCATGCAATACTGGCGTGGTATCCGGTGGTCGAAGCGATTCTAGGGCAAGGGTCGAAATTCTCGTGCTGCGGTGGGGAGGGTTCCAAATAAGGTTGTGTCACAGGTTCCCGGGGCCGGCTGACCGGTAATCCGGCATCGGATTACCGCGCCACCCCCATACAAAAACCATGTCATTTCTGAAGGGCCAGTATCCGTGCCACGCCCCACTTTATTGTCACTCGCAAGCTCGCACCACTTACAGACTTCGTTGGGTGCCTGCAAAGAACGAGGAGTTCGCCCTTGGGCCACTGGCCAAAATGCAAGCGAAAATAGCGACGCGAGATGAATGCATCGCTGAACCAGCAACGTTTCAGGCAAGAGCAACGACGTTACGACTGCTGCTCAACGAACACACTCGCGGTCGTCAGATCCCAGAAAGGGTTGGAAAGCACTCAAAGCGCATCGATAAAGCATTGCCGGGCAAGCACACCCGCAAGATGTACGACGAGCTAACTAGAAAGGAATCTGAAGTGTTGGTACAACTTCGAACTGGCAAATCACGACTGAATGGCTACCTTTGCAAAATCGGGGCAGAGGAATCGGATGAGTGCACCTGCGGACAGTCGGCGGAAACGGTGGAACATTTCCTCTTTTGATGCAGAAGATGGACGGTACAACGAGAAATCATGCTTCGATATGCTCGCGGAAAGATGGGAAACCTGTCTTTCTTCCTAGGAGGCAAGGCAGAGTCAGACGACGACAAGTGGCAGCCCGATATGGGGGCTGTACGGGCGACAATACAGTTCGCATTGGCAACAAAACGCTTCAGTATGGACCGACGAGGAACCATGTACTGATCAAGGGATAATCATACTAACACAACAGCCTTAAACTTGGCAGACCGCGCTTCAGTCGCTGAAGGTAGGACGCTGAACACTTGGAGAAACTGACCTTCAAGCAGGCCTGTCATGTCACAGCGAACGAGGCTGGAAACAGATGGAAAGAAGCGTTGGGCTTTAGGTGAGAAGAAACCATGTATAGTAGGTACGTAGCTTAGCGTAGTGGCTCTATGGGGGAACCCTCCGGGCGTAATACAACCAAAAAAAGTGGGGGCGGGGGTAGCGTATGCTGACCCGTGGGGCTTAAGGTGTTACGCATTAATGTATTTTTGACAACGAGGTTGAGTATATGTCCAGTGCAACGGACACGTCGCTGGATATGATTGAAATCGAGACTTCGGCCGATAATCTCCATCGCTGTGTCGTTGTTACCTGCGTTGTCGAGGGTGAAATATCCAAGCTTGTGCTCAATGCCAAACGAGCGAATGACGTCGAGCACCTCTGCCGCGATGTTCTCCCCGGTATGGCGGTTGATTAGTTCGGGAAGGCCAAGGACGATTTTCTGCGGTTCATTCTTGACGTTCCTGGATACTGCCGTGATTCCATATAACGTATGCCTGTTCCTGCTCCTAGAACCGTCAAAGGCAATGTGAATCTGCCCAGGGGCTGCCTTCAGTATTTCCTTCACCCTCGTCTTGTGCTTCTCGAAGCGCTGAATTGCCAGGCGCCGAACCGTATGCCTCGAGATGTGGGCGTCTGTGACCTTAACTGCGGGGTTAAGATATTCGAATATGTGCCGTAGGCGAGGGTTTTCGACCTGTTGGAAGGACTGTTGACTATCGACAATCCAGTTGACAATGAGCTTTTGGAAATGCCCTCGATCAAACCGTTTGATCAGATTGTTGGCCAAGGACTGCTCCTTTGGGTCGTCGCGGCTGAGATTGAAGATATCGGTGATGGAAGAGAACATCCTCTTCCCCCCCTTCGTCACAGAGGGTGCCGGGCGTTTTCCTGATAGATCCCAATGACCGTGGGATTTCCATAAGTGATGTTCAGCGTTCTGTGTGCCTCTAGAGTCGTATGACTGCGGGTTGTGGCTTCTTTGGCGGATACATGGCATACAAATCCACCGTCTCGCCGCCTTAGACTGGATCTCAATACCGTATCCCCATACCCAAGATGAGGTGTCCTTTGATCGTTCCGCTGCCGTGAATCCTTGCCATCGTTTGAAGATGCGGGCTTCTTCCTCCGGGGTTGGTTTCCAGTCAGATGGTACAGCGGGGCTATCGTCGGTCGATAGGGCAGAGTCGAGAGGCATTTGGTTTGGGTGGTTTACCATGCTTAACGTAATGGCCGGGAATTGGGGGATGAAAGTGTACGAAATAGGGGTCTGTCTGACGCGACGCGACGCACTTTTTAAATGATTCGACGCCATATTAAGGTTACTTGGCAATAGTGCGTGTTAACAAATATTACTCACTATCCAGCAGAACATATCTAGGTCTATCTAGCACTACTGAACTTGGTCAGGGTCCCATGTCTAGCGTCAACGATCATCAATCAATATCAATCAACGAGAAGACGACATGGATTGGTGGATTATGAAAGCCAGACGCCCGTGGATTGATGTGGATATTGATTGACGTCAATATATTGATCAACGCGTTGATCTGGTGGATTGATGAGCGTCTCTGAGTAAGTTCAATCGCAACACGGACCCCTCAGTGGTCTAGGAAGTGGAAATAACAGTCTGTAGACTTCCCTTCTTACCTGGTTTCAAGCTGTATTACCTAGAGAGACCTAGAGACCTCAACTCGTTCGGACCTTCTTCTCGACAGAAGATGGAGACTTGAAGAACGGTTACAACCGATGTATGTAATTGATCAGGAGGGCTGTGGCCGGCTGCTACGGCGGGCTTGAAGATAAAGATCGATATTCTGCTCATTCGGGTAATCTGTTCATTTGGGTGTCCAGCACCCACTTTATTGGGATTCGCTTGGGCTGGCGAGAGAGCATGAACATACCGGTAATGCATACAGTACCGTACACTATGCGAGCCCGTGTAGAGCAAGAGAAGCCTTGCCTCCCGTTGGAGCTGATTCGTGAATTTCATCTTCTCGTAGTTAAAGCTATCGATGTTGAGTCGCCAATCAAGTTCAATGTGGGTAGAGACATGAGTCGTGGGAGTTTTACTGACTATTAGCTGGTGGAGCCGTTGGACCCCAACGGGAACTCCGTAATTGTAGCTCGATGATGACACTACTCGTGCCCGCCCCCACTTTAGTGGGTGAGCCGCTTGGTCGAGTCAATCGCAGCTAGTTCGGGAGCAGTGCATAATAACCTTAACCTTATGGCCTCCGGGGCCGTCCCCTATTCATCGACGAGTCGAGATTACCTACAGTGGGTCCCCTTTCGCGCTGGATGGCTCCGGACAGTCAGGTTCGGACAGTCAGATTACAGGGATTGTTGCGCTAAGCAAGGATCAAAAGCCATCGCGCCTTGGCTACCATGCTTACCCCCCCTTCTGCTCACCCCCCCCCCTTATGCTCCGCAAAAATGTTGCCGCTCCATACAAATTGGACCAACTTCACTTATACAGAATCTACTCAATTTAAAAGCTTTCGACGAACAGTCACCTGTAGCGGGTATAGAAATGACTGAACTTACATTTTGTGAGGTCAGATGATGACCACAGGTGTCGTGGCCCGTGACACCCCGGCATCGCAAAATGGCAATTTCAACCCCTAATCTCCTCCTGCCTCCTTTGCTTTCCACTCTTGCTCATCCTCCACCACCTGTCACAAATGGCTCCAAAAAGGCCTCGTTCCATCTATACAGAGAACTTGATGGCTGAGGCAATCCTCAATGTCACTGATAACGGTTTGTCGCAGCGCCAGGCTTCTCAGAAAGGGGGATACCCCAGAGTACTATTTCCAGCAGAATGCGAGGTCAGTCGGCATTAACCGACCAGGAACAGCCTGGAAAACTCGTATCCAGAGACCAGGAGGCCAACTTGGTTGCATGGAATCTTCGCCAAGAATCTCTGGGTTACGCTCCGTCCCAGAGTCAAATCCGCGCCTGCGTTGTTGCCGTTCTGAAACAGCAAGGCTGCGACTCAAGATTGGGACGTCATTGGGTAGAAAAGTTCATTCAACGCCATCCGGAACTTAGAAGCAAGGTCGGTAGGCGTCAGGAAGCCAACAGATTCGACTCATTTACTCCCAAAGCAGTGCACTGGTACTTTGACGTCAGGGAGAAGGAGTACGGGTGGATCAAGCCGGAGAACACGGTAAATGTTGATGAAGGGGGGATTATGTCGGGCTTTGGTATGCGATCTCTCACGAAGAAAGTCAGCAGAAAGGTCATATTGTATTCCGTGTCTCTGTTCTCCTCCCTTTCTGCCCTAAACCCAAGCCCCTATTTATATCCCTCTTTCGTAGTAAAGGTAATGTGTTCAGGGAGGCTGGGGACCTGGGGGTTCCCAGCCTCTCGACTTGAGATGTTCCAGTCTTTTAAGAGGAGCTTTCCAGCCTCCTCGTTCAGACCTGGTTATCAGCTCCCTTGCTGCCCTAGCTACCCATGGGTGACCTGGTTGACTCGACCATGGGCCGTTCTTCGCGACACGATCAACTCTCCATAGGCGATATAAGCTAACATAATTTCTTTGCTAGGTCTGGACAGTCTGGTGGTTGGAAGTTCGGACCCTAAACGGAAGACTCTTCTCAAGGGACCCCAGTCCCGCAGCTGGACCACTTTTATAGAGGCCATCACCGCCGACGGGCGCGCCTTGACTCCTGGCATCATATTTAAGGGCAAAGATCTCCAGGCACAGTGGTTTAAGGACGAGTTTCGAGAATTTGCGGATTGGAACTACATAACTTCACCAAATGGATGGACGGACAACCACATTGCCGTCGAATGGCTTGAGGAAGTCTATTTGCCTCAGACGCGGCCTGACGACGACTCTGAGGCCAGGCTTATCATCTGGATGGACATGGGAGTCATTCAACGGTTCGTCCTTTGTTTTTATGGCGATGAGGCCCTGCTGATTTGACGACAGAATAAGTGGATGGCTCGTCACCACCTCTCCGTCGATAGCACGCGCATACGGCTCAGAAAGAGCCAGCACAGCGAAGTCCTTGAGGCCTGCGTCGTTCATCAGGCTTTTCTGCACTACATCACTCTTGTGCGCATTCAGCTGTAGGATGCGGAGGGACTCAAGCATCACTGTTCGGGTTCCTCATCCTACACTTCCAGCTGAACGACTCGTGCGGTCCGCCACACGGGACGCATTTTGGCTCAATTGCTGTGCACTCTCTGTGGTGATGCCCAACGTTTGCGCACTTGCCGCATGTCCGCTGCTTCTTGCATGAATATGCTTTGTGACCGATCTCCTGGCAGTTGAAGCATTGGACTGGTCCCGTTCTTGGCTCGAATACATAGGTGGTGGCTGACTCTCCCGCTAGGTCAAAGTAGTACCCTTCTAGAAGCCTTTCTGCGTCGCTTTTCTTGGTGACATACACCACCATGGACCCATACGCTTTGCCAGACTCTCGTTTGCTCAACCAGGAAATCTTGCCAATGGTCACTCTGTTTTCGGCACTCAAGGCCTCGATCGCTCCAGGCAGAACGTTACCTTCCGCGTCAAGGACTGCTGTGCGGTTGGCGTTGTCGACTCGGACCGGGTACAGCTGGTCTCGCATAACTCGTGAACTTTCCACGGCTGTCTTCTGCCATCTGAAGCTCGGCTTCGTCTCTGCAGACGATCTTGACTCGGTCGGCATAGTTATGAGTCTTGTCCCTCCGCTGAGTAAAGTCGGACGAGGTTTAAACCTGACCTTGTCCCAGTCGTCTATGCACTTGCAGGTGATCCGCTCAACTGAAACATGGTTTCTGCAATCGGAAGATCGGACATGACTAGTCACCGGCCGCAGACTGGCCATCCCAACTCAAATCCCGCCTTTATCTTGACCCACTGTCGGCCGACCCGGATTCGCAAGTCATGAACGCCGACTCGCGGCCGTGATGAGTCAACCAGAACTCACACTGTACGGACGGATCCTCGCCCGCCTCTGTCATCCCGATTGAGCGACCGGCCCATGCTAAAGATGACGCTCTGGCCCTGGAGCTGATCGAGCTCCTCCCCACGAGTCCCACTTGGGCACATATCATGTCGACTCGCACCAGCTTCCCCGATTACCTGAGCCGGCAAAAGTGCTCGACAGAGTCGTTAGCATACTCGTGCCCGCCAACTGTTAGATCCGGTAGAATCCGGGTAGATGCAGCTACGATAGCGTCAGGCTACTAGCGGCAGCGCCAACGGTAGCGCAGACGATAGCGCACCAGGTAGCGCAGCCGATGAGGCCACGAGGACATCTATGAGACAGTTACAGAGATATGACGTGATGGCATGTCATAGGGATTGAGGCCATCGCCCTTTGATATAGGGCTTGGGGCAGAGCACCCCCAAATGGGGGACACAGACAGACACACACATCATACCTCACTTCATCCGATCGTACCATTCTTGCTGTGTCCGTGACCTATCCGACGAGAACCTCATCAAGGTTCTGACACCAACCGCCCCCACTTTAAAGTGGTAGTAAGTACTTTAAATGCGGTGGATTGTTAAGCGGTCCCTATTACAGTACCAAGCCATCGGTTTACTTTCCACCGTTTCAAGTGACGCTAATCTTTCATCTATCTAGGCAGAACTAACTTTGGCCGCATTAGATTGAATGGCGCTAGATTCTTATCTAGGCAGACTTGCAAATAGATAAATCATAATCAAATCAAATCAAATCAAATCAAATTTATCCAAATCAAATCAAATCAAATTGCCCCTGCGCTGAATCAAATCAAATCAAATCGCAACATCCAAATTTATTTGGATATCTGATTATTTGGATACGCCCCACAATGGCGACCTGGGCCAATAATTTTTGGGAGCCAGCCCTGGCCCAGAGCGGTCGCTTATTAAGGGATTTCCCGGTGATCTGCCGGATCGGATGATTCGCCGGATTTTGGTTCCCTTGCATTCCGGTGAAGATTTGAGTGAAACTCCACGAAAATAATATGAAACAATCTCACATTAAAGCAGAAGCAAGAAAGATGCCTAGCAATTCCATTCAATCTACTTCGCAGTCATCAAGCCACCGTGGCCGCTTCCTGTGGCGTCCCGATCGCGCAAGTCCCCGCATTGCGACTACCATCTCCTGGTCGCGCTCGACAGCCAATGATGGCTTTTGGGACGTGAGGAAGTGGTCAATGCCGGCTTTGGATCTTTACGCAACTTAATGTTTGGCGATTTTGAGTGTTCCGGAGCTGTCGTCGGTTCTGGTGGAGCCGAAATGGCGACGACAATCTCGTCTCGAACGCCCGGACTCTTCTCGCGAGTCTGTGGAGCAACAGAGGTCCGGATCCCATTTCCGACATTTTTTTCTGGTTCTTTCGCTTGAGCTCTTTCCGTATCTGCCTGTTTTTCTCCCGCTCTTGTTGTCTGGCTTCCTTTGCCTGACGTCTTTGCTCAGTTTTTGCCTCCCGCTGCCTTCTCTTCTCCAGAGCGAGAACTTTGAGGTTTGCCGCCTTTTGCTGTCGCTCAAACCTTTGTCGTTCTTTCTCCAAGGCCTCTTCTTGCTTCTGAGTCTCCATGGCTGCTTTCTTCAAGCGCGCTTGGGCCACTTTTGCAGGGCTAAATACCTGCGCCGAGTTAGGATCTACACGATCGAAAAGGTAATCCTTCAGAGCTTTACCGCGCATTCTGCGCTGCTTTTCGTGAAAGATAGTCTCCGAAGTCCCTGATTCTCATATCGAAGCAATTCGTTCTGAGATTGGAGACTTTCGAGAGTACTTTGAGCTTCCGACTGTCTCGGCTAGCGTTTTTGAGGATCCATCGACTACCTTGTCGACAAGTCGGCGCAAATCCCGAGCAGTGGGCTGCTGCAGGGCGAGCGAGTCAACGGAGCTGTCGCCAGACTCAGACTCATCTTCTGTTTTCTCCGCGATCTGCGACAAAACGACTTCAGGGTCAAATGGGAGGAGTCCGGTCCGTTTCCAACCACTTGCGATGTTCTCCGCCGAGAAAGATGACCCGAATGCGTTCCAAAATAACGACCAGAACTCGCGTTTCGATAGCCCGATGAGTCCCTGTGTCTTTGCAGTCCACTGGATGAGCTGGTTGGTGTATGCGGTCGAAAGAGGGCCAAAAAGGGACACATCAAGGGGCTGCAGCCTGTGCGTGGAATGCGGCGGAAACACGGCAACGATTATCCGATGCTGGTCACACCACTCCAGGAAGTCCATATTGACATGACTAGAGTGTCCGTCGGTAATCAGGAGGCGGTAATCCCGGCCGTTTCGCGCCTTTTCTTTCGTGAACCGGTCGAAAACACCAATGAGCCATTCCTTTCCAAGTTCATGGTTCGTCCAACCCGTTTCTGAGGTTGTGAAAACGCCGCTTGGTGCTCCGGATCAAACTCCGTGAGCCAGGAGTCCTGAACTTGCCCTGGCTTGCCTTGGTAGATGAGAAACGGGGGTAGCGCGGTCAGGTCTTGACAGACACATGCCAGGAACGTGATCCATGATCTGTTGCCATCCTGCGCAGCACCGATCAATTTTCCTTGCTTCTTGGCACGAACAGAGAATACTCTCTTGGTACGATTGATGACGCCGAGGAGAAAGCCCTTTTCGTCCACATTATACGTGTTGCAAGGCAGGATGTCGTATTTCTCGATTTTCTCGCCAATCTTGTACGATCAGCAATGAAGGGATGGACTTGGGCACCTACTTACAAGCTCATAGTAGGCTCTGTATCTAGAAGCATTGTCTGCTCTCTTTCTTGCGATATCAAAACCGTCGAACCAAGTGCAACCGAGCTCATCGCTGTTACGTCGGACGAAGCTATACGGCCAGTCCTTTCCGACCTCAATTTTGGCGATATCCTGGGCAAAACTTTTGATCATCGGCAGCGTAGGCGGAATCCCACGTGATGAAAGCTTGCGAATATACGCAACAAGATCCCTTTCTTGCTGTTTTGAGAGACGTGACTTATACAAACTGTCGGCATCCCGTCTTGACCTCTGTTTGCCTTGGTGTCGCCGTCGCAGGGTAGTCTCGTCGCAATTGAACTGACGCGCAGTCTTGGCATAGTTAACAGTGTCACACAGCTTCAGAAACTCAAGCGCTTCATCAATCGGGGCCATGGTGGTGGAGAAATTCAGGATTGAAGTGGAGACGTGAACTGGCGGTGAATCCGGCGAATCGCCCGATCCGGCAGATCACCGGAAATCCCTTACTGGCAGTTGCTTTTCCAGGCCGTGTCACTAAGCTTTCTTTTGCGTTTTACCTGACACGTTTGATCGTGAAATATATCTTTGGGTGCGTCTGCCATATTACTGGGGAAATATTTGTAGCCGGTGGCCAAATGGGACAGCTCTGCACTTGACTGCAATGGCGCATACAGCAGAAGGCGAGGCGCTGTCAGCCGCCCTTTCTAGTGTCCCGTCCACCAGTTTTAGCGCTCCCGAGAGCTCCCCGACCTTGACACATCACCTTCGATCGACTACGTTGGATATGAAGGCATCGATTGAATCGCCTCTCGGTTTCTCCATACGCAAGTATAGAAAAGAGCGCGGACGGGATGGGTATGGGAGCATGGGTTCGATATCGAGAAAACCGATTCCGGTCATCGGTTTTGGCTTTGCAAGGCCTGCCACGGGAAGAAGGCTACAATTACCCATATGTACGATGCTGCATCCACAAGTCAAGCGAACAGTCACATGGAAGAAATTCACCACATCAACAAAGGCGGGCCAATGCTACCACAGAGGAAGAAGCAACGCACTCTTTTCGACGTGGTTGACCTAGACTCCAACCGACCGAAGGATCAGGCTCTGATGAATGCCTTCATCTCGTCCTTTGAACCGCTTCGCTTTCAACATCTCTTGATACGCTGGGTGGCATGCGACAACATACCATTCCACAAACTGGAGAGTCCGTACTTTCGCGACCTTATGGCTTACGCGAACAGCGCAATTGCGGATTCGGGCAGTATTCCCACTCATAGCACAATACGCGACTGGATTGTGCGCTCCTTCAATTGTCACAAAGGTGTCGTGACGGAATTGCTTCGTCGGTCGCTCAGCCGCATCAACGTCTCCTTTGATGCTTGGTCCTCCCGAAAATTCACATCTCTGCTCGGCCTTACCGTACACTTTATTGATGACGAAGGGAAGTTCCGTACGTTTCTCCTCGGCTTGCCACGGATTGAAGGTCGCCACTGTGGAGAAAACCTGGCCGACCGTGTCAGCGAGATAATCCACGAGTATGGGTTCGAGGATCGCGTTGGATATTTTGTCACAGACAATGCGGAGAGCAACGACACGTGCCTTGAAGACTTGGGCGCTGAGTTGGGGTTCAACAAGCAGCATCGTCGGCTCCGTTGCTGCGGCCACATCATCAACCTCGTCGCCCGATCCATCCTTTTCGGCACGGACGCCGACGCGTTCGAAGAGGATTGCCAAGCCAACAAAGAGATCCAAGATGAGGTCAGACTCTGAGATCAAGGGCCCCATCGGCAAGTTGCACAATATCGTTCACTGGGTGGAAAGGTCTGGGCAGCGCATTGAAAGGCTCCACATGCTCCAATCCATCGAGAACACCGCCCTGGGCCTCGAAGACAAAACAACCTACGATGTGGTCATGGACAACGCTACTCGCTGGAACTCGTCCGAAGCGATGATGGAGCGGGGCTACATGCTTCGCAATGCACTCGATTCGCTGGTCCAAGCGGAAGTGACAGAGTGGAATCAATATGTGGCGAGAAGGACACAGCACGGGGCAAAGCCGATGCCGAAGAAGTGCCGCAAGAAGCCTACAATTGTGGACGACCAGATGGTCACTGAGGACTGGTCCGTTATTGCAGAGTATTTGGCGATCCTGAAACCATTGAAGATCGCGACAAAGCGCCTAGAGGGCCAGCCACGACAAGGCAAATTCGGCGCGATTTGGGAAGTTTTGCTCACAATGGAGTGGCTTCTGAAGCACCTAGAAGAGGCAAAGCTACAGCACGAACGGGACGAGGAACCGTACCTGCGAATCGGCTGCAATCTCGGCTGGATGAAGCTGGATCAATACTACGCCCTTACGGAGGATAGCCCTGCGTACCTCGCGAGCCTCGTCCTCCATCCCGCGTTTCGCTGGTCCACCGTCGAGTCGCAGTGGTCCGATCATCCGGACTGGTTGGCCAGAGGAAGGGCGGCTGTGCAAGAGCTATGGGAGGAGTACCGAACCTCGCGGTCGAGCAAGATACGATACCCGAGGAGCCCACAGCTGCAAGGAAGACAACGGACCTAGATGACTTCATGACCTCAATTAGGAAACTTGGCGCCCAACCTGCGCCCTCACCGTCCTCCACGCGTGACGAATACGCAGAATGGGTGGCCAGTACCGATCCGGGCGATTGTCTTGTGGACAATCCCATCCAGTACTGGCTTCTCCGCAGACGCCAGTATCCACGCTTGTCGCGAATGGCAATCGACCTCTTTTCTATTCCGGCAATGTCTTCAGAGCCGGAGAGAATATTTAGCCTTGCCGGACAGATGGTCACAGCTCAGAGAGGCCGCCTCAAAGCGGACCTTATCGGGGCGGCTCAGTGTATTTCGTCGTGGGAAAAAAGTGGAGTTATCCAGATATCCAAATGAGATCCAAATCGACTCAAATCAAATCAAATCAAATCAGATCCATGATTTTGCCATCCAAATCAAATCAAATTGGACCCCGGATTTGATTTGATTTATCTATTTGCAAGTCTGTATCTAGGAGTTCTAGCAGGACCAGTTTGGTCAGATTTTATACAGGAACTTTCCCCGTCATTGTACCAGCGCACTTCTCATGTCAGGTCAGTCTCCCACTTTGCAGGTTCAATGCTGACGAATTGAAGTACGCTAGGTCCAGAGGCGCGATCCTGAGTTTAAGGAGCCTCGCCACCGCTCCTACGTCAAGCGACTCTCTCGCTTTGAAGAGAACGGACGAAGATGCCGCAGCGCTGACATCAATTCAAGTATCAATTCAAGTATATCAAGTAAGTCAAGTAAGTTGACTGCTAAAATTATTTCAAGTAAGTAAGTCCATGGTGTCCGAAACTTGATATACTTGATATAGGTACTTGAAATGAAATATTTTCAAGCTTATTAACTCAAGCTATAGGGTATGCGATGAAGGCTTCTAGCCATCGCACCAATGGCAGACGGTAGGGCGCAGCAGGGATCGCGTCGCAAACCGCGCGTGTTTTTGCTTTTGCAGGCGATACGTGTCTCAGCTCAAATCGAGGGTCCTAGGGCTTCGCCCCGTCATTCCTTTCCCGAAAGACTTTAGTTCGCGATCTTCCAGTTCGCCAGTGGCCCACTATGGCAGCCCAGCAGCTGTCTCTAACATCGCTTTTGGCGACTAGCGCCCATCGCAAATCACTCAAACAGCAGCTCGACGCTGCCTCTGTTAATGTCGAATCCGGAAGAACGACGCTTGCCGAGCTTCCTACGGTTCGCATTGGCTGCAAAAAGTATATACCAGAAGAATATATGGCAAACAAGAACCGCGAAGGCCGGCGAAGCTGGATTCAAGCGCACGGGTTCTTCCTCACTGAAATTAGTCCTGATTTACAGACCTTGCAGACCTACTTGGTGTGCTCGAGATGTGATGAGCAAGGGAAGAGCTCGTGATTTGTGGCAATTGTGGTGGAAGGATCATCAAGAAGAATATCCACGCCTGAGCAAGTTTGCCCTCGACGTAATGGCGGTTCTTGCCATGTCTGTCGACCCTGAGCGAACATTCAGCGTCACAAAGCTAACCCTGAGCTCGCAAAGGCATAGCCTGAGTCCAGAAGTCATAGAGGAGATACAGTGTCTGCGGAATTGGCTGGGCCATGGAGCGATCAATGTTGGTGAGATCGTCAGCCTTGGTAACGAACTGAAAGGCTTAGATGAAGAGGAGGCATGTTAGTACCCCTGATTGTGATCCGACCCCAGATATCAAGTATATCAAGTATATCAATTCAATTCAAGTTAATCAAGTTGACAGGCGATTTTATTTCAAGTAATCAAGTTACACCCTCAAACTTGACTTACTTGAATTGAAGTCAGCACTGAGATGCCGGCCTATCGCCTGCAAAGGATAGGTCGGGAACTCGTCCAACGCCGCCAGAGACACTACAACAATCTTCCGTAGCTAGAAGCTTTGTTCGGAGAGCAGAGCAGCCAGCCTCATGTTGTGTTGGGCACGCCGCTTCCAGCAACCCAACAAAGCCCGCGGCTCTTCAGGGCACTGGCTCCCGTGCAGCGAACGGCCCATCCAAGAGTCTCACACTCTAATGCATCGACTGTCCGAAGCAGCCATGGTAGTATCAGAGATTACAGTTACTTGGCTGGTAGATTCCACAGAGGTGGGAAAGACTCGCAAGATGATTCTGCCAGGGCCGGGGCGAGAGCCAAGCGGGCCGCGATCCAGCGCGGACACCGTTCACGACGCCGTGCAGGGAATCTGTGTCATTGACCCCTCTCATATCCCAACTCGGCGTCACGGAAGGTTCATGTGTTCTGGGTAAGGATATTCTTGCGCTTCCGTTGCAAACAGTTTGTTTCAGCTAACTATGGAAGATAGATGCAAGTCAAGATCGAATGCAGCCGAGCGGGCTTCTGGATGAGGATCGGGTAGCTAATAATGGAGACGACAGAGACCGGTTCTCTGAATCTGATATGGACGCCGAGGACTATTTCAACCTGCTACTTTCGCCCGTTCGACCGCGTCGCCACGTCAACAATTACCCGTTGGCGGGGCCTCTGGCAGCCAACTAAGGGGCCCCTTCCCCTTAGTTGGGCCCAAAATTCCCGGACAGCCCCAAAACTCCCGGACGCGCGCCTCGTGGGCAAATCCGGGCACACAGCCGCCACAGCGTCCTATGAGTGTCTAAATATATTTTCTAGACATGCAAATTGTAGAGCCAATGGCCCTTATTATTTGAGGCTATTGACGATATAGAAAACACGCGTTATGCGGCGTTGCACGGCGTTGAGGCGCGCACCTATTACTGTTGAAGTGTGTAGCCCGTATTCGGCTCTTCCCAATTTATATACCGGTACTTTCTTGATCCGAATTCGGTGCCTGAGAAGCTCGGAAGTATTGTACGATCCCTTGAAGCCTCTTCCACCCCGGAATGAGCGGCGTTGGGGTGACCGGCGGCGACGATGGCGGCGTGGCCCCCGGCGGCGGCGATGACCCCAATATACTGTCAACCTCGTCAAAGGAGGCAGTGCATAGTGTAGAATCGAGTGAGGCTTCTTGTGTGTTCTCGTCAGGCGCGGGCTCGTTCGGTTCGCTCGTTTCGTAGGGCTCAGGTTGAGGCTTCTTTTCTGACGATATGATGATCTCAATAGACTGCTCTCTTTGGAGGTGAGGCCATTGAATTGATTGCAGAGGCCGCGCCGAGGCGCAAGCTCTATCGACGGCTTCTTCCTCGGCAGCTGTGCGCTGCGTGCGTGTTGTATCGATCGTGAACTGGTCTCGTGGTCTGAGGAGTCTGTTGTAGACCTCTTCGCTGCTCTCTAGGGCAAGGAATCCTCGCTCTTCCCGACGAAGTCAAGCCATTGTTTGATAGTCAGTCTCTTCATCTTTCCGTTCACCAGCTGCACCTTGTTTTTACGGTATTCGTCAAGGAGTTGCTGTCGCTCGCGCCGTATAATGCCACGCATCGAGAGGAGCAGTTGGCGTTGACTTTTCTCTTCTTCGAGCCGAAGCGTGCGTTCACGAGATTTACGGATATCTTCTAGGCTGACGCTAGTGTAGAAAGTGCCCTCGGCAGCCTTGACGGCCTTGCCGCACCTCGGGCGGCTGCTTATCTTCTCGATGCGTTGTAGGCGGTCTTTATAGCACTTGGCCAGTGTAGAGCTAAGAAGAGATGCCTCTGTGACGGCCTGGGAGACGTTGGAAAGCCTGCCACGCGTTGGAGAGCTTAGAATCTCGTGATAACGCGTTCGAAGGTCTTGTACAGTGTCGGCAGCCTGTTGGAAGCGTGTTTCCTTAGGGAGGAGCGATGCGAACGCTGGGTTAACGGCCTGTGATACCTTCAGCTGCTCGGCCACGAGCTTCTTCATTGCCGGCTGCTCTGTGGGAGGGTAGATGCCCATTTTTTCGAAGCCCCCTATGATATAACACGCTGCGAAGCCCTCTTTGAACCCTTCCCAGAAAGACTTGAGGAAATCGTGCCTCGTGAAGTTCAGCTCCCCTGACTCGATGAACTTATGTAGGATTTTCTGCTGTGCGTGCTTAAGAGGCTGGAAAACGCCTACATCGAGCGGCTGAAGGATATGCGTTGAATGCGGAGGGAACACCGCGACGATGATGTCAAATTTGATGCAATATTGTATGAAATCGAGGCCTGTATGCCCAGTGAAGCCGTCGATGACGAGAAGACGATGAATTCGCTCGTTTTCCGGGATAAGGCGTGGCTCTGCCTCGAGGAAGGGATATTCGGGCTCTCTGCACCACTCATCTACACCAAACCACTCCTCAAGGGTCTTTCCGGTGCGTTGAGCACGGGCAGACCGCTTCCAAGACCATACATTAAACTGGTGTATCCAATCAAACGTTATCTCGCCGTTGCTGAAGCCTGTGTCGGATCGTGCGAATCGTATATCGTCGGGGGCGTTGATCTCGGCCCAAGACTCACAAGGGAAGGTCTTGAACACCAGCCAAGGCGGATCGTGTCCCCAACCGCGTTGGCAGCGGCAATAAGCGTACAAGACTCGCGATTCCCTGGGTCAGAGACTTGAGGGCGTTGATGACGCGTTGTACGCACTATAACGACGTGAATGCGTTCTCGTAAACTTCCAATACGGATGCCGCACTCGTCTTCGTTCCAGACCTCTGAGGGGCCGATTCCATACGAGCTGATGATCTCCTTAAGCCTCGAGAAGAACTTCTCAACGTATGACACATCGTTGGCCTCAAATACCTTCCTGGACTTCTCTACGGCCTTTAAATATGTGGTTCGAAGCTCTGGGTGATCCTGAAGCCAACGACGATACCAGTTTTTGCCTGGTGGCTTCGCATTAGGGTTACGGCGCTGAAGGAGCGTTAGAGCGGCCGATTCGACCTGTATCTTGCTCGCTGGGAAGCCAGAGCGTTGTAGCCATGTCACGTAGGCGGCGATGGCATCGTCTTCGTTGTCAGAGAGCAGCCTTGGCCGGCCACGGCTTCGAACGCGACCCTGAAGCCATCGTGGATGCCGCTTGACGCCGTCGTGTACCGTAGAGCTCGGTACGCCGAAGATCTGAGCCGCCTGCCGTATTGTGACTGTGTTGGGGAGCGCGCGGCGCGTCTGACGGCGCCGCCCTTGTGCGATGGCATCGCGGGAGTCTATAACTAGCTCCACAGCCCTTGACGTGGCCGTCGGCTCAAGCCCGACGTATTGAGACATTGAAACACGTGCTGCGCATCACGCGTTCTTGTGTTTTGGTGGGAATGCGCACTATTTACGAAGCAGCTACGATGGCGGGGCTGTAGGCGCGCGTCCGGGAGTTTTGGGGCTGTCCGGGAATTTTGGGCCCAACTAAGGGGAAGGGGCCCCTTAGTTGGCTGCCAGAGGCCCCGCCAACGGGTAAGTGGCGAAGACACTTAGTTGGGCTGCTGTGGGCCCCACACCTTGACCAACGGGTAATGCCGAGATAAAGAGAGCCACAGGACGTTGTCTAGTTACTTTGAAGCGGGCATACGTATCTGGAGTGATGTGGCCATGATAATTTATCCGTCATCCACTTCACACGCATCGCAGAACGCGACAGGAGTCTCGAGGCGTGCTGCTTCTGGGCCGCGCGAGGGGCCCGCATACCGTGCCTCTTCATTAGCTCCCGGCCAGGCGTTGGGAGGATGCTCATACGGGGGGTCAAGGGGTGCCGCTCATCTAGGGAGCGTAGACGGACCGCGGCGCGTCCCTGGGCGTCTGGGAGGAGCAGCGTGGTAGGGGGGATCCCGGTTTCGCGGTGGAGGGCCACAATGGGCATGGTACACCAAACGGGCGCGATAGCGCGCATCGCGACGTTTAAGGTCAGCTGGATCCTATTCTTCAGGTAGGTGATCCGCGGCGGAACTAAGCGGGCAGTCCCCCACACAGGCCGAAGCGCTCCCGGGTACCATACATGGGCGCCGTATAAGAGGATCGGGAGGACGCAGGCCGTGACCGCATGCCGTGTCGACCGGGGAGGGATTCCGCGCCGGGTGTTTGAGAGGTTCTGGAGGAACCCTGCGGCCTTCCTCGCCTTCGCGGCCCAATGGAACACGGAGGAAGAAGCAGGGCAAGGGGATAAATATAGGGCCTATGACAAAAGGGAAGAATCAACACACATGCACCCCAAAAAAACTATGCCCTTTGCCCTGCTTTCTTCGTGAGACTAATATACAACTATATACGGCAAGATTCAAGGCCGCATTACATCTCGCAACTCGGTCTTGGGCTGCATAAATGGCTTGATCGAGGTTCGCACTTGAGTCTTTTGTTCAAAGGCATACGCCATGCCAATGAGAAGTTCCTCGCTCCACCTGTCCCCGGAAAACCCGATTCCAAACGGCAAGTTGGGCCCTGTTGTGTTCAAGTTGCCAAATTCATTCAACTCAGTAACGGTCGAGTCTGGTGTTCGTCCCAGCGGCACTGTGACAACTGGAGTCCCGAGGAGAGCCGCATTGCTTATTGCCAACGTAGTCGGCAGCACAACGGCGTCGAGGGTGAAATTCTTCAAGGCCCCCGTAAGGCCTAAGGTGCCAGCCAGGTACGCTATGGTGTCTCTAGTCTTCTGCGCCTCAGAGGCATTCTTATCGAAACCCTGTGCCAGTGCTTCATCCCAAGTCGCAGTGTCACGCTTGGGGAACTCCTCCGCGGGGTTCTTTTGCGTAAACTGTCGCAGACTTTGTAAAGAAGTGATGTTGTTGGCGTTTGAAACCAAGAGCGAGAGGTAATCGGGGAGGTTCGAAACGAAATCAGAGTTTAGCACCACGCCTGAAGCATTTGCAAAGTCTCTGTTCAGAATGTCCAAGCCGGGAAACGCTAGGTCATCGATGATTTCGGCGCCCGCTCCTCGGAGGACCTTCAGAGCCGATTCGAAGGCTGCTACGGACGGGTCTGACTTTAGTTGACTGATTAGATTTCGGGGTATGCCAAGGCGCTTGCCTTTCAGAGCATCCTCTTTGCAAACCTTGATGTAGTCGGGAACTTGGCTAAAGGGAATGGCAGATGTGTAATTATCATTGTGATCAGGCCCTGCGATTGCCGCGAGAAGATGGGCAGCATCCTTGACAGTTCGTGCCATGGGGCCAACGGTGTCTTGGTGCTCCGAAATTGGAATCACCAAGTAGCGAGACGTCAATCCTACCGTAGGCTTGATACCAACCGTATTAGCCAGCGCAGCGGGTGACAAGATTGAGCCAGCCGTTTCCGTGCCCAAACTGGCCCATGCTAGACCAAGTGACGAGGCAACCGCGCTGCCTGATGATGAGCCCGAGGGGTCTTGTCCGGGATAGTACGCGCCCACGGTCTGACCCCCGTGCGCCGACCAGCCATTGGTTGAATTGGTGCTTCGAAAGTTTGCCCACTGGGACAAGTTGGACTTTCCGAGTATAATAGCGCCCGCCTTCCGTAGCTTGGCAACAACGGGGCTATCCTCAGGTACCTTTGCCCCGAGCAGGGCCGTAGACCCGGCCGTGTTATTCATGGAGTCGGCAGTAGCAATATTGTTCTTGATGAGGACCGGAATCCCATGAAGCGGACCCAATATGCGGGCGCCATTACTCTGTTTTCTCTCTGCGTCTAGCTTTTCGGCGATGACGCGCGCGTCCGGGTTGATCTCGGTGACGGCCCGAACAACCCCATTTACCTCGCCTATCCTGGCGAGGTATGCATCGACGAGGTTGACGCTTAAAAGCGCTCCAGTGTCCAAACCTTGGCGGAGCTGGTCGAGAGTCGCATCGAGCAGAGGTGGAAGTGTTTCGTTTGCAAAACGCTGTGCCGAGAGGGCTGCGTAGGCAATGCCGATGATTTGACTAGTGAGCAAGACTGAGGCTCGCATTGTATATGCTTCGTTTAGGTATATCTTGGAGGTGGATTTTTGATCTTTTTTTGTAGGGGAGTTTCACATTTTAATACATGTCGCCATACCTGTCGTCAACACAAAGGGTTAGCTGTCTTCCGCGGGGCTACTGTTCAAGAGGCGCAGCATGGTCGACCTGTTTGGCAACGGGAAAACGGGCGCAGTGCTGGATGCCGTCTTCGTAATGTTAGCGCGACTCGTTAGCGCGACTCACTAGAGGCCCTTCACAACCCCACTTTATGCAATGCCTTCACTTGTGGGATCGACCTCTGTCGCGAAGAACGGCCCATGGTCGAGTCAACCAGGTCACCCATGGGTAGCTAGGGCAGCAAGGGAGCTGATAACCAGGTCTGAACGAGGAGGCTGGAAAGCTCCTCTTAAAAGACTGGAACATCTCCAGTCGAGAGGCTGGGAACCCCCAGGTCCCCAGCCTCCCTGAACACATTACCTTTACTACGAAAGAGGGATATAAATAGGGGCTTGGGTTTAGGGCAGAAAGGGAGGAGAACAGAGACACGGAATACAATATGACCTTTCTGCTGACTTTCTTCGTGAGAGTTATGAGCCCGGGCGGAGGGGTTACCCCTCCGGGAACTTCCCGGTGACTGCGCACGCACTTCTTCTGGCTAGCCTGGCGCGCACTACCCGAAAGGCCCGTGGTTCGAGTCCCGCCAGCGCAATTGAGCGCGGTTTCAGCATGGGGCCTGCCTATATAAAAATTCCCGCTGTGGTCTAGGATATCCAGGTATCCCGGGACGAATTGACCCGATATCCCTGAGGGGGTGTGTCGCGTACTCTATATACGTCAATTGACGCTGTCGCTTGTATCTGACAGGCGGCCACATCTTTTTTCGTGACAACCTCAGCGTTCTTAGCTGAAAAGTCGGCCAAAAGAGATGCCCGCATCACGGGAACGGCCACGGGACAGGAAAATGACTTCGTACGGACACGGTTGGGATACTAGAATGACTCCAAGTAAGTTCGCTCGGGGCGCCACGAGTTGAAATATTCGTCGCATCTCGGTGGCCGGATCGCATGGCTGACCAGAGTGAACGGCTGATGAAGAGGCTTTGAGCGCTGCGGTTGCGTCAGCAACGCAGATGAATACGTCCGCAGGCGATCTACTATTGTCGTACATCAAGCCTGCCTAGAAGGCTTATTCATGAATCATGAGGTGGCACCGTGGCGATATTACTACGCAACGCCGCTGTGGCCTGCCAGGGAACAGCTACTGCGTAATCATGCGACGAACCTTTCATTTGTGTATAAAAGAGCTGCACAATTCCGTGCGTTCATTCACTCGCTTCTTGTTCTTTAGATAATTCTCATCAACTTGACTGATGCCATTCAGATTGCTTTGCCCAACTGCCGTCGTCGTGCTAGGTGTGGGACTGTGGCAGTCCCCGGCCACTCCATCACCAGAACGAATTAGAGACGAGCAGGCACATCCCGCTCCACCGCCCACGCAGCCAAAGAGCTCCAAGAGACATAATCAACCGCCAGCCACGCCATCGCCGAAACGGCCTAGAGACGAGCAAGCACCCCCCACTCCGCCACCGACGCAGCCCAAGCGCTCCCCCAAAAGACCCCGGCCGATGCGAGAAACCGTTCAACTTCAACGAGACTCTGTCGAATCCATACTGCATCACTACAACGCCACTTTCCGCGTCAAGGAGCAGGCATCATCGACAAGATCCTGGTGCAACGAAGTTCCAGTTGCCCTCCAGGTAGAGGCTGCTAAATCTTTCTACCAAGCGTTTACCGAGGAACGGACGTTGCCGGTTTCCCACTGCGTCTTCTGCTATAGGAAGACACCGCCATGCGAACTCGCCACCATGCAGTGGAGGGGTCGCTTGTCGCCCTCCATGCTGCGGGTGACCAGGACTATCCAAGAGTGTGGCGCGTGCCTTCCGTCACACGAGGGCGGCGGGGTTGACGTGTGCCGCGAGTGTCGCGCCAGCTTCGACAGTGGACGGCTGCCTAAAGCCTGCTCGGTCAACAACATGGCCATCGGTTGCGAACATCGGTACCCCGAAGAGCTTGATGACCTCTCCCCCGTTGAAGAGAGACTCATTGCCCTGCATGCGCCTTTTGGCTATATCACCAAGTTCACAGTCGACAACAAGACCCGTTCGGGAATCAGCTACCGCAAGCACGTGAAAGGACATATCGTCGTATTTCCAAACAAGGTGGACGATCTTGTTGCCACCGTTCTTCCCCATCCCTTACTGCAGGCCATCGAGAACATCCACATCTCCTGGAGCGGTTCAGGCAAGCCTGGCTCCGGGGATGTCAGACACTTGCTTCAAGTACGCAAATCTCGAGTGGCAGCTGCACTGGCATGGCTGCAAAGGAACAACCCGCTCTACGAGGATATCGCGATTAACCAAGCAGAGATGGATGGCTGGCAGTATGCCGATGGCTCCACTGTTCCGACCGTCATCATGGACCGCATGCAAAGAGAGGAACCGTCGACCGTTGAGAGGACACAAACGGATCACATAGTCCCGGACACTGATCGAGGCCTGCAGGAAAACAGCTTCAGAAGCATCGATGAACTCGTGAGCTCGATCGATTCTACCTTCGTCGCTGAATCTTGCGATTTGGACTGTACTCTGTCGACTGAGCAGACTCGACCCCCCCCTGGTGAGCCGGTGACTCTTGTCCCCGACTCGGCTGCCATCGGCCAGGACGTTGACATCGTCTGTGAGACGTCTACGTCCGGCATGTTTCCTCTCGATGGACCGGCTGCCTTCGCGGATACAGATAAACTGTCGTTTCTGGCCGACATCGTCAACGCCAATCCGGACCGCCATGGCACCTCTGTGCCGTGCGTTATGCAGGTCCAAACTGCGGGAGACCAGCCGTTTGTCCGAGTAGAGCGTGGTGCGGATTTTGCAGACAACTTGCACGAAGATTTCTTCCCTCGAACATTTCCCAAGCTTTTTCCGTGGGGAAAGGGCGGCCCGAAATCGAAGTGCGGCTCAAGTCCCGACCTGCGAAGCGACTCTGCTGACCATCATCCGAATCACTCGCTTAGTTACTGGGCCAGATATGTATTGCAACGGCATGGTGGTCGATTCGCCGCGCACCCTGTCTTTTGTTTCCTAGTGTTCAACACCCTCCTTCGCTCCTCCAACCGCCGCATTAGCATGGTCCGTGTCGCTAAAAACTCCTTTCACAGACTTGAACAAGCGTATGCGAACCTGACCGAGGACCGACTGAAGAGGGCCGAGGCGGAGATGCGGGAGACAAGGACTACGTCGGACCCCGACATATCGGTCTTGCTTCGCGAGCTGTCGATTTTGGTCACGCACAGCCGCTCTCGAACGAATCCCGTTTGCTTATGCGGAGGAAGATACAAGCTCTGGACATCCGCGCTGGCATGCCCGCATTATGGATTACCATCAATCCTAACGACATCAATAATCCGGTCAAGATGAAACTCGCCATTCACAGGCTCCATGATCATGAGTCTGCCGAGGAGCTTTTAGCAGATCTCCGTGGAAAATACGACAGAGTCGCTCTCAGCACCATGGATCCAGTCAGCTCGGCCGTTTTCTTCCATCGGGAAATATCATTGTTCTTCGATAAGTACGTGAACACAGGCCAGGAGTCCATCTTCGGGAAGGTCAGCCACTACTACGCGACGGTGGAAACGAACGAACGAGGCAGCCTCCATTTACACGGACTCCTGGCTGGACGGCAACATGCGATTACCGAACCTGATGGATGACATGGCCAACCCCGCGGAAGAAGCATACCGTGCCCGAGTGATCCGATACGTAGATTCCGTCTTTCACGAATGTCTAGATGAAGATGCCGGGAAAGCCGTGCGACAGGAGAGGAAGCCCATTCATCCCGTGGAGGAGGTCATGACCAGCAACCTCGGCTCTCACTGCGGCCTTCCGAGGACGAATCCAACTTCATCGCGTACTGTTGCCAAGTGCACTCCCACACGTACACCTGCCTCAAGTATTCTCTCAAGGGGATCGTCGAACAGGGTGCAGGTCCACAGAGACGAACGGCCTGCCGCTTCAAAGCACCGTGGAAAATCGTCGACGAGACGGGGTTCACAGAGGACGGCTTGCTTCAGATCCGGCGCAACCATCCACTCGTCAATCGATATAACAAGTCATTGGCGGTCGGCCTTCGCCATAATCACGACGTCTCGATGATCTTGACCAAGACCAAGGGCCTGGCCATGGTGTACTACATCACGAACTACGCCACCAAACCGGATACGACACCGACTTTACCAACGTGCCGCATTGGTCCTTCCTGAACTTGACGGCCCTCTACTGGACAATCTTTCGGCTATGGTCACATCTCCGCCACCAGGCCGGCGAGCTCACGGACGCAGAACGTCCCCCGGAGACAATCCCTCTGAGGCAAGGAGGGCGAACCCTTTTATACCTGGACGCGTACGCCTACCGCGGCCATGTTCTACGAGACTTATGTCTGTATGACTATATGTCGATGATTTACTTGGTGCGTTGGAAAGGCCGGGCTGAAGATGAGTCTCACATTTCTCTCGATGGGCAGGATTCCGACTGTGACGGCTGGATCCAAAAGCTTCGACGGCCCGACGAGTACGCCATCCCAATCTTCCAAGGATACATTAGCGACGACGTTGAAGACGATCACCCGGTGTATGTTAAGCGGTACGCTCTAGACCTCCGGCGCCGCTTCGGTTTCATCTGACATTTTCTCTAGGAACTCCGTTCTCCACCTGGCGTTATTCGTCCCTTGGGAAACCTTCACTTCTGAGGGACAAGGCGATATCACCGACATATGGACGAGGCATCGAGCGGCGCTTTGCCCCCGCCTCCGTTTCCACGTCTCCAATATTTGTCTTCTGAGAAAGTCTGCAGAGGATGCCCGTCAAGACGCGAAGCTCTGGGCCAGTCGATCGGAGGGTGATGACACTGTTGACGTCGAATACCCGCTTGACGATGGCCAGTACGAGGAGCCTCCAGCGACGGCTCAACACCATCAAGCCTATACAGCTCTACTTCAGATTTTGCAAAATGCCGTCCAAGATGGTGAAGCCACGAAGGACTCCTCTGTCCTGGCGGTCTGATGCGTGACCTGTGCGAGGAGAACCCAGCTGAAGAAAGGCAACCTTTTGTGCAACGCCAGGAGGATCTGTACCGGAATATACCGCCTGGTCGTGGTGACGCCTTGTGCCAATTCCCAATATCTCGAGATGATGTCCAAGCAGCGGCAAAGGCTCAACAACTATTGCATCTTCGAATGCTAGACGACATTGAGAGTGGTTCTCAGGAGACCCTGCTTTCCACGGATGGCGCCGACATCGACGATACACTGGCTCGCTACGGCGATATGGGCCCCGCCATTGCGCACCCGGGTAGTGATCTCAATGAACGGGGCCCTCGAATGCTCGTCGACGCCAGTCCGGCGACTAGCTTCGCGGACATGGGACTCGCCACTGCAGCCACCTTCACTCTGAACTATCTACAGACCATGGCCCTTCAACTTGTTTGCGCATTTCTGGACAAGTATACCGCTAATCCGGACTCAGCTGGCCAACATCTCCAGTATACTGGCGGGCCGGGTGGCACGGGAAAGTCGAGGATCATCGATGCCCTGAAGGACATGTTCGCGGCGAGAAACCAGCCACATCTTCTGCAGATAACCGGCACATCGGGCAGTTCGGCGGCCCAGATTGGTGGCACGACCATCCACTCGGCCTGTGGGTTGGATTCCCATCGAGATCCAAACAAACCGCCTCCCCCTTTCTCGGAGGCGAAGAAATGGATATGGAAACAGAAGCTGGTACTCGTGATTGACGAGGTCAGTATGCTGGGAGGGGCCACTCTGCACAACGTCAGCCGTCACCTACAGGCGCTCCGTGACTGTCCGGACGAGCCGTTTGGCGGGATGCCCGGCGTTCTACTGATGGGAGACTTCTACCAGTTCGCCCCCGTGCGGGAAACAAGCCTCCTGATCATCAGACCGCCGGACCGAACGGAGACCCACCTGCGACAAGCGACCATCTCTCACCACAGCGGCTGCAGATTGTGGCATCTGTTCAAAACCGTGGTGCTCCTCGAAGACCAAGTCCGCGCACGCAACGATCCCCAGCTCCGCGCACTCCTGGATCGAGTTCGTAACGGGCGCCAGACACAGCAAGACCTCGAATTGCTCAACGCCAACATCGTAGGACGCTCCCAAATCACCTTCCACGATGGTTTGCGTGCTATAACGCCACTGAACCGCACCCGGTGGGCTCTCAACATGGAAGCTGTCGTGGGCTGGGCGCGCTTCAACAAGCGGCATATCCGTATCTTTGTCTCGACTCACACCTGGCGCAACGGCACGCTTTCTCCAAACATCGTAGCGCGAACCATAGGACAAGGTTGTCAAACGACATTCCGCCCCAGTCGAGGAGGTGTCCCGACCCATATGGGCACCGTTCTTGTGTATATAACTGGGACCTTCGTCCCCTTGACTTGGGCAGTGTTAAGGCCAATAGACTCTCTATAACCGTCATATGCATGGCATCTCTCATTTCCTTTTGACAGGCAGGACCATTCCCAATTCTGAAAGTCTACCCTCGTTCATGCTTGCTTAAACTCCCCGAGGGAATGAAGATATTTCCCGTGTTCCACAACTCGCTCCTACGACCAAAACCAGAAGCAAATGGTCTACCCGGCCAAGACGTTATCAACGAGGCCGAGTCAAAAAACATCCGAGGACGAGTCCTAGAACGCGATGACGAGACAGGAGAACTAGTCGAAAAAATGGCTATTTGACGGGCTACTAGATAGCCGCAGAGACGCTGATGGCCTACATTACCTAGTCAAGTGGAAACACTATGATCCTACCTGGCAACCGGCTGGAGACCTCAAAGGACATAACCAAGTACTCCTCGACTTTCATAGAGTTCACCCAAACAAGCCAGGCCCCCCGGTCTGGGCAAAGAGGTAAAAGGCACAACGATATACTTTGTGCCCAGGCCGCTCTTGGTCGTTTAGGCTGTTCGAGGACGAACAGCCGTTTGGGAAGGGGGTACTGTCACGGCACCAACCTGGGTTCTGTCACGTGCCTCCCTATACTTAGTCTAGACTCTGTTCCACCTCCGTAGTTTGCCCTCCTCACAGCACAACATAGATCTTCCCTGGCATCCTAGGTCTGCCCCGTGATACGATGGATTATGGAATGGCTGCAGTCCACTTAGTAGCCCCGCAAAGGAACACATGCTTTGCGGACGCCATCCCCAATTCATTGATAGCTTTCGTCTAACTCGACTCTGGCCGTGTCGTAGCTTGATACACCCACAAAATCCGACGGATAGTCGCGGCCTTCCGTAGCGTCATCGCGCAGCCTGGTCTTGACGCTCGAGCTGCTGCACTACGTAATGTGACACCCCAAAGAGAGTGATTCATTTCTGACGTCGTCGGTGGCTGCGTCAGCATTCTGTAACTTAACGATTTTCTTCCGGGACAGCGGGAAGCGCCTGTTGAGCATAATGAAGGTTGAAATTGGCCATTCGCATTTGTTCTAGGAACGGAAGCTACAGGACTCCCCAACAGTAACTAATGCAATACAATGCAAGCGAGGTTGAGTAAGAGTCGCTGAATCTGGAATGACGAGGTTTAGAACGGCAATGTTTGATGGTTTGATATGGCAAGGTTTTATTTGGCATGGTTTGATGTGGCAAGGTTCGACGTGGCAAAGTTTGATGTGGCATCACCACCTTCCCCACTTCGGCGACTAGGTCGTAGTACCTCGGTGTCACTGCCAAGCTCATTTAAACACAGTATATCAGGCTTTGCACGTGGTAATATTCGTCCCGCATGGCCTGCATCACCCGACTTAAAGTCTGGACCCCAATCTCGTCCAAATGTAGCTCAGAGCAATGAGTTAATATCTATATGAGGGCAAAAAAGACTAAACCTACCACTGTCCTTGCCGAACATATTTTCCATGAAAAACCACTCATGTGAGCGATAGAAATGAGTACTCCGTAGTGGGTCTTTATCTCCTGAGTCGTGCAAAACCCCCTAGTGGCGAGTAATTTACGCACTAGCTCCACTTTCAACAATATGAGGGATAAACACACTGCTACTTGAACCGAATCCAGAAAGGTGGGGCGGGCACGAGTAGCATGTTGTAATTGAACCTGCTGAACCGTTACAGCCAGGGCCCATGTCATATCAACCCCCCCCCTCCCTGCAAGCTCCCCTGTCTGCCCCCCTGCCGGGACAGGACTTTGAAAGCTTCCTCCGTACATTGTCGAGAAGAAGGTCCGAACCAAGCGAGAGGCCTCTAAGTCTCTCTAGGTAATACAGCTCGAAACCAGGTAAGGAGGGAGGTTTGTGGTCCACTGAGGGGTCCGGAGGATCTCCTATTCGAACGGGATCCTTCAAAGAGTCCGGTATATTATCTTTACTGGCACGGGGACCTCGAGAGATTGAACTATCGACCTAATAGCTTGGAAAGCTATTGATCGGGGAGATCGAGCTGAATGTGCTGGCGTAGATGACTTACGCGGCCTACAGTGAGAGGCAAGGAGTGCCCTCTTCCTGATAGAATGTATATTATACCTGAACACGGGATATGAACATAGGGAAGGCACAGAGGGATATAAAATGGGAGGGCTAGACGGATACGGGAAACCGAAGAGAGCAATGAACACATGCATTTTCACATACCATCTAATCGTACCGGTATGATACTCGACCTTCGAAAAGTCCTTTTATCCACTTTTATGCCCACTTTTGCTCTCTCCTTCGCGAGACCTTATACGCTCTTCCGTGATGGAAATCAAGTCAATCTTCTTCGCCTTGCTCTTGCTCGTTCAAGTGTCCCCTGGGCTTACCGGTACTGCGAAGAGAAGTGCAACTGTCCATGTCGATAATAAAAGCCAGAACCCGCTCGAGGGATTATCAGTCGTGCATAAGTATAGCGACGTCTTTGTTGACAAATACACCATCAACAGGCTTGCACCAGGGAGCAGGACAGAAGATTTAAAGGTCGAATATCATACGGGCTTTTGGACTACCGGCGGAGACTGGTGGAAAATCTGCTGGACAAGCAACAATGCCACTACCATTACCTATACAGATCCCAATAACTTTCGCGGCGCCGTTGATTGGTTTGAGAAATCCATTTCGGATATAATACCGTTCGTCGGCTGGGGAGTAGGAGGGATGCTCGGAGGGGGGGTTAGGGGCAGTGGCAGGGGGAGCACCTAGCATTCCAGGTTCAGCAGCTGGCGGTGCTGCAGGCTTCTTAGTCGGCAAGGTCATCACGGGTCTTGTAGCCAATCAAGCGACAACGGCTGGGTTCAAGCAGCACATATTACGGGAGGGGGATCACGACACATCCATCGTCATTGAGAAAGATGGCAGTGTCACTTTCCAATCGCCTTCGGGCGTGTCTACGACGACGACAACGACTCTGGAAGTGACCGACAAGCTCCTTGCCAAGCATAGGAAGGAATTGGAAAATGAAGTCCCCAAACGGCTGCGGCCTTGAACCCTAACCAGGGGCGGGGGAGGCAGGCGCTAGGTTTTATTCAGTCCGAAGGACTTTATTACGACGATAACTTGAATTCGAAAACTCTACTATCATTGGTCAGATGTGTCTCCATAGTCTCCACTCAACGCCCGGATTGAAGGGTGTTTGTCGGCCTGCCAACGACGCATGTCGCCAGGGGCCAGTCCTTTCTCATTCTTCCTCATCAAACCATCCCTCCAATCCAACACACTCATGGCTGATTCTATTCCTTCGACGAAAGCTTGCAGAACTGCAAGCAGAAGAAGCCGGCAGATCAATTCATATCGAAGAAAAAATCTTCCATATCATATGGAGGACTTACGGCTCACAGTCTCGACTGCAGGAATCGGCGAGCCTCACGCGCCTCTAAGCGTACGGCAGAACAAGCTGAGTTATCCCCGATACGTCGACAAGGATTGCCATTATTAGACTTGCAACTAGGTACACCAATTGTGTTACAGGAACCTATTCTGCTGGGAACACCAATTGCCATGTCAACAGGAGCAGTCGCTCTGGCGCCGATTACTTCCCGTCCGAGTCCCTCGATTGCATCTCAAGAAGGCGTACGACTTGTAACGCCGATCGAGTCTCCGGTATCGAGTGCTATTTGGCCGAGACCAGCCCAGGGAAGACACTCTCACTCACCTCTGCCGCTGCGTCAGGCGGCTCTCGAACGCCCAGTCATATAACGTCGAGATTTCGAGCTTCCAGATTCTGACTGGATGGGTGATATGTCGCACTGCCCATTGTCGGACCGTTGCTCCATTCTACACTGGGTTTCGTACGGCGCCACTCGTACGAAGGCGTGACTCTACCGTTAGCTGTGACAAGCCGCAGACCGAGCTTCGTACTGGCCTGCAGAACAAAGATCCTGACTCTCACCTGTTCCTGCGTGATCTCGGCCTCGTCGTGGCTGTTGGTCGTGAACATCGGAAAAAAGCAGGATTGTCGGGCAGGACTGAAAGGACCATAAGATAGTTACTGAAATGGGAGAGAAAACAAGTTACTTGGGCAATTCCTTCGGCCTGTTCCATCTCCTGAGGAACTTTTTCCATCGCCTTTTCCGAAAGAGCTTTGCCCTTATTGCTGTCCAACTCATCAACTGAATACCATCCTTGACCCTCCATAAAAAACTGCGCTCCCGCCGCAACTTTCCAGTTTGATATCTCTCCTGGTCTCTTCCTACCATATTTCGCGTACAATTATTTCCATTCGGCGAATGGCGTCCACCACGTTGCCGTCCTCGGGCAGTTGGCTCAGTCACTCGTTGTCGATGACGATGCATCGATATCCAGGATGATGATGGCGGAGGTAGTCAAGCCATATCATAACCGCCTGGCGGCGCACACGGAACTGACGGGTAAATTGCCGGCTCAGATTGGCTTGTGATGACGTGTTGGCAGGACGCAGCAACACCGTGTTCAACTCCCGCGGCAGAAGCGGGAGCTGGTTGTACACCAAGCCAACTTCGCGAAGAAAGTGAACGACATGCCCCCGATACTTGTACTGCTGCCCTCGCACCAGCATGATGTTCACAACTTGCCTGCTAGGCAACCGCTACTGCGTAATCACGCGACGGACCTTTCATTTGTGTATAAAGAGCTGCACAACTCCGTGCGTTCGTTCATTCACTTCTTGTTCTTTAGATAATTCTCATCAATTGCCTGATGCCATCTCTGACCCGTGTGGAGCCAATTGTCTGACAGTATTCGATTGCCGATGCGGATGGGTCATCTCGGCTTTAGGTGGGCGAAGGCTCTAATGACATGGCCTGTAGCTACCTGCTTTGCCTTGAGGAACGAAAGGTTCTTCCTTCCGCGTCCTTCGCCACACCTCCACATCCTCTACCCCCTACGCACGGACCGCATGCCGCTCCGTGCCCACCAGCCACTCTTCACCGCCACCTGTTCTTTTCCCCACCAACCTTCCTGTTCCTGCTGCCCGTTCCCCCGCTCCCGCCCCGGTCCCACTCTCCGGGGCCAACTCTCCTTCTCGTACCGATTGTTCACAGCCATCACCGTGCACCATGCCACGAGAACACCCCGTCACGGTCTCGCCCGAGGAGGTTCGCCGCACTTTGGGTGATCTTGAATCGCAGAGATCCCAGCAGCGCCGTTCCTATCAACGACCTTCACCGCTTATCAGGGTTCCCCACGACGAGATCCTCCGCGTCTTGCACGATATGGACCGCCAGCGCGCCGAAGAACGATCCCGCCGCCGTGAAGCTCAATTCCAATATACCGCACACACGCAACAGCCGAACAACCCATCCCCGAGACGACCCGAGAAGAGCAAGCGCCTCCACTCCACCTCCAACGCAGCCAAAACACTCCCTAGAAGACAAACGCAGCTGCCAGCGACTGCATCACCGAGACGACCTAGAGAGGGCTATCACCCTCCACTCCACCTCCCACGCGGCTAAGGCGCTCCTCCAAAGACACGCGCAGCCGCCGGCCGCTCCATCGCCGAAACGACACAGAGAAGAGGAGACACCTCCCACTCCACCCCACGCAGCCAACGCGCTCCTCCAAAAGACACACGCAGACGCCGGCCTCTCCATCACCGAGTCGATCCAGGGCGGAACAACCGCTTCGCCCTTCATCGCCCACACGGACGGGGCGCTTCCCACGAGGCCCGGGCCTACGCAAGAAACCGTTCAACTCCAGCGAGACTCTGTCGAGTCTGCGCTACATCACCATGACGCCCGTTTCCGCTCTAAAGAGCAGGCATCGTCAACAAGATCCTGGTGCAACGAAGTTCCACGTGCCCTTCAGGTAGCAGCTCCTAGATCGTTCTACCAGGCGTTTACGGACGAGAGGACGTTGCCCATTTCTCACTGCGTCTTCTGCTATAGAAAGACCCCACCTTGCGAGCTCTCAACCATGCAGTGGAGGGTCGATTGTCGCCCTCCTGCTGCAGGCGACCAGGACCATCCAGAAGTGTGGCGCTTGCCTTCCGCCGCACGAGCGCGCGGGAGTTGACGTATGCCGCGAGTGTCGCGCCAGCTTCGACGGTGGACGGCTGCCCAAAGCCTGCTCGGTCAACAATATGGCCATCGGTTGCGAACATCGGTACCCTGGCGAGCTTGATGACCTCTCTCCCGTTGAGGAGAGACTCATTGCCCTGCATGCGCCCTTTGGCTATATCACCAAGTTCACGGTCGACAACAAGACCCGTTCCGGAATCAGCTACCGCAAGCACGTGAAAGGACATATCGTCGTCTTTCCGAACAAGGTGGACGATCTTGTTACCACCGTTCTTCCCCATCCCTTGCTGCAGACCATTGAGAATATCCACGTCTCTTGGAGCGGTTCGGCTAAGCCTGGCTCCGCAGACGTCAGACACCTGCTTCAGGTGCGCAAATCTCGAGTGGCGGCCGCCCTGGCATGGCTGCAAAGGAACAACCCACTTTACGAGAATATCGCAATCGACCAGGCAGAGATGGATGGCTGGCGGTATGCCGACGGCTCCACTGTTCCGACCGTCATCATGGACCGCATGCAGAGAGAGGAACCGTCGACCGTTGAGAGGACTCAAACTGACCACATAGTCCCGGACACTGATCGAGGCTTGGAGGAAAACAGTTTCAGAAGCATCGATGAACTTGTGAGCTCGATCGATGGCACCTTCGTCGACGAGTCTCGCGACTTGGACTGTACTCTATCGACTGAGCAGACTCGACCTCTCCTGGTGAGCTGGCGACTCTTGTCCCCGACTCGGCTGCCATCGGCCAGGAAGTTGAAACCATATGTGAGACGTCTGCATCCGCCATGTTCCTCTCGATAGACCGGCTGCCTTTGCGGATACCGATAAGCTGTCGTTTGTGGCGGGCATGGCCAACGCCAATCCGGATCCACGTGGCCGCTCTATACCATGCGTTATGCAGGTCCAAACTACGGAGATCAGCCGTTTGTCCGAGTAGAACGTGGTGCGGACTTTGCAGACAACCTGCACGAAGATTTCTTCCCTCGAACATTTCCCAAGCTTTTTCCGTGGGGAAGGGGCGGCCCGAAATCGAAGGGCGACTCGAGTCGTAGCCGACAAAGCGACGCTGCCGACCGTCGTCCGAATCACTCTCTTCAATACTGACCAGATACGTATTGCAACGGCATGGAGGCCGATTCGCCACCCATCCTGTGTTTTGTTTCTTAGTATTCAACACCCTCCTTCGCTCCACCAACCGCCGCATCAGCATGGTCCGTGTCGCTAAAGATTCCTTCCACAGACTTGAGCAGGCCTATGCAAACTTGACCGAGGACCGACTGAAGAGGGCCGAAGTGGAGATGCGGAGACGAGGACTACGTCGGACCCCGACATATCGCTCTTGCTTCGCGAGCTGTCGATCTTTGGCCATGCACAGCCGCTCTCGAACGAATCCCGTTTACTTATGCGGAGGAAGATACAAGCTCTAGACATCCGCGCCGGTATGCCTGCAATCTGGATTACCATCAGTCCCAACGACATTAATAACCCGGTAAAGATGAAGCTTGCCATTCATAGGCTCCACGATTACGAGTCTGCGAAGGAGCTTTTGGCCGATCTCCGTGAAAAGTACGACAGGATCGCCCTGAGCACCATGGATCCGGTCAGCTCGGCCATCTTCTTCCACCGAGAAATATCCCTATTCTTTGAAAAGTATGTGAATACAGGCCGGGAATCGATCTTCGGGAAGATCAGCCACTACTACGCGACGGTGGAAACGAATGAGCGAGGCAGCCTCCACTTGCATGGACTCCTCTGGCTGGACGGCAACATGCGCTTACCGAACTTGATAGACGACATGGCCAATCCCGCGGAAGAAGCATATCGCGCCCAGGTGATTCGATATATAGACTCCGTCTTTCATGAGTGTCTAGATGAAGATGCCGGAAAAGCCGTGCGACAGGAGAGGAAGCCCATCGATCCCGTGGAGGAGGTCATGACCAGCACCTCGGCTCTCACTGCGGCTTTTGAAGACGAATCCAATTTTATCGCATACTGTTGCCAGGTGCACTCCCACATACACCTGCCTTAAGTATTCTTTGAAGGGGTCATCGACCGGGGCAGATCAACAGAGACGGACAGCCTGCCGCTTCAAGGCACCGTGGAAGATCGTCGAGCAGACAGGATTCACAGAGGATGGCTTGCTTCAGATTCGGCGCAACCATCCACTCGTCAACCGGTATAACAAGTCGTTGGCGGTCGGCCTTCGCCACAACCACGACGTCTCGATGATCTTGACCAAGACCAAGGGCCTGGCCATGGTGTACTACATCACGAACTACGCCACCAAGCTGGATACGCCGATGTGGAAGCGCATTGCTCTCGCCACCGAGGTTGCCCGCCAACTTCGCGAGGCCGGTCGTCCGACGTCTCGCGCGCCAGGTCCCGCCCTGCCCGACGAGAGGCACCAGGCGGTATTGAACGAAAGCCGTCAATTCCTGATGAGAACGGCAAATCGCATCTTCTCCGAGCGACAACTCGGCTGTCGAGGTTTGTTACCACCTCCTTGGATATGACACCGACTTTACCAACGTGCCGCATTGGTCCTTCTTGAACTTGACGGCCCTATACTGGACAATCTTTCGGCTATGGGCGCATCTCCGCCATCAGGCCGGCGAGCTCACGGACGCCGAACAGCCCCAGAGACAATCCTCTGAGGCAAGGAGGGCGAACCCTATTATGCCTGGAGGCGTACGCCTACCGCGGTCATGTTCTACAAGACTTATGCCTGTATGACTACATGTCAATGATTCACTTGGTGCGTCGAAATGGTCGGAGTGAAGATGACTCACATTTTCTCGATGGCCAGGATTCAGACTGTGAAGGCTGGATGCAAAGCTTCGACGGCCCGACCAGTACGCCGTCCCGATCTTCCAAGGATACATCAGCGACGACCACGAGGACGATCACCCAGTCTATATTAAGCGGTACGCTCTAACCCCCGGCACCGTTTTGGCTCCGTCTGACACTCTGTGTAGAAACTCTGTCCTACATTTGGCGTTATTCGTCCCTTGGGAAAACTTCACTTCTGAGAGCCTAGGTGATATAACCGACATATGGACGACGCATCGAGCGGGCCTTTGTCCCCGCCTCCGTTTCTACGTCTCTAACATTTGTCTTTTGAGAAAGTCTGCCGAAGACGCGCGTAAGGACGCGAAGCTCTGGGCCAGTCGGTCGGAGGGCGACGACACAATTGACGTTGAGTACCCGCTTGACGATGGCCGATACGAAGAAGAGCCTCCAGCGATGGCTCATCGTCAGGCCTACAGAGCTCTACTCCAGATTTTGCGAAATGCCGTGCAGGACACGGACGCCACAAAAGACTCCCCCGTCCTTGGAGGTTTAATACACGATCTGTGCGAAGAGAACCCGGCTGGAGAAGAGCAACCTTTGTCCAACGTCAAGAGGATCTGTACCGAATATGCCCCATGATCAAGGTGACGCCTTGTGTCAACTCCCATATCTCGAGACGATGTCCAGGCAGCGGCCAAGGCCCAACAACTATTGCATCTTCGGATGCTAGACGACATTGAGGGTGGTTCCCAGGGGACCATGCTTTCCGCGGATGGCGCCGACATCGACGATACGCTAGCTCGCTACGGCGATACGGAGTCCCCTGCTGCGCTCCCGGGCAGCGACCTCAATGAACGAGGCCCTCGGATGCTTGTCGACGTCAGTCCGGCAACTAGCTTCGCGGAGATGGGACACACCGCCGCGGCCAGCTTTACACTGAACTATCTACAGACCATGGCCCTTCAACTCGTTTGCCTGTTTCTGGACAAGTATACTGCTAATCCGGACTCAGCGGGTCAGCATCTTCAATACACCGGCGGGCCGGGTGGCACGGGAAAGTCGAGGATTATCGATGCCCTGAAGGACGTGTTCGCGGCGAGGAACCAGCCGCATCTTCTGCAGATAACCGGCACGTCGGGCAGTTCGGCGGCCCAGATTGGCGGCACGACGATCCACTCGGCCTGTGGGTTAGATTCCCATCGCGATCCAAACAAACCGCCTCCCCCCTTCTCGGAGGCGAAGAAGTGGATCTGGAAACAGAAGCTGGTACTCGTGATTGACGAGGTCAGTATGCTGGGAGGAGCCACTCTGCACAACGTCAGTCATTACCTGCAGGCACTCCGTGACTGTCCGGACGAACCGTTTGGCGGCATGCCCGTCGTTCTACTGATGGGAGACTTCTACCAGTTCGCCCCCGTGCGGGAGACAAGCCTACTGATCATCAGACCGCCGGACCGAACAGAGACCCCCTTGCGACAAGCGACCATATCTCACCACAGCGGCTGCAGATTGTGGCATCTGTTCAAAACCGTGGTGCTCCTCGAAGACCAAGTCCGCGCACGCAACGATCCCCAGCTCCGTGCACTCCTGGATCGAGTTCGTAACGGGCGCCAGACCCATGAAGATCTGAGCTTGCTCAATGCCAACATTGTAGGACGCTCGCAAATCACCTTCCACGATGGTTTGCGCGCTATAACGCCGCTGAACCGCACCCGGTGGGCCCTCAACATGGAAGCTGTTGTGGGCTGGGCGCGCTTCAACAAGCGGCACATCCGTATCTTTGTCTCGACTCACACCTGGCGCAACGGCACGCTGTCTCCAAACCTCATAGCGCGAACCATCGGACAAGGCGACGACTCTGCCTGCAAAGTCCCCGGCGTCTTCTTCTACGCCCAGGGCATGCCCGTGGTTGTGAACAAGAACATCTACACTGGCCTGAAGGTGGTGAATGGGGCTGACTTTACTGCCGTGGACGTGATAATCGATCCCAATCACCCGGGATACTGCTTGGCAGATGACGTGACCATCCACTTCGGGCCACCGCTCGGCATTCTTCTGCAGTCCGAGGAGACGAAGACCTTGGCGATACCGTCCTCCCGGTGGGGACAGTACTTATCCGGCCCATGTCGCATACACTTGATTCGACTAACTCTCACTTCAAGTTCTTATCCGCAAGATGCACGCGACGTGGACTGCCCGCTGTACCAGCGTTCGTTCTCACTGATTACAAAGCCCAGGGTAAAACATTCGTCGAAGTACTGTTGGAGCTGCGTGGAAATCGTGTGACCAATGGTGAACCCTCCAAGTGCGATTTTACGAGCCTCTATGTGCAACTATCCAGGTGCACCTCGCTTCGGGGCATCAAGCTTCTAATCCCGTGAGACACCATGACTTCATTGGCAATGGGCTCGATCAGGCCATTCTTGATGGAATGCAGAGACTCAAGAACTTGGCCGCGGAAACAAGACGGTTATACAAGGACCAAGGTTTCGAAAAGTAGTGCTAGTATACTAACCATCCTTATAGTTTGACCTTTCGCCCGTCGTAACGCGGCACGTAGACGTCCTACACTTCATAAGGTGACCGGACCGCACGCCAGTCGTCCGGATCTCGCCCTCCCTTCCCAGGACGTAAGCGCTTTGCTCCTCACAATAATTTACCCACCATTCGTCGAACGCCTGGCGGCTGTAAAGCCACCTCGGCGGCCCGTCTCCTTCCCGAACAGGTCCAGGATATGGTCGCAGAACATCCACACTCCTTCGAGATGCTGCGGATAAAATGGCTTCCTGTCCTTGCGCGCGACCACGACGGTGCCAACTTGTGACTGCCAGTCTGGAGGTGCAAACCCGGAGTTGGCATCAATATTGAGGTACGTAGCAATCTGGTTGTCGAGGTCTGCCTCGTTGACGGACTGAGTCCCCGTCCGATCCAGGACCAGCGGGACCTCGATGAGCCCTGGGACGGACGGCACTGACTGCGAAAACACGACATGATTCGCAGGGATTGTAGTGGCAGACCAAAGGGGAAACTTGCGTTTCTCGGCCTCACATCGGACAATGACAGCTTCGACATGCCCCGACTTGCTGTGCGTTTCCCTCAAACCTGATGTACCCATCGGCGGGGAGGCATGCGTGGGCGGCGGGTGGGTTTGCTGCTGGCGCTTGCTGGGGCGATGCCTCTGGCTCCGAATCGGTGTCGATGTTGTCCCACTTTGAGTAATCAATCGGAGGCATTGAGTCGATTCTTAACAAACTGTTACACTTTACTGCATGATTCGCGAACAGTTCAGACTCCTTTGCCCTTCGAGATGATGGCCCCTTACAAGTTACCTCCGCGTTCTTACCCCGCCCGCCCTCAACCCACCTTGTTGTGGCGGGGGAAAAAGGCGGCCAAGCAGCCACACCACCGGGGGCAAGCCTCATCGTCTCAGCAGACCTGCCAGTGTGGAACCAAATTCAGTCCCGTTCCTCAAGGCATTGGCGGACCCTGCAAGGGGCCGCTCTCCAGTCCGCACGCACCCAACTCTCAATTCGCACGCACCCCCCCACATTCAGCCACGTACCAGCCACAGCGTCCCCGATGTCGCCTACGTGTTGATTTAGCTCGCAAAAATTGTCCTCAACCTTTTGACGACCGTCAATGCAACAACTGAAGCTATGGCTATGGCTTCTCTAGCGCTGCCTCTAGCGCCTCCTCTAGGAGCCTGTCCTGAGCTGCCCCGAGCTGCCCCGAGCTGCCCTGGGTTGCCCGCTCCGGCGTGTGGAGCATCGAATAAGCCACTGCCAAGCGGTTGAACGAACATTGTACAGCCGCTGCATTTTTTCGCTGCCGCAATACTTGTGATATCCTGGCTTACACGCGTCGCCAAGTTGTAGCGTATTTAGGAATCTGGTGTACCAGTCTACGCTTCACAGTCTTCGATGCTGCGCGAAATACATATCGTGTAATTTTTTCCGGCCCTTCCATAATCTGCAGATACTCCCCTCTCATGCTCTTTGAACTCTTCAAATAACAAAAATTCGAGATGCGAAATTACAGTATCACGCATCGAGGAGAAAATTGACTTACCAGTTGGCAGTTGCTTGCCGTAGGTACATCTCAAGGCTTTGACCGTACCGTACTTGCGTTCTGGCGAAAGGTTTCTACCGCCCTGTCAAGATCAAGACGATCATTCACGGTGCTGCCTAAAGGCAGCAAGCAGTTCGTAATGCCATATTAGTGATGGATTCGAACCTTCTAGGTGACATCGTCATCTATGCTGTGTGATGGGTTCTAATAGTGTAAATTACAGCTATGTAGTCCTCGTGCGTTTTACATTGAGCTGAGGAAAGAAGAAGGAAAGGAAAATAGAAGGACAGAAATCCTCCAACAAAATAGACTAAGCCGTTACTGGAGCAACAGTGCTTAGACCGACAAGGCACTGCCTTGTCCAGCAGGGCCTAGCCCGTTACATGCTGCCTAGGTGGCGACATCGCCACTCAGCCCAAAATTCCAAGTATAAGAAGCCAACTTTTCACCATCACTTAGATAGAGAATCAAGAGTCTTTCGTTGCCCGATACACAGGGATCTTCTTCCCGATCGTTGTTCAGTCATCCACACCAACCGTGCCCCTTGTTGTGTGACCCCTGTCTCTTACGATCTGTGACTGACTGACTCACTGTGTTCCGTCCCGCAGGTCCTAACGGCCATCAGGTGCACAGCCTCTGATGCAGCTTGGCGTCACTTGACCAATCATACGCGCAGCCCAGAGTTATTGATGTTCTAAGCTCCAGTTCTCATTGGTCAAAATCGCTTCTACTAAGAGGACAAGATGACGCCACGCCATCCAGACGTGCGCCGTCTCTCGAAACATGCATGAAGTTTGTGCAAAAGCCCCTCCCTGCCCGGCTGAATTCTGCCTCCAGGTCCTGGTAAAAGACCAGCTCAAACGGAAATAATACTGTAGTGTACACTATGTTACATAGTAAGCCAGTCAGGACAATAAAGGTGCACTTCGGCGCTCATTAGCTCCACAGGAGTATGAACTACTCGCGCATGTCCACGACCGTTGCCCACCAGACTTACCTGAGCCTGCTTTTGCCCAATCTAGACGCTATATTCTTGGCTCGGCGGGCGGAGAGCCGGAAAAGCCTATGTCGCAGAAGAATCGAAAAATGTCTTAACCTTCTTCTGGGCGTTCACAAGCACGTTTCAGATCAACAGACAGTGTTGGAGCCGCCAAAAGCGGCAATTCTGGAGGTTGGGGTAGGTAATAGCCCCTGCCGCACCTCGAACGTCATCATCGCGGTTTGTGCCCATGTACCTGGAAGTAGTGTCGCTGAAATGCGCCCAAAAAGGACGCGGTTTGGTGACGCAAGTTGTGGCCCCTGACCATTCTCTCGCATACGTCTCCGAGACCCCACATCTCCCACCTCGCCTTCACTCCTCTCTCTAGCTCTACTTTAAAGTACTTCTGCACTATCCCGCTTCATCGCGCTCCAACCGAGCTGCTGCCACGAGACCCTCCACTACGCCCACCTTCGCCTCCATATGCCTCTAAACGCAGCCATCTCAAGAAGAGGGCGTAGTGCCTGGTACAACGCAAAATCTGACAGAAAAAGTGCTAAGAGAGGTGGAAGCACACTGTGGCTGCGGCATAGCAGCTCGTAGAACGAAGACGTCAGGTCATTGCTGTGTACATATTGCAACCATCTCGAGAATGTCGGGTGAAGCAGAAGCGCGATTCGGCCGGCAGTGCAATTTCATGGTTAACTAATCCTTTCTGGGCTGTGGCGGCAGCCATCCGAGAACAGGTGGTAGGATTGATGACCTGCAGCAAAAGATGCAGGACGCTGCTGACCAACGATCTCCATGTGCAGGGCACCTTCTTGAACGAATCATCACCTATGCATGGCCCTAAACCAGGACCCCTTAATCGTTCTATGCGCGATATTTATCTTCCATGTGTCTAGCCGTATTAGGCAAGGGCGCCTCACACCTAGCGGTAACTTAGCTATGCGCGTTTCCTCTGGAAATGGCGCTGTCGTAAGTCACGATTGGTGAGGCGCACTTACACTATCGACAAACATGTCTGACATAACATAGAGGTGTCGCGAAGCCAGATACTTAGTGTCATCTGAATCATTAGACAGTAGCTCCAACTTTTCGTAACATAAGGCAAACGCAATTGGCATCCAGAAAGTGAGGTTATCGCGAGATTTAATTACAATAAACTAGTAACTGAGTAGTATTGATTACCGTTTGGGACATCTCCAAAAAAGCAAAAAGACGTGCTAGGCTAGAGAAGTAGATCTCTATGACGGTACAAGATACAAAATAATAATAATAATAATACTCGGTCCGTGAAGCGAACGCCAGCTAGGCATTGAGGGGCCTCATCATGGAGACGCCGGCTGAGGCCGTGATCATGGTGGGGCGAAGCGCGTCGCCTGCGTCGACACCCGCGAAAAGATCGACACGCGTCGTGAGGCCAAGCACCAAAATTCGAGAAGCCGCGCGACAGCCCGACGATCTGGCGGAGAAGACAACACGCGCAACTAGGCTTGCAACGCGCATTGCCTCGGATGATGTCGCCATCAGTGACGCGACTGAGCGGCGCAAAGTTGCCAGCAGCAGCAGTGGCGCGAAAGAAGGCCGAGCCATGCTCCAGAAAGTTCTCGAACTCTTGAGCGAGTCACGTCAAGAAACGCAAAAGCTCAGCCGGGCGATAGATGCGCAAAACGAGATCATATCCAAGCAACAGCAGATGATCCAGGAAATGGATCAACAAGGGAAAGAGATGAGAGATGAGCTTCGTCACATCCGAGCGCAGTTAGAGACCCTGGCTACGCCCGCATCTTCTCTGCAGAGCAGTCCGCAGATGTCGTATGCGAGCGCTGCAGGGCCATCGCCGACGATCCAGACAATGAACCGGGGCACCGTACCAGCAGCTAAATCGGCACGAACAGCCGTCAGCGATAGTCTCTACTGTACGGTGGACACATCACGAGTCGAAGAAGCGAACAGGTGCCAGACGCAGATCGGCAACATCCGAAAAGCCATAGAGAGCGACATGAGAAAGAGTCAGAGGCAGGAGACTTGGAAATGCGCAGCGGTCGTGACAGACGCTCGAAACCCCGACCGGATCAAATTTTATGCAGAGACCAAACCGAGTTGAAGCAGGTCAAGGAAGCAGCACAGAAGACGGTAACTTCGGGAGCCAGGGTACTGAGAGATCAGCTTTACCCTGTCAAAGTCGACAACACCAAGCGTACCGCAGTGCTGGACGCCGAAGGCAACGTTCTGCCGGGCGCAGCTGAGGCGCTCGGAGCCGAGAATTACGTCACGATTGCCAAGATCACCTGGCTTAGCAACAGAGAGAAAGCCAAAGCGTACGGGTCAATGGTGATCTATGTCACTAAAGAGAGTGACGCGCAAAGACTTCTGGACGGCGTGTGGTTCGATGTTGCGGGAGAGTCCGCCTGCACCAATGTTTTTGAACGCCGCGTAGGACCGATTCAGTGCTTCAACTGTCAAGAGATGGGACACAAGGCGTTTTCATGCAAGAAGCCGCAAAGATGTGGCAGATGCGCGAAAGCAGAACATCACCACAGAGAATGCAAGGAGACAGTGCCAAAGTGCGTGCCCTGCGGTGGACCACACGAATCGTACAGCCGGAACTGTCGGGCGCGGAACCCTGGGGATGAGACGCAGGCAGCGTCTGGCCCTTCGGGCTAAGCAGCGGAAGTGAGAATCCACTTAGGATCGATTATGGCACTAACCTTCAACAATACTAACACACAGGTATTCGACTTCGATTTCGACAGACCGCGCTTCAGCTGCTGAAGGTAGGACGCTGAACACTTGGAGAAATTGGCCTTCAAGCAGGCCTGTCACGGAGCGAGTAGCGGCGAGGTTGGTGTAGCGTATGCTGACCCGTGGGGCTTAAGGTGTTACGCATTAATGTATTGAAATGTCAGTAGCTTTTACGTCTAGGCCCTATAGGAGAAATCCTCCGGGTGAAATACACATACATACTAGATGCATAAAGTATCCTGAGTATCCGTACCTGGGGTTGCCTCGAGCTAGTGGCGGTGTGTCACACACAATACGAGTCAGGGGTAAGCTTACAAGTGGGGTCTAAAGACCCCGCCCTTGGGCTAATGATCGGCTGCAGTGAGATCGTGCTCGAACTACCCCTGCCAATTAGTTTGGGCCGCCACGACATGGCGGGGGGACAAAGACGAGACAAGGCAAGACAAAATGTGGCGCGACGTGACAGAAAGCGACCCACCTGCGCGCCATCGAGGTCGGCATGACGTCTGCGATGTTGTGTTGCAGCACGTCGGTGCTGTAGTGACCCAAACACCAAACCTTGTTCCTCTACCTGAGCTCATGCAGACCAGGGCAACCATATGTACATACATATATACATACATAAATACAAGATATATATGCATGTACGTATGCACAAACATGCCTCGGGGCCGGCACGTTAAACCTTGCCATGGACAGCACGTGGCGATCGCGGCCCTGACCACCATCTCGCCGTGACGCCTAAGCCATGTTGTCTTGATACCTCGGGTCTGACCTCGACTGGCCCCGGGCACGATAGGCGTACCTTACATAAGGAGGCGGTTCCTTTCCACGGGCCACTACTGCACTTGGCAGCAAAGACAATGCCCCGTCGAATGCTGATACGAATGGCTTGTCAGAGGTGCCGCAAGAAACGAGCAAAGGTCAGTCGATAGCCCACCCGAAGCCAAAGCCCAAAGAGCCCCCAGTCGTCTGTCTCATCCCATATCCTGCCTAGCTGGATACTTTCACTGATTGGTTTCTCGCTCTCTAGTGTGATGATGGCCAGGCACCGTGCAAAAGATGCGACGAGGCCGGAGAAGGACGCGTATACGACCACCCGCGACGCAAGTCCAAAGACGATATACGGGCCGAGATCGATAGTCTACGGCGGTACAACGAGGAGCATGACCGACTACTCCGCGCAATATGTTCAATCAACGACGTCGAAGTCAGCAATGCCTTTATACAAGACTTGGTCGAGGGGACCAAGTCTCACCAAGCCATTCTGCAGGAGCTGGCGCACCTGAACGGTGAAAACGGGCGTGGCTCGTCAGATGGAGGTGAACAGGAATTATCGGCGGGCTCTTCCAGCTCCATTCTCGACGAAGCCGTCTGCCCGCACTGCCTGAGCCGACTGCCGTCGCCCACCATGCACCGTTCTGCCTCGGGCTCGAGCGACCTCAGCACACTGACCGAGGCTCCCAAGGCGACTTCGACACCGGCCCTGGCGGCTCCTGTTTCCCCGTCATTGCCCTTTGACGATGCATCACACGCGCAAACCGACAGGTGGACGTGCGCCGGGTGTACGGTGGCTTCGGTTCGGCAGATCCTCGACGCCCTCCTCACCTGGGACTACCTCCTTCTGCCTCATGTGCAAGGACCCCTTCTTCCGAGACTATTGCAGCGGCTCGAGCCGGTACTGCTCCTCTGCCCTGGTAAACGCGCTCATCGCGCTGGCAACCCGGGTGGTCCACGAGATCAGCGACGAAGCGGAGAGCCCGGGGCCTGGCTTCAAGTGCGGAAGCAAACCACTTTCGACAAGGCCGAGGCCATTATCCGCAGAACCGGCCCTCGGCCAACCTCCCAGATATACAGGCTATCGGGATTCTCTCGCTCTACCAGATTACCTGCGGGCGCGAGGCCGAAGCTCAAGCGCTTGCCGACTCCTTTGCCGCTAGGATAGTCAATCTTGTCCTCAAGAGCCCCTGATGGGCTCCGAGGCCGAGAAATATGCCAAAGTTTGGGCTACTTCGTACCGCGGCGCCGTGTCCCTGATTCGGTCTGTAAACCGCTTGCAGCCCCTGTTCCCGACTCCTCCGAAGCATAAACTGATGGGATTCCGCACACAGCATACTTCGTCTCACGACGGGCCAAGTCTTCACCATGTCTACGAGTTGCAAGCTACAAGACGACTCAATATTTCTAGACCAATCCGCCTGCAGTGCCGAGTACCTGTTTGGCGGCCAGTGCGGCAGCGGAACTACACCAGGTGAATGCATCAAGTTAGGTATACCCAGGAATTGTATCCAATCAGGAGTCGCACCGTAACACGGCTGCAGACCCTACCCTAAAAGCACGCAGCTCGCAACTGCGCGATCTACAGCTCATTCCAGCAAGAGTCTTCCAGCTCACGGAATGGGTGTACAAGCTCCTCTCATCAGCAACCCATACCCCAAACGGACGATTCGACACAGCCGAGGTCATGGCAGTGTATACCGAGTGTCTCGATTGGTACGAAGGATTCTTCTCCTACCCAAAACCGGCGGCAGTGACACCCTTTGTACTCTTTATCCAGTATGTACACAGACACAAGAACCCGGCTCACAGGACTCGGGAGGGCCGAGAGACACAGAGGGAGAAGAGACAGCATCATCCGGCTGACTGCCCGCATGTAGCATGTACTATCAGTTCTGCCTACTCTGCCTGTTCCGCCCTCTCGCCAACCTTGTCCTGGCTGATTCCGACGTCCGACCCGCGAAATCTGTCTCCAGGCTGCGGACTCTATCCTCACCCTGTCGCAGTCCTACAGCAGGCTCTTCACCCTTAGACGCGTCTCCCCATTCGTCCCCTATTTTGTTTGTGCCTCTGCCCTTGCATGGCTTACAATTGAGTCAACATGCAACTCTGTGGCCTTGGCTGGCTCGCAACCTTTCCAACCAAGAAAGTTGTCCTTGGCGACCATCTCGGATGTTTCAAGCGTGGACGGGTTTAGCACCTATCAAGACGTGTCCCCCTCCCCGACTGCCGCCAAAGTGCCCATAATGGCCCACGCGAGCCAATTGCTGGCAGAGATGAGCTCCAACCGTCGAATGGCCTCATCCATAGAGAAGATGCTTCGAGGATATCTTACCGAGTTATGGTGATGCAGAGTAGACTCGACAGAGTCTTGTTGTAACTTAACGGGTTCTCGCATCGGCCGGGGTCTTTTGCGGGCGCGCTTCAGTACAAGTAGCAAGGCAATCGCCTCACCGGGTTCGAACGCCGTTGGACAAGGCAGCCACAGTGCTTTTGCTCTCTTGCCAAACGCCGAATCTTGATAATTACCCACCCATTGCGTAAGTCTTCAATATGCATACACATATTTTCTAGTCCTGTTTTACGCGTTTGACTGTACTATGCCATGCACTGTCCGAATCCACCCTTCTCTTCGATGAATCGACGGAAATATTATCAGGGCTCGGAGCTCAACCGCTTCCCCGTTTTCCTGTTGCCTCTGATCTGGGCTGGTGGCTTGAATGTCCAAAGAAACTGAATCGACGCTAGGAGATCGCCTTGATGTCCCAAGGCTTGATGACCCAAGCCAGTGCCTGTGACCTCGCAACCTCCTTAGCCAAGATTCTTCCCCTTCGCAATTGTCAGGTATCTCTGAGCATTTTTGAGCCATTCCCTGCAGTTCGTCGAAGCTAGTGGTAGCAGTGAACGAGCGATCGCCATGTATCTTCAACACTCGTGGAAACCGTAGAGTATAGTACCGTGCATTTGCGGGCTTGTCGAAGCCAGATCCCACGAGTTCTACTATAAATGGATGCTGAAATAACGCCTTTGGGCGTAGTCCACGGTCGGGGTCCAAGACCACGTCAAAATTTGGCGTGGACTCAATGAAGGGTATTTGTGTGAAATATCCATGTCGGTTGAGATATTGCATATGGTCTTTCGGGATGCCATGTTTGTCGATGATGTCGATGATGCGAAGTCTTGGCTTAGAATTATAACGGCAGACCTCATCTTTATTTTCCATGCATCCGATAAAAAACGACGTCCACCAGAGCTTGCCAATTCCAATCTCTTGTTCGTCCTCCGCGCTATGGTTGCCACCGACAATAGTGAAGTCGGCAGAGTCACCGAGGCCTGGAATGTAGTCTTTCTTGAGTTTGATGGATGACTTGTCGCAATCGGAGGTGAAGTAAGGGTCGTTGCAACCTTTCAGCACCAGTCCCTCCCACCGTTGTGTAATGGCTCGTGCGAATAGTTCAGTGAGCCGCTCAGCAGCATTGGCTGAGGAGAATGCAACCACTTCGCGGAACCCGACCTCGGCAAGACCAGGGATCCGGCGAACCAGAGACCGAAGTAGTCGTCGCCGCTTAGCATGGCTTTTTCTAGCGCAGACCGTGTCGTCCAGCAACAGAAGATCGTAGAACATAATCATGAGATGTTCATTCATATTGAATGGGGGGTCTTGGGCCGCTCCAAGGAGCCGTCCTGATCGTCTGACGTGTTTACGAATTTTGTGGAAGGGCTCGATTACCCTACTGTCGTCGTTCCATACCAGCAGCTCGCCCTCCAGTATGCATTGTTTCTTGATCCTGCAGCCTGCCGTGCCAAGGTCGAGGCTTTCTCGTAACGCGCGATGAAGGCCAATGCGGTCGATGGTAGAGTCCCTCCCACTCTTGGAGAATATTTTGATGCAGGCCTGGTTTGCTTAAGTCAACATGAAGTTGACAGTATTCTCCATCGTATTTCCGCTCCACGCTCATTAGTCTTGAGCCAGCCAAGTGGCAGCAATGCTTGATGCTCCTTGCTTTCGCATAAGCTGGCCGTTCAATCATGACTCCAACCTGCGGCTGTAGGACTTTCCTCAACTCTTCCCAGGGATTTACCACGGCCTGTAGGGGTGTATTCCGGATCTCAAGTCCCCCTAGGATACTTACGGCAACTTGGATTGAATTCTGAAAACGGAGGAGATTCCACAAAAACGGATGAAATCTGCCCATCGCCAGTCTTTCTGGGACAGAGGCCGGATTGTAGTTTTTGGATAGCATGCGAACCAGCCATTTGGCCTCAAAGCTGTTCAATCTTCGGAACAAACTGATGAGCAGATCGTCCGAGCTGCTGCAGGGTTGACGGTATTTCCGCTCAGTTTCTTCTCGCAGATCAGGGACGAGAAAGGTGAGAAGGCTGCAATCCGATCGAGCACATCGTCAAGTTCTTGCAGAGTCACTTTCGGACCCATCCTTGGTTCGCAGTCCGTTATAGCCATAACGCGCTCAACACAAGTTGCGAAGTCCGGGCCGTTCCTGGTTTGCCATATCTGTAGCTCCTTCATTCGGGACGATCCAAGACATTGTGCTTGTTGGACAATCCTTTCGAGCTGAATTTTTGACAAGCCGAAAACTCGGTCCGGCCTGCGTTCGGGAAAGAGGCATGACAAGAATGCCACGGCTTCTGACCCTAGACGTGGGATGGCTGTATCATGTTTGTCGAACCAGCCAACAAGACTGCGCACATCGAAGTCCTGGGTCTTCTGAATACTGAAAGACCTCGTGTGATTTATTTCGAGTTCACTGAGGAGTTCACATAAGAGATGCAACGGAAATGGCATATTGGCTGAATATTTGTAGTCCAGGGCTGTTCAACCAGAGGATGGCGAATGTATGACGGAATGAGTCTTAGCACAAGCTCTGGGATGAGCGGAGGGAGTCGTAATCCAACTTATAAACGATGTCCTCCCTGCTCCATTTCCACTGAATCTATGGCCCTCGAGGCGAACTCAGACTTGTAGCATGCGGATGGGTTGCTCCGTCTAATGACGACGTCGTGTGAATCTCGTCGCTGCGGCTGACAGCCCTTGCGACATAAGTACCCATTCTGCCTTGCCAAGTTATTTGTCGTGACTGGATTCGGCACCTCTAGTTCGAAGGTTAGGGTGGGACTACTGACCTCGCAACGCAATAGCCATGAACGGCAAAACATGTTCACGGCTGGACGCTCGAATGCGACCTCCTTGGCATCCTGTGCCAACCCAAAACGGCTTCACGGCAACCGGCGCATGTATATTGTCACTTGATCTCTGCCCCAGCGCTATTTCCAGAAAGTAGTATCCCACTCGTATCTGCAACAAATGCTGCGTCTCGTTGCAAACCGTACAGTACGACTAGGCTCTAGCAGACTATTGTGATCCGTTGTACTCATACTTGACAAACCCGCCAATCCCTACACGCCTGATAGGGGTTGCAGAGCATCTCAAACATCTCGTCGTAACCGATGAGGAGATTCATTTCCCTCAGCATATCCTGCCCCTCGAAGGCTTCGGTCTCGTCATTCCATTGCAGCGTTATGGGAAAGTGGCTGCCGCCGTTAATCTCGACTTCAAGAAAAAGAACGTCCGTCATCAGCGCAAAATGTACTCCTTCCAGCGTGGTATCGGCCCCGATTGTTTCAGACCTCCAGAGCCCTCCGGCCCCTACACCATGCTCTCTTGGGCCTTTCAACGTATACTCATGGCGGGCACTCCCTTGGTTATTTCCGAGCCAGACCCGTGAGAGCTTGACTTTGTTCACTGTTTTCGCGGCTCCGCTCGCCCCCTCTGGGCAAGTCTTCCGATGCCTTCCACCGCTTCGGCGACGCGCGCGTGGTTCGTCATCCAGCGCCTGCTCTGCGGGCCCATGAGGTGGCTGGTCTCGCTGCTGCTGCGGGTCCTGTTTGGCATGCCGTTTGCGATCCTTGGTGCTGTGGCACTCCTGACAGACGGGTTTGGTATTGGCAAGTTGAGCTTCTAAGGCGCCGAGACGAGAGCTGATGTCGGCCAGCTGATTTCGAATTTCGCAGTGCTCGTTGTAGCAAAGGTCTCTGATCTTGCGGTCCGTCACAGCAAAGAGGCTGCCACATGTACAAGTAGTGCTCGCAGCGGCAGTTTCATTACAGCCGACATGATCGATTCCACTGTCTGCTGGCATGTGGCAGGATTTAAGTGCCTCATTCACATAGGTAAGTTCTTCCAATTCGATGTGACCTTCGAAAACGGGACCACAACTGGAGTCGTCGACATTGTATTCGCGAATATATTTCGGCCCGGATTGACCCTCTCCGCCCCAGGCTGACCAGCCGGTGAGTTTGTCGCTATTTGCTTCTTTACTTGCCATGGCGCTGTGGACGGGGAGAGAGTGGAGAAGGATGGAAATACGTGACAAGGATAGTGTAGAGGTAGGATGAGGAGACGAAGACACATGGAGTCGGAATGTATGGTCTTTATAGGCAAACCCTCGCCTAAGGACATCTCGTTATCTTCTCCTACACGGATGTCGTTCCTGTGATGTCGGCGCAATGGAACTTCGCCATGTATGTGGTTAGGGGGCACCTCCGCCTATTTTCGTTCTCCTGCGGGCAGTGATCTTGTTGGACTGGACTGGACTGGATTTCGAGGTCGGATCCAGTCCAGTCCAATGCACAGCGCTGAGGACTCCAGAACCGCCAATGCAAATCCAATCCTTAAATGGATTAGCTCAAGGTAGTCGATATTCCGTATTTTATAGTCATCGCGAGATTACCACGGAGTCGATCCTTGTTCAATGCTGTGCGGTGTGTGATTGACATCAATAACGCTGGTTAACTACCGCAAGCCCTCCTGGGGCTGAGGAGTATTATCATGGAGGTAATCATCTTGATCCACGATCCGAAGGTCCTCGTCGTCCATTTTAGCTTCAGATCCATCCCCAGCTTTGTAAGCCTCCTGCAGATCAGACTCCTTCTAGTCTCCCGATGTTGATATCCTCAAAAGTATTTCGTGCAGGTGGGCCGTACCAGGACCGGAGGCACTCGCTAGCTTCAATGATGTCGATCTTAAGCCTCGACCTCCGGTCAGAAAGCAGGATCTTAGCGCTGCTGAATAACCGCTCGCATTCATCCGACATTGGTGGAACAGATAGAACATCTAGTGCCATGCGTGCTAGATCAGGTTGTGTATGATAGCGATCGTTCCAATACTTGATAACGTCAAAGCTTTCCTCCTCACCAAGCCGGATAACATCTGTCTCCAGGAACTGATCGAGAAGGTCGATGGCGGGCAGGTCTGTTGATCCGACCTCGTGACGAAGCTTCAGTCTTTATGGCTCTTAACAGCCGCAAAAGGCTTCTCCTTCCTAACTGAAACAGACGACGTTGGACCGGGCGAAGCGGAGACCGAAGCCTGCTTTGTGGAATGCCTGCCCCGATACTCCTCTAGCCAGAGTTCTCTAACAAGCCTCGTAACGCCCGGGATCCATAACCGTTTTCTTCGTCTGTCCAAGCCTCGACGTACCACTGACTTTTGAGAGTCGGATTCAGCGAAATGGCGGTATAATATGCCGGTGTCTCGTCCACTTTATTGAAATACTGCTCGGCCTTACGCCAGGAAGCTTCTGCCGAAGCGGCAAGAAACGCAAAGTTGTCGGCTTCAGCAGCGGCAGCTCCACGACTGGTCTTCCTTCGAACAGCCGCCCTGTGAAGTTCCTCGAATTTAATCTTGGCCTGCTGGATCTCATTTAGCAACCAGTCGAGCGTCTGAAAGTGATCTGCTAGCGTTGAATGCCTGCCTTCCGTCGACAGGGTTCCGTCGTAGAACGTCTCCAGCTGATCATGAAGGTGTGCAAGCTCGTTCCACTGCTGCTCAGACAGGCGGTCTTCAGCGAGACTTTTCTGGCTCTGGCCAGCCTCATACTGGTCACAGAATATCTGAATTCTCTCCTGACATTGAGAGCTCTGCCGATTGACATGAAGTATGAGTTCCAGCGCGTTTGCTGGCTCTGGATAAGCTGGGCTAAATTAGTCCTGATCGATCTGCTGGTTCCCAGAGGGTACAAAGGCAACTCACCTCTAAGCCATCGAACTCCGACAGTGCTCCCCCACAGGCAATTGATCTGAAAAACTGACGGCGCTGAGGACTGGCTCGAATATATCTGATGATATTATGAAGCCTGCCGATGGCGCCGCGCTTCCGCCAGAGCTCCCGGATTCGCGTCATGTCGCCTTCTTTGTATGCAGCGTCTAGATCTTTGCAGATCTTTTTGGCGTCCTTTCCGATCAGGAAAGCCTGCGCGCAGAGATTCACAATATGCCCAAAGCAGCGGAGGCGCCTGCGTCTTCGCTGCTTGTCCGACATACTGGGGTAAACGGCGCGCAGCACCGAGTCAACGCACACATCGTTGGCCGTCGCGTTATCGGCCATGAAATAGCCGACCCGGTCCGTAATCTTATAATCTTTGATGACCTGTAGCAGGACATCGGCCATGTTCTCTCCCGAGTGTTCCCCTTCCATTTCGCGCAGCGCTAAGACAGCAGTTCGACGCAACCCAGATTTGTCTATGAAGTGTGCTACTACCCCAAGCACTGCGAGGTAGTTTGGCGACGTCCATAGATCGAATGACAACGAAATGGAACTCCGACTGTCGAGCATGTCCTGCCGCAATTTCTCCTTCCTCACCTCGAACGAATTCATCACCCACTGTCGAATAGTTGACGCTGCCCTTGGGAGAAAGTTCGTCAAGGGCGGGAACAGGTAAAAGAGGAGATCGCGAAAGTAGTCATTCTCAACCTGGAAGAAGGCGATATGGCAACCGACCAGCCACCGGACGAGCAGTTCCTTGAACCTATCTAAGCGGCGGGAGAAGATGATCGACTTCACGTCTTGGTAGTCGGATATCGAGGGCTGGCTCGAGTCAACCGAGTCTCCTCGAAAGCTCTTGTGTTCCCAGTAGATTTGTCGATATCATGTTTCGAGTGGAGGTGGTCAAGCGCTGTAGAATTGCCACTTGAGATAGCTGGGAGGTCTTGTTGACGACGCTGCTTCTCGCAGAGATAGCAGTACCAGACACGTTTATCATCTATTTTTGACTTCAGGTCCTCACCGTATAACCATATGACGGATGTACGCTTCTTTGTTGATTTAGGGCCTCTTGCCAGCACGGCACAGCGAGTATATTCCTCTCCCTGAAGCCTGAACTCATCTGGCTGGATCAGGGCCTCCGGATCGCGACGACTGTTGATCGATTCCGGAGCGAGAACAACATTATCTGACCTAGAGGGCTTATTAGAAGCGCCAGTGAAGAATTGGGTGATTGTCGATGCGGCCATTTGGAACGTTGATCAAGTTAAGGTTACGGTGGTTACCTTGTTGGCCAGATGGAAATATGGGATTCCTGCTGCTAGTTATACCGGCAGTCGGTCACATCTCCCGTCTGGCGAATTTCTACGTTGGTAGTTACCACTGCTCGTCATGAGCACGCTGTATTCCAATCAATAACGCGTTGTTGTGGTAGCCCTGAAACGAAAATTGGCGTTGAGGTTTTCTTCTTTCCTAATTAGGCATGGTCCATTGGAGCTCCAGGAGCCTCCAGACCTCTCGATCCAGTCCAGTCCAAATTTTTGAAACTGCAAATCCAGTCCAGCCAAATCCAGTCCATCCAAATCCACTCCAATGCTAGTCCAGTCCAACAAGATCACTGCCTGCGGGTATGCGAGTCGCTGTGGGCAGCCCCGGAAACGGTGTGATACGAGACGCAAATCCAGAAGCCCAAGCCATTCTCCGTCCGGCGTATCTGGCTACCATCTAGAGGCTAGCTCTAGACCGCGCCGTCACGTCGCAATTCATCGCCGAGCAGACCTTTGAGCTGGCAGCCCTCCACCCGCCGCACTGACTGCTGTCCACGACTGGCTCGCCGCCATACCGCCGTAGGCTCCGCCTAGCAAGCCTCCGGGCCGAGAGATGTACGATGAGGTGACAATGTGCTCCAATCAGAAGCGTCTGCGGCTTTGTGAAGCGGTATCAATCTGACTGATGATGGATCAGTGGATGAAGTCGTTTCCCAGACGTGGCGGCCGGTCTATGGTCCAATGGCCTGCGTGCTCCTCTGCACCCATGCCAGTATCGAGAGATACTTGCCCCGTTAGGGCCAACAGGCGTAATGAAGAGGCGATCATTCAGTGCGAGATAGCACGTATAATGGAACTTGTAAAGGCAAATATTGCTCCCGCTGATCGGTTGGAAAGCTCTATAGCCCCGCCAGGCAGTCATTGTAACGCCTCCCATGTCTCCGCTTGTAGTGGAAACGCAGCTGGGCTCGCGCGAGGTGTCATCGTCGTTCGCCGGTGAATACAACTGCCTGACGCTTGCTGGTTTGTGCGAGGCTGTCGTCCTGTGAGAGCTTTCAAGCTTAGATGGGGTCGTGCCCTCGGGTTGTCAGCCTGAGTATCGACACCGCTTTCGAAGTCGTCGTTATTGTCGTTGTCATTGCCTCATTTTCTGGGAAGCGATACTTCTGGCAGGGGTCGGCCAGGCAGGGGGACTCTGCTCGCAGGGACTTGGCTGGCCGCGGTTGTGATTGTGCCGCCGGTATGAGCCTTTGAACATGTGCCTTTGGACATCTAGTAGCGGCTCTATCCTATGGCGGAATAATGGTGAACTCAAGTGAGTGGTTGGCGGATGATTGGTACTGTAGGACAAAATTACCAGCTGTCGCAAAGAGAAGTTCGGGGAGAAGGCTGGGTACAGAAAACGCGGGGTGTCGCTCCTAGACCCTTCCGCTCATCATGGGTGCCTGGATTCCCGTTACCGTACCTGCGGCCGATTCTGGCTTCACAACAGTGCAGCAAGTCCTCGTCTTGGGCGATTGACAGCATCCTAGCTTCTGGCTGCTTGGTAGTACTGAGCTGTAAGGACTGCAACCCCTTCTTGGTAAGCAAAATCGTCTTCACTGCAGCCAGAAAGTGAGCTGGCGCCGAGCACCAGGCAGCAGCGGAAGGGTCTAGGAGCGACACCCCCGTTTTCCCTCGACCACCCCGTCCCCCGCCACTCGCCTCTACAACAGTTGGTGATCTAGTCATGCCAGTCCTCCGCCAACCTCTTGACTTCACCATCACTCTACCACGGCGTTGCAACAATTCTCCGCTCATAGATCAGCGTCCCGGTATAACATGGAAATATGTTCTGACGAAGATGGCGCATGGTATGACCAGTGCGTCTTTCTCCCGCCAATCCATCCGAGACTGGCCATGGACGAGCCGGTCCGCTTGGTTGGCAGTCACACCTCGACAAGATCTCTGGCCGTGTTCGCGGCCGCCCCTTAGTCTTTGGAGAACCCGCAGGTGGAAGTGGATCGTGATACTGTTGATGAGCGCTGCGGCAGTCCTGATGTCGCCGTGATCAGCAGGCGATTCGAAAGGCTCCTCCTACTGAACAATTCGACGAATGCCTCGATGATTCGCGACTTGCCAGTCCTGCCCTCGCCACCGACGAACTGGCAGAGTTGGCCGACTTCGCCTCCGTCGTTTTGTCGCATCAAATCGAGCTGGCAGCATATGATTGGGAAAGCGATCGACTGCGTTTTGTTCAGCGTCGGCCGTGTTGCCAACTCTCTGCCCGCCAAGCCTGCATTCCCGCCTCTACGTCGTCTGCGGTCTCGTCGAAGTCGGCCAACGCCATTTCGACATCGACCTCCTCGAAGCCAGCTAAGCCGACCATGACCCTCCGCAACGCAGCACGGCAGTCGCTTTCTCGGACCACGGTTATACTTTGTATGCCTTGGATCATCCTCTCCCTCTCTTTCGAGGCACTCATCTGCTGCGACTTGGTGGCCCTGACCTGATCCTACGGTGGCAGTGCGACCCCGGAAAATACCCGCCCCTACATGCTTATCCGTCTCGCCCCTTGTTCGGGTACTGTACCACGGCGGCCTGCCGCTCGGCCGTCGAGGAAAGCGCTGATCGATGGAACCGATAGAGCTGTTGCATCATCGCCATTGCTCCGGCGACTTGGCCGTCACCTGATTCGAGTCCAGTGCACCTCGGACGACGTCGATCAGCTGCGTTGCGTTTCCGATGCTGTTTGGACTGATACGTCGCTGTTGATTCTGCGCCCGCCTCGTCCGTCCCGCCCCTTCCACGTGTGCGACCGTCGGATAGGCATCTCCGGATGAGGATGCCCATTGCTTAGCGTCGCGTTTTGCGTCTTCGGCTGATCGTCGAACCAGCCGCACGATATCGGCACGATGTCGCCGAGACATGATATTCTCGGAGCCAGCGCCTCTCGCGCCCGCGCCCAGATGCTGTTGATGTCGCCCATTTCTTCGCACATGAAAGACTCCCATGGTACAAATAGCACAAAGTGCTGCACGGTTGCCCTTTCAAAGGTGGAAAAAAATTAGCGTCTCCCATATCCTCCGGCGAATCGGTTTCCGCGCAAACCTCCGATGACACGAGTCCTCGTCGTGGGCAAAGTCTTGCTCAGGTAGCCGTCAAGGCAAACGGTGGCCTGCTTTCCCGGCCGCCTGAGCACCTGAACCCAGCGTCTTCCTGGTGCCCGCCCATCATCGAAAGGCACCTCCCCCCTAGCCCCACAGCTCCCGTCGTTGCTGTTGCGTTTGAGTCTGACCAGCGATACGTAGTCGTACAGGCATAGGCCTCGTAGGAGATCTCCACGGTGCTGATATGCCTCGACGCGGGAGATCCTGGGGCCTGCTTCTTCGACGACGACCGACTCATCCAGGGGATCATCTGTGACCCATGCGCTACTTGTCGCAGATGCCGCAATCGTCGAAAGACGTGCCAGTAGAGCTAGTACCGGTATGTGTTTAGGTACGCCTAGGCGCTGCCATTGGAAAATTCGGCTGGATATCCTAGAAGATGAGCGACGACCTCGACCTGCGACAGGGGACGCTCCGTGAACATACGGTTCGTCACCTCATCAAGAACTGTATGGTCCGATCCGTGCTCCATGGGGTGTATATTGCATGTCACCATCTCGTCTGCCGGTTCGGTTCGGCCGACGCAAGCACTAGATCAATCGTGCTTTCCGAGTCTTGGCCCTGCCACGTCTTGGTGCCTCGCGGCAGGCTGCAGAGCCCACAGTCATTCATCAGGTCGATGATCGGCTGCGCTTCCCTTGTCTTCTTGTTGCTACCTCATCGCCTCCCAGAGCAGATCGTGGCGATTAAAGTCCCCCGCGACGACGTCCAGTTCCACCACGGAAGCCCACCACTAATCCATGCAGTTCTCTTACCGCTCTCGATAGCACCTCGCTCTTCTACTCTACGTATACCGACACTACCATCAGATCTCGGTCCGGTAGCCGAAGGATTACCGCCGTCAAATCCGCTGACTGCGTTACCGCTTGCTCCGCCTCGAGGTCACTCCGCACCCAGAGCATGCTCCGGATCGGCCAGCCGGTCTCGTGTATCGTCGTCAGTATCATTGTCACCCAACTGCTGTGGCTTATTGAGCTCGTAATTACCCTGTCGTTTATCCTCCTTGCGTACGGAATCCTGCGCGGCACCATGAACGGCAGTATGAGCGACAGTATGAGCGACTCTACCGCCGGTGACGGCATCTTGTGCTCGATGTCGGACCAAAAGGGGATAAATATCATCAGTAAAGATATCGACGGCGGTATAGTGCTGGAAATCTTAACATTAGATCTCAACTACCGTGGCTTCAAGGTCACGCGTCATTTTCACTGGGTCTAACCAGACAGAGAAATATGGTTTTTGTTGGCAGGTCTCTTTGCATGCAAAGGGTGGGGTTAACCGGTGTGTTGTATTCGTCTATCTTCCGCTCTTCAAGGGAGGGAGGAGGCCACGATGCTAGCTATGTGGCCTCATCCGTACACGTGACAGCGCACGTGAGCTAGCTAGATGAGTACAATAGATTACTAGAATTCCCACACTGGCAACTTTTCTTTTGCTATGAGAAGCATAGCAATGATCCATCCAGGTTCAAACGAGAAGAAAGACCTAGTTGTGTAGGTAATGATAACTGTGCCGAAAGTCCGGTTGTGCGGAGTACCCACAATAGGGATCTTAGGGAATGGACGAAAGAAAGACGGGCTAGTTGACTGCAATGACCATTTAATCATGGGCGTCACAAGTGATCAAGGGCGTTGGACGTATCCTTCCATTCGAATTGTCAGACTGTTGGTATCGATGAGACGTTCCAGGGCTCGGTTCGGTGATGCCTTTGTCATAGCATCAGCTGGATTGTCTGCACCGTTGATCCAACGAATCTCTGCGATCTCTCGTTGCTCGTACGACTGACGAAGGGCCATAATGTCGATCATCAATCGCTTCTCCTTCGTTGTGCCTAGTTTGATGAGACATTCGTAGAGAGAGTACGAGTCCGTACAGACGATCAGAGGGATAGGAGGAAGTCCGAGACGGTCAGTGATCATCTTTAAAGTCGTTGATACCGATATGCCAATGTCGAATCCATTGACCATTCCGTAGATTTCTGAGGCCAAAACGCTTCGAGTTATCCTTTTGCACTTGGTTGAACTCCAGTGGATAATATTGCCGTTAATCCTGAACTCTTTCTCTTTGTGGTCAGTCTCGTTAGCAAGGACAATAACGTATCCGAGTTGCGAGGATAGGTCCTTGTTGTTTGCAAACGATCCGTCGGTAAAGATCAAAAGCTTTGCGGTGGCGAGATCAATAGGTTTGTACATAAGGCCTCGTTCTTGGTGATCTATTTGCCATTGCAAGCGCTTGTTCAAAGCTTTGCAGTCGTTGTCATCAGGGTCCGGGCTTGTGCTGCGATAGAAACGTCAAAGGAGGCTTCGGGTTGACAGATTGAGGCAATGTACGATCCGCGCGCTCGTTGCTCGACGTAGCGTTGGCTATGATCAAATGCTTTGGGGTCAATGGTGGCGATTTTGGTGGCTTGTCCTTTCTACTGAAGCGATAGGGATCCTATGTCCAGCAGGGTAAGTTTTGCACCATTGAAGTCAACCGTTGTTCCTGGGGTCATCGAAGTCTTTGGTTTGGCTCGAAATTGTGCTTCCTCGAGCTTTTCTTCTTCACGGGCGGAAAAGCTGTCTGTTCCAAGCATAAGGGTATCATCTGTCTGCATTCCAACAATGCCAAACGTGTTAGGGCCTGTGTTTGTGATCAAAAGGCAGGAATCATAGGTTGAAGTAGACATATCAAGGTTCTTGAGGTGATGTTTGGCGTTGTGGGCTTCCTAGGTACATCACATCAACGATGATTTCGTAATTGAACTCTTGGTCATCCTTGAGGGTGAATTTGAAGCGTCTCGGGGCTTGCGAGTGCATTTGACAGTGATGGCAGAACTTAGAGACAGTCTCTAATGTGCCTATCGAGACGTCGCTGTGGCCGGCTTGCTTCAGAAGGTGATATAGCCTAGGGACTGCTGGGTGTCCAAATCGTCGGTGAAGTGTACGAATCTCAGCCTCTGTGAGAAACGTGATGGAGTCTTCGGCCTTAGAGAGAAAGAACCAGGGGTGTCCCCATTTACGGGTGACAGGGATGCTCATTTGGCGATTAGTACAATGATTAGTACATTCGATGGTGTCTTTGATGTTGTTAAAATAGATTCCAAGACGGTCCATATCGGCCAAAGAAAGCAGGAAAGGGGTAGGAGTCTGAAGGATATGGAACGTGATCCGTCCGACTGGTATTTTGAGGGCGATGGAGCCAACCGAGTGAATGGCTTCGCCATTCCCGAATTTGATGGTAGCCTGGCCGGACTTGGAGCTGTCTAGGGCTACAGAGGGATCTTCTCGTTGTAAAGCAATGTACTGAGAGTGACCGGCTGTAGAGACTTTGGCTGCACCTGTGTCAATCATGATGCCTTGGAATTTGTCTTTTGAATAGCGGTCTTCAATAACAAATTGTGAGGCGGGAACAGTGTTTTGATCTGTACGGTAAGCGTCTTCACCAGTGATCAAATGGTTGAACGCTTGCTGGCAGAGCATTTGACTTGCTTGCCACTGTTTCGGGTTAGCATCGTCATCCTGATTCTCATCCCAGTCGCCGTCATCGTCAGCGGGTCGCCTTCAATGCCTTCGTAGTCCGTCACATAGGCCGCGAGTTCCACGGGCGTGCCCGTGAAGTGACAGTGGGCTACATATTGACTCTTGGCCTTCTGACGTTCTTCGGCCGTGTGTTTGGTGGACCAGCAGCCTTCTTTGTTGCACACGAAGCACTTCCTAGTCCAGGGGCGGTTGTTGTTGCCTTGAGGGCGTTGGTTGAATCTACCGCGGTTGTAGCTCTGGCCTTTGAAGTCTCTGCTTCCTCTGTATCCACTACCTCTTTCGCGGTTGTTGTTGTATCGACGATCAAGGTAGTACTGCTGGTTATCATCCTGGGCGTATTGGGGGTTTGTGCCGCGTGCGAGATGTGTTTCAATGGAAGAACGAAGATCTGCAAACAACGCCTCTATCTTGTTTGATGGCTTGAAGAGGGCGTGCTGCAATTCTGGCACGCCGCGGCAGGCGTTGATAAGGGTTGTTCGGAGGTGAACTTCATCAGCAAATTCCCTGCCGAGGGCACGCTGACACCGTTGCAACTTGTCGAAGAGTAGCTGGAGCACTTCCTGGAGTGACTTCGTCGCGTTGGCATTATCCATACGAAGCTTAGTGAATGTAGGTCTAGTCCAATCCGTGTAGTAATGTGCGTGGTTCACTTCTGTATCAAAATGCTGCTTGATGCTATCGTATGCCTGTCGGAATGTTGCGGTCCAGCTGATGTGATCGATGTAATACATCTGGGCTCGGTCGGCGAGGATGTGAGGAAGCAGGGCGTGGAATTGGTTTGGTTTGAGTTGGATGTTATAGCAGAGGCTCATAAAGATGCGGACTTTATCATCGATGTTGCACTGTTACACTGGCACATCAATATCTACAAGCCTCATCAACCTTTCTTTTGCAAGGCTTATTCACCATTCCCTCAGCCGAGGCATATTCGGCCGTATACTCAGCCAAGACTCATTTTGTCTTCCAGTCAACCTAGGCTAATGCAGGCAATTAACCTTCCTTTTGCCTACGCTTTTCACAGCCACAACCCAACAGCTGGGTTATTCATTCACTTCCACTGTTCTTCTAGCTATATAAGATCATTTACACTCCCTCTCTAGATAGAAGAATCAAGAGCTTTATTCCACTCAAGATTAATGCTTGCTGCCCATCTCGTACTGCAATAATCGAAGAGGTCGTACGGCTCTCCAGTGTAATTCTTGTTCTTGTTCCAGAGCTTCATGAACTTATGCTGTGTGTCTGCGTCAACGAGGGCATTTGGGATATTATCCGGTGGAAGCCTTGTGTATGCATCGAGAGGTGTAGTCACAATGGGCGTAACTATGTTCGCTCGCACGGGGGCTTTAGGGGCTTCAGCGATAGGGGCTTGGTCTTGAACAATGTTAGAAAGCTGAAACTGATAGGTTGTCGGGTGCAGCGTTCGTTGAGTCGGTGCGTGTGCCGGGGCCGCGGGAGTCGGGGCTGTCGCAGTTGGAGTCGGGGGAGCCGGGGTTTGAGACGAAGGCGGAGGGGTTCGTAGTTCGATGCTAGGGGTGACGTTCGATGAGGGGAGCAGGGCCTGTAGCTGTGTTGCCCGTTGGGCTTGCCTGCGATACTGTCACGGGCTGTGCCCGGCTTGGTGGACCCGGTTGTACCGGGTCCGGTGGGTCGTGCTCGGGTGGCAGCACCGGCCCCGCTCCGCGGACCCGGAAGCTGCGAGAACATTCTGTGAAGGGTAATATAAGCTCGCACTCGAGGCTACGCCTCAAGTTCAGCTTCCTTTCCTCCTCAGCTCTAGATAGACAACACATAGGCACCTGCTAGTTGAACAAACTCCGGGCCAGCCTCTTACATATCTAGAGCTCACTACCGATGGACTCAACCCTTGCAGACGGGAGCTCCCCGGAGCGGACCTCCCAGCTCCTCATGCAGATGATGAGCCAGATGGCTGAGCAGATGCAAAGTTTGCGTGCCGACCGCGATGCCGATCGCGACGCCACGCGCGAGCAGATTCAACTGCTGCAAGACAGTCTGACGTCCTCGAGGCCAACGCCCTTAGGGACCGAGTCGGAGAGCAGAGCGGAACCTCTGCATGAACCGAATCGTTTGGTCGACACATCATTGCGGAAGACCAGGCCGACTCTCCCAGACCCACCGCGATTCGAGGGCGCTCGATCCAAGTTTCGCGCTTGGCTGAGCGAGATGAAGAACAAGCTTCGTGTAGACGGAAGGGTAATTGGGAGTAAGGCGGACCAGTTCGCCTACATTTACGCGCGGTTAGGGGGTGCCCCTCAGCAAATGACGATCGCGTATGTAGAAGCCGGAGGAAGGGGTGGAGACTCAGATCCGGACCAGTACCTCCAATATTTGGAAGAGTGCTATGGGGACCCGAACGCCAGGACTCGCGCGCTGGAAAAATTACGATCCTTGAGGCAAAGAGATAAGGAAAGCTTCGCGACACTGCTTCCTCGCTTCGAGAAAGAACTCGCTGATTCCGGCGGCGCTACCTGGCCGGAAGAAGTCAAAATCAGCTACCTGGAGGGCGCCCTGAGTCCGGAGTTGCGACTGGCAACTGTCTGCGCGGCGCCCACTCGCTCCACGTACTCGGAATGGGTCCAATCTCTTCAGAGGCTGTCCTCAGGTCTAGAATGTGTGGAAAAAAGGAACGCCCTTCGAAGCGGGGGTGCAACTCACGATAGTCGAGGCCGCGACGCAGACGGAGATACCAAGATGGCAGATGTCAACCGTACTAGTCATGAGCCGAAGAAACGTCGCAACGCAGATGCGGCGCCCAAGAACGAGCGCCGCTGTTATCGATGCGGCCGGAAGGGTCATCTCGTCGCGGAATGCCCAGCTCATTTGGTCTTCCCTGGCGAAGCGAAGAAAGATCGGCCTACGACCGCCTGCGTGAAGCGGCCGGATACTAGCGATGATTCAAAATCGGCTGCAACATCCAGTGGGGATGACGAGCCGATGGGAAAAGACTAGCCCCGGCGCGAAAGCGGGCGCCGGGGCCTTCGAAGGCAGATATCCATGACTGGAAGGCGTTCAAGTCGCGTATGAATAGTCGACCCGTGCTCGTTAATGCACGGCTCAACAGAGGTAATCCGATACGCGTTCTAGTCGACAGTGGATGTGACTGCTATGCCGTGATTGACGAATCGATCGTCCAAAAGTTTCGGATTCCTCTCGTCGATTCGAAGTCTCGAGAGATCGGGGGATTCTCGGAGTCCTCAGAAAGTGTCACGTCGCCGGGAGTTGTGGCTGTCGTTGTCGAGACCGCCGGTTTTGACGAACGCATCTTTGCGTACGTCGTCCCAAGCCTCGGCCAGGATATGTTCCTTGGCCGGCCTTGGATGGAGGAACCAGGTCGTGTACGACGCTGCTAAGCGGCAAGTGTACCACGGAAGAGCAGGCGTGACGGTACGCCTCGTAGGGCAGGAAGAGCCCGCCAAAGTACGCGCAATTCGGAGCGCAAGACTTGTGTCGGCAGCCGTGTTCACGGCGGAGTGCCGGCGTGCAAAGAGACGCCAGACGTGCGACGCGTTCTCGATACGAGCGATCAGCTTGGCAGACATAGAAAAGGCGCTTCAACCGAAGCCGCCAGTTGATCCGAGCAAGATGGTTCCAGCGGAAGTGTTGAACGAGTTCCGCCACCTGTTTTCACCAGAGGAGGCCATGAAGCTGCCGCCACACCGCCCGGGTGTGGACCACGAGGTGAACTTGCAGCCTGACAAGAATGGCAACGAGCCGCCCCTGCCATGGGGACCGCTCTACAACATGTCACGCGAAGAGTTGTTGGTCTTGCGAAAGACCCTGAAAGACCTTTTGGATAGAGGGTTCATCCGAGCGAGTAGCTCGGCGGCCGCAGCGCCGGTGCTGTTCGTGAGGAAGCCAAGTGGAGGACTGCGATTCTGTTGTGATTATCGGGCGCTAAACGCAATTACCAAGCGCGACCGATATCCGCTGCCACTCATCGCCGAGACGTTGCAGAACTTGGCCAAGGCCAAATGGTTTACCAAGTTAGACGTCGTAGCCGCCTTCCACAAGATCCGCATGGCCCCCGGGCACGAATGGAAGACGGCATTCCGCACGAGGTTCGGGCTCTACGAGTGGCTCGTGTGCCCCCTTCGGCCTAAGCGGCGCCCCAGCATCGTTCCAACGATACATGAACAGCGTGTTGCGCGAGTGGCTGGACGATTTCGTCACGGCGTACCTAGACGATGTGTTGATCTATTCGAGTGGTTCAAAGGCTGATCATGAGGCCAAGGTGCGAAAGGTTCTCCAAGCACTCGCCGACGCCGGCCTACATCTAGACCCAGCGAAGTGCGAGTTTTCCGTACAAGAGGTCAAGTACCTTGGGTTCATTGTAAATGCAGGAAGGGAATCGCGTGCGACCCGAGAAGCAGCGCGCCATCCGCGAATGGGAAGCCCTACCACGGTGAAGGGTGTCAGAAGCTTTCTGGGCTTCGCCAACTACTACAGGATCTTCATCCCCGACTACGCTAAGATCACTCAGCCGCTAGACGCTCTGCTGAAGAAAGGAACTGCCTTTTGTTGGGCGCGGGCGGAGAACGAGGCGTTTCATGAACTGAAGCGACGATTTTGCGAGTCGCCCGTGCTCAAGCAGTGGGACCCGAGCCTGCCGACATTCTTGGAGACGGACTGCTCAGGCTACGCGTTGGGAGGCGTCCTGGCGCAAGAGGACCAAGATGGACGTCGACACGCGTGCGCCTTCTTCTCGAAGCGACTTTCACCAGCAGAGTACAACTATCCAATCCACGACAAGGAGATGCTCGCCATCATGAAATGCCTCGATAATTGGAGTGCCGAGCTCAGAAGCTGCGGCTCCTTCACAATCCTCACCGATCACCGCAACCTGGAGTATTTCATGACACGCCAGAAGCTCACGGAACGGCAGAGCCGTTGGGCAGCCGAATTGTCCCAGTTCAACTTCAAGCTCGAGTATCGACCGGGAAGCGAGGCTGTCGTGCCCGATGCGTTGTCCCGTCGCGAACAAGACAAGCCACAGGGCATCGACGACGAGCGGGAACAAGGAAGAATGATACAGTTGATACCGGACAGTGCGATTCCATCATCGACAAGAGCACATATCAGCGCGATGAGTTCTGACTGTTCAGAAACATCCACCCTGCCGGAGATGAAGGTCTTCGAGGAAGCGGACCTGCAGATTGAACTGATAGGGCCGCATTCCGGTGAGAACATTGGTCCACACATCAAGAAGGTGATAGACCGATACGAGTTAGGATCAAAGCTTGGGTATTTCATGCTTGACAATGCGGAGAGCAACGATACATGCCTTCAAACTCTGGCGCAATGGTACCCGATGGACGTGCAGCGACGGCGACTGCGTTGCGTTGGCCACATCATCAACCTGGTCGTCCGGGCTGTCATATTTGGCTCCAATGCTGGGAAGTTTGAGTCACAACTTCGAGCTGCGACCGACGAGTTCAAATTTGATGTCTGGGCCAAGGTCGGAGCAGTGGGAAAACTTCACAACCTCGCCACGTACATCCGTCGAACGGACCAGCGGCGACAAGCACTTCGACAGTTGCAATCGGAGCTTGCCGGGGACGATCCCATCTTTACGCTGGAGATCCTGGTTGATGGTAAAACGAGATGGAGCTCCATTTACATGATGATTAGAAGAGGTAGGCTTCCGTGGTGTCTGAAGCTGCAACCATCTGAACATCGTTGACCGTCAACAGCGCTCGAGCTTCGGAGTGCTATTGAGCTCTATCAGTCGCGTTGGCAGAAGCCCAGGAATTATGTGGATCGACGTGACATCACCAAGGACTTCCTGAACGCTACCGACTGGGTCGAGCTGCAACGGTTTTTTGACTTTCTGAAGCCCTTTCACATCTTGACCCAGACGATGGAAGGCAACGCCAGTAAGGACTGAGCAGAGGGCGGCCATGGAGCCGTGTGGGAGACGCTGAAGACGATGGACTATCTCTTCATCAAGTTCAAGCAAGCCGCGGAGTTGACCCGACACGAGGATGCCTCTCACTTCAAATCAGGAATCGACTGTGGTTGGGCGAAACTGGAGGACTACTACCTCAAGACAGATCGGTCCCCTGTGTATCGTGCGGCGCTTGCGCTTCACCCTTCCTACGGGTACAATTACTTTGAGCGGCACTGGTCGGAGGGAATGGACAAACCGGAATGGTACAGCGAAATGAAAAGGGCGGTTAGTGACCTTTTCGAGGAATATCGGCAGCAGGCAGAGGTCGAGATACAGGCGCAGACAGGGCTTTTGGACGACGAATCCGACAGGGAGGCCGCCAGTGCCGACAATGACTACAGCTCTTTCGGCAAGAGATCAGCCACTTCTCTCAATGTGCGACGGAGAAGAGCCAGAACCGTGACCGAGCTCGATCTATTCCAAACTCGGCCAATTTATGTCCAGGATCTCGACGTCGCCGACCCGCTCGAATGGTGGCATCAACATCAACTTGAATACCCAGTGCTGTATCGAATGGCGCTCGACCTGTTCTCGATTCCCGGCATGAGCGCTGAATGCGAGAGAGTCTTCAGCCAGACCAAGAGACTGATCACAGACGAGCGCAACAATCTGTCAGAGGACACTGTGGAGGCAGATCAGCTTCAAAAGCAATGGTTATCCAGAGGCCTCGTAGAGTAGAACGAAGTAGCAACATATCTGACGCGTAACTTGGGCAGAGAATACTTTGCAAAATGCACACAAAAATGCACAACAAAGTATGACTTCTTGTAGCAAATTAAGTAATCAGACCACCTTCAGACCACCTTCAGACCCAGACCGACCGGTGCTCAAAACCCAGACCGACCGACCAAGACTCAGGATTGACCTAGACCGACCGACCGGAGGGGCCGGTCTGAGTCGGTCGGTTTGTTAGCCACACTGCTTTGAATTGCTCGGTGATGTCCTCGAGAGCGATTTGGACCACGAATGCGTCGAATTTGTCGCCTTGAAGCGCCTTGGTGAGGCCATCCGCCATCAGCTCTGCGCTCGGTGTGTATAGTACGTCGATCGTGCCGTTCGACACCTCTTGGCGAAGCCAATGGTTGTGAATGTCGACGTGACGAAGGCGTGTTTGTAGCGCGGCGTGAGGTCCTCAATTAAATACGCACCCAGCAGGTTTCCAGATTACGAAGCTTGGACGAATGACAAATTCGCCTTCCCTTGGGCCTTCTTGAAGAGGACAATTGGCGACGCGTTCTTCAGTCAACGGGCACGAACAGTGTAGATTGAGTTCATAATGGCCAGCATCAATCGATATGATCGACGATCGATATCGAACCTTGTCTCGAGGTCCCCGAGCCCGTAAGGGTTATACCGGACTCCTCAAAAGGTCCCCGTTCGAATAGGAGATCCTCCGGACCCCTCAGTGGTCTAGGAAGAAGAAATAACAGTCTGCAGGCCTCCCTTCTTACCTGGTTTCAAGCTGTATTATCTAGAGAGACCTAGAGAGTAGAGACCTCAACTCGTTCGGACCTTCTTCTCGACAAATGAAGTGTCGTTTCCTTTCTTCTATTCTGCTAGCATCATTTGCTCGTCTTCGACATGAACGTCCACCGTTACGTGAATGCACTCTTGCTTTACGTCTCCAGCCTGCACAGAAATACGCGATAGTCCTCCAAGGGTGCTCGTCCCCGAGATGTTGGATCGCCTGCTGAAGGAACGTTTAGACCCACGGAGCTCCGGATTAACGTCCTTTCGCAAGATGAATTTGTCCACCATGGGTTTTACTCCCGGGATTGACAGCGTAATAACCGTTGCGCCTATCTCGGAGACCTCGATGATATATAGCCTGAGGAGGGAATAATCGTATTCTTCGTCCAGTCTCCCTTGACGTTTCAAGTAAGTACGATTTACAAATCAGCCAAACGCGAGCTTGACTTACCTCTATCATATATGACAACGAGCGCTACTCGGGCGCTGGAAAGAGCTATAACGCTGTTTCTGCGGTTAGAAAACTCCCATTTTGCTATTTTTCTTTCCAGTACATCCATCACTTACGCAATGCCTGGCAAGAGGATACAAGCGAGTTGAATCTTTCGTCTCCGTGGCATGTCTAAGATCTTGAGCATTGCCAACGGGACACCGAAGAGCAAAAAGTCGGAGGCTAGAGAAATGCCGGAAATAGTGCCGTAGACCTCCATGAATGTCAAGCACCGATACGTTTGGGTATCTTCTTCCTCGACTGGCTTCCACACCAAGGTAACTGGCTTGCAGTGGAAGACGATGATGAAGATTTGCACCAGGTAGCCCATCGACATGATAGCGAGAATTATTCTGAGAGCGACGAGAAACTCCTTATGCAGAGCACAGATGCGGTAGTAAAAGGCGAGGCCCGATAGGCGACATAGCAGAAGCGTCGTGCTATAGACTAAATGTGCGATGCAGTCTATGATCTGGTTTCTGTCGAACGTCTCATCGGTCATGACGAATGCAACAAAGGTCGGGGGTCGTCCGGCGCCCTGAAGAATGAGGTGTATGATGAGGGCCGCAAAGGGAATAAAGGTAGTCTTTGTGGAAGAAAGAGTGGGTGCGGACCGGGTCAGCGTCATGTTCTCATAGCTCTATGCTCCTGGGGCAGCTTACCAGCGACGCAAGCACAATTCCATCGTCGAGTCCGAGTCCGAAGCGTTTGGTGAGAAATTTCCGCGAGAGCAACCTGCCGAGTACGACCAAACTGGCTAGGGCTGTCACTATGATGATGCTAATGATGCCCAATAGGTCTTGGTTCTCTTCAAGCATCGCAGCGGTGATTCTCTGAGGCACACGGCCAGAAGCCAGGGCTTCATCAACTCTGGGGTCGCCCATTTTCGCTCAGCTGTATAGATCTGTGGACCGGCACAGAAGAAAAGAACTGAATCCTCGAGAAATTTGAAGATGATAAAAAAGGGGGTAGTGGCCGTATATACCTACGTGCGGCGGTCGTGCAACTAAGTCTACATGTTGTTACTCTTGACGTTTCAGTCGCAGTAAGGGGCTACCTATCAGTCCTTCCTGATACTCGAAACTCACCATTCCTCGCATCATCCGAGCTTCTAGAATCTTAGTGCCAAGGGCCACAGACTGACGAACGGGCGGAGTTTTTCTTAACCTTGGCCGCACTACTGCCTATAGCTCGCGCAGTGTGGTCAAGCAGACTTCGCTCTGGAAGCCGTGGAATGCTTCGAAGCGTAGCCAGTACAGCTACTGTGTGAACCAACCCATTCAAACTGTCAAGATTAGGACGCTCATTCACTGTGCTGCCTAACATGCAGCAGGCAGTTCGTAATGTCATACAAGCAATGGATTCGAACCTTCTGGGTGACATCGTCATCTGAGCTGCCTGGGTGGCGACATCGCCACTCAACGCCAAATCCACAACTATAAGAAGCCAACTTCTTACGATAACTTAGATACAGAAACAAGAGTCTTCCGTTGCCCATTTCACAGGGGATCTTCTGCCCGATCGTTGTTCAGTCATCCATACTGTCCGTGCCTCTTGTTGTGTGACACACTCTGTCTCGGTCCTAGAGTGTGCGTGCAAACTGCCACTGCATGGAGGGCTGCTATGGGAAGACGAGCTCGTTCAATTATGACGGAAAAAACCTTTCTATTCGCTCGAAGCTGTTTACAAATAAGTCGAGCGAGCAGCCGGTTTGTTGCTGTTGTAAGTTAACAATGTGCATCCCCCCCCCCCGGCGGGGGCCCAATTGCGCTTGGGCGGTGCTGATTGAACGGGGTAACACTGATGATCTCCAGCGCTGCCGCATCTATGCTCGTTCGCCCCCACCGCCAAAATCCAGACCCACAACCATGGCTCATCCTCCCATTTCAATATTATTAGGTTTGTATCACACGCACGGCCAGGCTTTTGCTGTAACCGAGACAAGCCGGTTCGACCGCTTGGGCTGAGACACATGTATCAAACCCATCAAAAACCGGAACCCTAAATGACGGTTTTTCTTGATGGAGTAATGAGCCAGCGGCTCCTAATAGTGCAAGTAGTGCGTGTGGACACCCCAAACGGCGCCTTCAGTGCGTGTGACTCCACCGGACCAAACTGCCAGTGCACCCGGCCTGGGCGCACTGAACTGGCAGTGCAGCCCTGATGGTCAAACCAAACTGTCCGTTCGTTCGTCAGCGGCAAACTGCACTGCACTGCGAACTGCAGTTTACACTAAAATACTACGTCACCCCTTGCACGTTTGAACAGGGGCGCAAGGGGTAGAATCAGCCGAAGGCTGAGAGTCTGCGGCTCAAGCAACGGGCCACAGCCATTTGCACTGCAGGGTCTACGCACTCGAGCTAACTTTGGAACATTTCCTGTTGCGAGCAGAATCGCATCCTCGCATCCTCGCATCATCACATCATCACATACAATTATGTAGCACCCATGTACATCCCTCTTATAGGGATTCCGTGTAAGAGCTTGTCGCCTCCTAAGCCCTTGATCCCTCATCTTCATCTTGATACCGTCCGGGGGAGACGTGTAAGCCAGGTGATTACGGTCAAACGGGGCATCCAGCATCAAACCCTGCAGCGTTTGGCGCCCCGGTTCCCGACGCTAGGCGCTGCGTTCTCCACCGCAGCGCCCTCGTCGGCGAGCCTCGGCCCCCCTACGCCAAAGGGGAACAGGGTCGGGAAGGCCTTAGCGAAGAAGGAGGCGTCCGCCGAGTCGGCGAAGTCGTCGCCGCGCCGCACCTCTATGTACGGCTCGCCGTCGCCGCCGTTGCTGTCGGCCGCCGTCCCTCCGGCCGCCGTCCCTACCCACGTCCTCGGGCCGGCGCGCGCTCCCTCGGGCCCGACGGCACCGCGGGCGAAGAGAATCATCTCGGCATCGGCCACCTCTGGCGCCCCGTCCAACGGGAACATGCCGGAAGACGTCACCTCGTTGATTACGTCCCCGTCCTCTTCGGGCCTAGCGGCGTCCCTATCGTCGTCCTCGCACGTGAGCCCGACGTCGCGGCCCCCCTCGGCGGGGTCCCGCCCCTGCCTTAGCATCGCGATGATCTCCTCGATCTCGGCCGCGCCTCCGTCGTCCATGGCCCGCTCCGACGGCGGCACCACCTGCGCCGTCCGCGTCCTCTCCCGCGCCGACGGCTCGTTTCGCTCCAGCCGCTCGCACACCACCGGCGGCACCCCGTGCGGCGGCGTCCCCCAGCTGGCCATCTCCGCTGCGTCGATCTCGACCTCGCCGTAGAGCGGGTTGTTCTCCTTGAGCCAGGCCAGCGCCCTCTCGACCGCCGACCGCCTTACCGACAGCAGGCCCGATAGGTCCCGCGGCCCGGGCCTCTCGGCGCCCTGCCACGAGACGTGGATCTCGTCCATGACCCTGACTAGCGGGTGCGGGAGCACCTGGCGGCCAGGCCCTGCACGTCGTTCGGGAACACTGTGATATGGCCCTTGACGTGCCTCGGGTACCTCACGCTCTGCCGATGGCCGCCGGGGATGCTGTACTTGGTCACGAAGCCGTAGCACGAGTTGAGCGAGATGAGCTTCTCCTCGAGCGGCGTGAGGTCCTTCAGCTCGTCGGGGTACGCGTGCTCGCAGCCGAGCCGCCCGTGGAGGTGCATGGCCGGCGACGCCCCCTCGCGCCCGGCACATCGTGCGCACTCCGCGCAGACCGGAACCGGCCTGCCCTCCGGGAAGCAGCTTCGGCACCCGAACGGGGACCGCCCGCCCCCCGCAGCGTCGCTCCGCGACCACCCCTCCCCCGCCATCTCCCTCAGCTCCCCCCTTATCCCGCTTCCGGTAGCAGAGCGTGCAGGTCATAATCGGCAGCGTGCCGGCGTCGTGGAACGCCCGGTAGAACCTCCGCACCGTCCTCACCTGCCTCTCGCGCGGCACCGGCGCGCACCACGTCTGCTCGTTGGCCAGCCTCTCGCCCGCCTCGAACTCCTCGTCGAGGTGCCGCAGCGCGCTGGCTAGGTCCTCGGCCTGCAGCTCCCTTCGTCTCGGCATCCTTTCGCCGACCCGGGCGCGTTTCCGCCCGGCCTGCCCACCACTAAGATGGCGTTTCCTCTTCTGCTCTTCTCTCGCCTGCCGTCTTATCGCCGCTCTACCTGCGGCCGGTTAGCTGTCGCGGCTATACACCTTCACCTCGCTCTACGGCCGTACCTGCTGGTGCGCTATCTCTGCCGCTAACAAGCGGCCCGGCTGCGGCGGGAGTTGTGGCAAGAGCCTCCACTCTGCTGGCCGGCCGGGACTGGATGGCTCTCGGCGAGTGCTGGCTTCCGGCCGAGACTACGGCCGGGCTAGTCCCGCTCGACGGCGGCGAAGGGCCGGCGGCCCTCCATGTTGGCTGGGGCTGGATATCCTGCGGAGCCCCCCGGCTTCCGGTAAAGGCTGAAGCCAAACCTATCCCGTTCGACGGCGGCGAAGGACCGGCGGCCCTCCATGTCGGCTGTGGCCGAATGTCCCGCGGAACGTCCGAACTTCTCGTCGCCAGCGGCAAAGGCCCGGCGGCCCTCTTTGGCGCCTGGGGCCGGATATCTTGGGAAGCCCCCCGGCTTCCGGCCAATGCTGAAACAAGCGGCCCGGCTGCGGCGGGAGTTGTGGCCGGAGCCTCGGCCCTACTGGCCGGCCGGGACTGGATGGCTCGCGGCGGCAACGGGCCGGCGGCCCTCCGCTGGGGCCGGGCATCCTGAGCCCCCCGCCTTCCGGCCAAGGCTGAAGCCAAACCCATTACGTTTGACGGCGGCGAGGGCCCGGCGGCCCTCCATGTCGGCTGAGGCCGAATGTCCCGCGGAGCGTCCGAACTCCACGTTGCCGGCGGCGGAGGCCCGGCGGTCTCCACCGTCGGCAGAGGCCGAATTTCTCTCGGTGCACGTCGGATTTTCCCTGAGGCCGAGACGGCGCTCGGCCTGCCTAGCGGCAGCCACTGCCCCGCCGCACTCGGTGTCGGCTGAGGCTGGATATCCCGCGGCGCGACTCGGCCTGCGCTGATCCTCCATTTCCCTAGTCCTGGCGGTCTTCCCCGCCCTCGCCTCGGAGGCGCCTCCCTTGACGCCTCTTCTTGCTCTCTCCGAGAGGCGCCGCGACCGAGTGCCGGCGCTGCTGTGATCGGCCGGAACTCTGGTCCTGTGTACGGCGCTGCTCGGGCTTCTGGCGCCGGGCTTGCCCTGTCACCCGCTCCGGACTGGGCCCTCCCGTTAGCTGGCTTCATCGCGACACCGGTCTACCGAGGCCCCCGCGGACCTCTTGTCTTCCTCTCTTGCGCTGCCTCTTCGGCCCCGCCTACTTGCGGTGCTACTGGGCTCCCGGCGTTGATCCTCGTAAGTGTAATAACGGCGTATAAGTCCTTGCCTCGACCATTCGTCCTGCACTTGTCTTGCTGACTGGCACCCCTCCTGTGGGTGCAGGATCCTCTAGGGAAGTCTATATATCTTATATCTTACTCGTAGCTCTCTAGTACGTCTACAGGCGTGCCGCTGCTCTTTACATTATACCGGCGCCGCCTTGCTATCGAGCCCGCCCGCCATTGCCCGCCGCTAAAGGCGGCTACGGCCTCGGCCGGTCCTTACGTGTAGGTCGCCGAGACGGCCTCTTCTTGCCTGTGCTTTGCATGGTACACTTTCCCTTCTTGTCATCTAGGTCTTGTCGGTCAAAGCCTCAGTACGCCCCTAGACGCTCGCCTGCTGAATTTTGAACCCATGTCTTACACGTGTTGCGAATAAGTCTGCCTCCTTCTCCTCGAACATAGCCTCGCGCGTCCTGCTTGTCTTAAAACCCTCTACGTCTTACTATACCGCCTTTCGAGGTTTCCTCTTCTCCTCTTGTCGCATTTTTCTCTATGCGCATCTTATAGACCTCCTTTATATAGGCTCCTTATCTTAGCCTACCGCTAACGCTACGTTGCGTCTTCGTTTAGGATCCTTTGACTTCTCTTATACACCACGGCCACGAGCCCTTCCCTACTACACTAAACTCTTAAGACGGCATATTGGTAGGGAGCACTCCTGCCCCTATACCTCGCCGCTTCTAGCTTCGCTCCGGCAACGTTGCTCTTCCACCACACGGCCTCGCCATGTCTTCGTCTCCGTCGGCGGACAGCTCTGCCCCGCACCTCCGCAAGCCCCTTGCCACTAGCAAGGGCGCGGGCGGCGACATGTCCATGATGTTCTTCGCCCAGCCCGACTGCCCCGCGAGGTTTGCCCATCAGGACGAGCACCGCATCAGGGGCCTTAACGCCGAGGCCATCGCCCGAGTCCTCCTGCCGGTGCCCTCGTGGCTGCTAGAGTCGGAGTATGCACCCCTCCGGGCCGAGGGCGACGATCTAGGGCCCTCCCTCTTCTTTAGTCTAAACCTCTCCATCTACGGCCAGCCGGTCGTCGATACCGACTGGTCCGAGCAGTGGTTCTTTATGAGCGGCCGCGTTCACCCCTACGCCCTCTCCTGGGAGGTGGAGCGCCGCGACGGCCTCGAGGCCGGCCCGGACGATGCTATTCTCTACACCGTGCCCGCCCTTATCGTCCGCGACCAAGGTTACCAGCCGTGGGCCCCCCTCCCCTTTTCATTGTAATGCGCCTCCTCACCCACCGCCCCGCTGACTTTGCCCCCTAGCGTCCTGCCGCGCTCCTTGGCCTCTAGCGGCCAGTTCCCGTCTACGCCTCCCGTTGTCTCCTTCCATGGCGTCGTAGCCGGGCCCGGCCTCGACCTCCTGCGTCGAGACTTCCTGCCCGGTCTCGGGCCCGACCAGCTCCGCTGCTGCGGCTTCGTCCGGCTCACGACCTACATCGCCCTGGCCTGCCGGACAGGATTCCATTCAGGGCTACCACCCCTTCGAGGTCTTTGTTATCTTTCCGTCTACGTTAACCCTTGGGCCGTGCTATGCAAGAAAATCGCCGAAAAGTCTAACTCTTCCTTCCTGCCCGGCGTCCCCTTTACCTGCACCGGAAAGGTCGTCGGCCTTCTCGACCACCGCGTTATGCTCTCCCCCCCGGGCTCAGAGCGCGATTACGTCTTTATCATCGTCCCGGACAGCTGGACCTTTGTCGATAGGCCCTCGGCCGCCGCCGCCGCCTCGGCTTCCCCCCTCGCTACGCCCCTTAGGCGCCAGACCCCATCCGCCTCCTCTACCTTCGATTCCGTCCGCGCCGCCTTGTACTCCGTTGCTGCGCCGGCCTCGGCCGCATCGGTCCCCCCTTCCTCGGCGTCGGCCCCGATCGCCCTCGACCCCGTCACGCCGCCTCCTAAGCGCTCCCACCCGGCCCTTGCCGATACGCCCATGAAGAGGGCGCGCTTGCTGCAGCTGCAGCATTCGCCGCCTTCCTCGTCATCGAACACCGTCGGCTCCGCCGCCCCCTCCTCCTCTCCCCCGTCAGCTGCTTCTTCGTCTCGACCAGACGGCGCCCCGCCCGCTCCCGCTCCGACGGCCAGCCCGGGTTGCCCTCTCGACTCTATCATAGCGAGCACCTCCGACCCGCCCGCTCGCCCTCTCCGCTATCGCATGCAGAAATAAGTTGCCTGCTATAAACCCGTCGCTCTCTTACGCCTCCTGCCTGTACTAAAATGAACCGTTTCCCTTTCGGGATGCTATTCCTAACGCAACTTGTCGCTTCAAAATTACTATTAATCTACACATTACAATGTTTGTCCCTTTGTTAAAGGGACAGCTTTCGCTAACGAACCCGTTTCTTACAAAGTGCCCGCCTCTAGACGTTCTCCGTTATCTCGTTTATGTCCTGAGCGTTGCGCCTCGTCCCTTCTCTTTCCCTTCCCTCCCTTTCCTCCTCTCTCTTGCCAGCTTGCCGCCGCACCTCTCGGCTGCGTTTAGCAGCGACGAGGGGGCTGTAGTTGCGCCTCGGCAAATGGCGTCTTTGTTGCGGAAGCCGACTCCGCTTCTCGCCTATCGGTCATTGCTCTACATGGAGGATACGGTTTTCTACTGTAAAATCTTATATGCCGTTCCTTAGTTGTGCAAGCCATAGGGACGAGGGTCGCGGCGATGCTACTACTGTTAGACTCTCCGTTCAGACGGGTGGAGGCGGTCTTGCAGGCCCGTCGTCGACCTCGGTTGGCGTTCTGTCTCTTGAAGTCGGCGGTAGTTTCTACAAAGGCCGTTGCGGCGGTTAGCGGCCGTATGAGGCTGGCCGTAAGTCCGCCTCTGCGGCGTTGCTTGCTTCCTCTCCCTAGCTCCCTAGCTTGCCTTTGGCTTGCATCCCTTCTTGTGCGCCTTCCAGTCCTCCTTTTGGTGTTGCCTGCTGCAGTACGCGACCGCCAGGCATCGGCTGCACCTCCTCGCCCCCGCCGTCTCTCCGCACACCCGGCAGACCTTCCCCTCTGTGCTCTGCCGACCCTGCCCTTGCATTTGCTGTGCGCCCATGTTTCCGCCCGCCTGCCCCGTCTCTGCCATCGTGTCCTGCATTTCCTGCCTCGTCCTAATTTCGCATCCTTCTTTGCCGCAGAACGACGACACGACCACGAGCACAAACGGCCTCTCTGCGTGTAGGTACGATATCGGGCTCTGTAGAATGTCCTTTGCGAGTCCGCCGCAGCTCGCAGCGCGCCCTGATGCCTTCCGACACGCTGCCTCGTGCTCCCGTAGGATCGGCCTTATCCACTGTAGGAACCGTGCGCTGGCTTCGTCGTTCGGCCTCGCCTGGCCTACCTGCGTCACGAGCGTCTTCGGGATGCTATGCTTGTACTTGAGCTCCGTGGCCCCGAATTCGCACCAGAACTCCACGGAAACGTTGCAAGTGGCCATGCTGTAGTTGTTTTCCTAACTGCTCGATCGGTAGCTAGAGTAGACGCTTCTGCTCTCCTATTCGTGCCTTGGTGCCTCTCTTATACTCCCTTCCTCTCTCTTACCCCGCAACCGTTATCATCGCTGTATTTGCCTTCTTGCTTTTTCTCCCTCTTCCCGCTGCGGGATGGTGCCCGAATGGCCAATTTATTTGCCTACCTTCTTGCATGCATTAGTTCCTGGCGCTACCGCCTGCTTGCGTTCTTTGCTCTCGCCCTCTGTCTTCGTCTTGTTTGTCTCAATCCTCAGTCTTCGTTCCTCAAGGCTTTTTGCGCAACCCATGAGGGGTTGCCTTACCTGTTCCTCAAGGCACAGGGTAAGACAGGGTAAGAAGAAGCCTTTCGTTCCTCAAGGCATAGTCAGCCTTCGGCTGAATTAGCAACACTGAATTCGCGATTGAGATGGAGCGGCTCGACAGAAAGCCGCAACCATCAGAAGACAACTGAGCTCTAACAAGCAACTGCACTAAGTTACTAACGCATCTCAGCTTCGGAACTGGCAGACCGCGCTTCAGCTGCTGTGAATAGGATGCTGAACACTTGGAGAATTCGGCCTTCAAGCAGGCCTGTCATGGGACCAATGATAACGAGGCTGACCAGCAAACGATAAGACGACAATCTGTTGGGCTTGGGGAGTCAAGGAACAAACGTGCTGAACTGTACTCTAGACTGTGTAAAGGCCTTATAGGGACCTCCCTCCGGGCGAAATAAATCCTACCTACCTACCTACCCGACATTCTGGACTTAAGCGTTGAGCCTAAGTGAAGGAAGATTAGCAGACGAATTGGTGGAAAGAAGGCAAAAGGAGTAACGCACACCAGGATTATAAACCTGACGGCAGGGGAGACATTTCCTAGTGCGCTAAGACGGGTCAATGAGATGAATGAATTGATCGTCTTGCTTGAGCCCTTCCAACTTCTAGAACGGTTTCGGAACTTCTTTCTCCACAGGGTCACCCGTCGGCTGACCACAGATCCGAGAATTAGTGCGAACCGGGACGTTTACGCGGCGTGACAAGCGCAAGTGGAGAGCGTGAGACAACACTGACGGGTTCCGTCAAAAGATCACGTACTTCCGAAACAGAGCATCAAGAGACGAGAGATGGGCGAAGAAGGTCAGCTACAAGTCCGAAGGCATTTAGTGTGGTGCCCTATCTAGACTTGAGTGCGCATCCACGCAAGCGCTACCCTGACATCTCTCTATCTTTCTTTGCTCGGGAGCACCGGCTGTGGTGCTGGCGGACGGTGAGAGTGTATAGCTGAAACTAGGGATGCGAATACCTGGCCTCCATGCGTGCCCCCATGTCCTGGGAGCAGACCGTGACTCGGCCCTTGCGCCTCTGAAACCTCTATGCCTCGGCCCGCTCGTCGGCCTCCTGGGGTCGTCTTGCCAGCGGCTCGCCGGCTTCCCCCGGGGCTAGCTGCCAGGGAAAGCGGAAATGCCTATACTGATGAAGAGAGGCCTTTGAATCGCGCGTCCTAGCGTGGAAAACTAGTAAACACCTCGGGGCTAAATTCTTGGTCTTGTTCCCCGTATGATCTACATGGATCCTGTCTAGTGCATTAAATTGACAGCTCTTCCCGCAGCTCCCGTCAAAATAGCTTTATGGTGATCACCAATGGTACGGAAGGTTCTTCCGAGGCTTGGGAAAAGGCGTAAGGCAGTGCCGATGCACGTAGCACGAGCCTGGCCTGGAGGATGTACCTGTCAGAGGCCTGGACTCTAGCAATGGGGGCCGTGTTTCAGGAGGATGTGCTGCGGCCAGCCCGGTTCACCTTCGTTCATGCACCCAAGAGCTCCGATGGAGACCGCCGAACACTGTCTATGGATTTCGTCCTCCTTTTCGGTGGATTACAGGCGCTGCGTTGGGGATCTGGCATGAGTCGTCTACATCCTCAAACTCATGAAAAGGCCTCAACATGGCCGCCAACCCATGCCAGAAACCAATGGCCCATCAATGCCAGACTCCTGTGACCCGTGCCAGGAACCTGTCATGGACGTAGGCCAAGGCGAATGAGCATTGTGGATATGAATCACTGGTGAAGCTGCCAGGCTGATTGCACATCGAAACCTGTTTCGCCGATGGGAGTTCTCTGTTAGCAATGATTCGGTCAGCGAATTGAGTGAATACCATCTAGACCTGCTGCCATGCTTCATTCAATGTCTTCTGTGTGGCTGCCTCCCTTCTCACCGCGAGCGGCTCTGCTCCGCCTCCTTCCTCTGGTCTACTCCTCAATCTTGTCCGCCCCGTCAATCGTAGATAAGCTCGACACTGCTCTCGAGTCCCGAGTCAGGGCAACAAGTGCACGGGCTGACCCCCTAGTACCTCTATTTGGAGTCGTAGCCGGTATATGAGTGGCCAGGGTGCCGCGGGGGAAAATCCATATTCATGTACGCGCTTTAGTCGGTGTCGGTCCGCCCGCGACCCTGATGCGCGTTGATGAAACGTGTCGCACTCCGACCCGATTCTCTACTCCACTGTGTCCCCTAATAGCAATTCTCGCAGGGATAAAAAAATGGAAGGTAAGAGTCAATCTGTTCATCGTCGTCTATCTAAAATGAATGTGAGAAGTTCTGTCTTCTTATAGTCGTGTGGCTGCCTTGAGGTGGCGATGTCGCCACCTAGGCTGCTTATGTGACCTTGTTTTCTAGAAGGTTCAATGACACCGCTTAAGGCTTAACAATCGCGCGTTTCACCCAACATACGTATCCTGAATGCGACAGCAATCCTTTACTTTTGGATTCAACATTCCTTTTTCTCGTACTTCGCCACTATGCAAGCCACTTATATGCTTCTTCGTATTGACACTCTTTCAGCTCTCAAGCTGCAATCTGCCCTCTTTAGGACCACCTCTTTCTCCCTTCTACAAATAAGGGTTCTCCTCCCGCACCTTTCTAGATAGGACAGACAGATTTCAATATATTCGGTGACCCCTATTATTTGTGCTCAATTGTAGCAATCATCCACATTAACACTCAAGCTTCCGCAACTCCACACTGCAAGAAAACTGCTTGAACGCTGCCGCCAGCCTAGTGCTTGGGGCCCTCAGCCGGGCATGGTGCGCGAGGGCGTAGAGGGTTCGAAGTAACGGTCGTACAATGTATAGATCGTAATGTCTATTTGTCTTGTTCTATATCGTGTGAATCATTTCATGCCCGTCTCCAATGCCTCGTCCATTTGGGAGGGCCTTGCGTCTCCGGCGTTCGATTGTATCATGTCCCATGTCTATAAGCAGCCTCGGTTCTAAAGCCCAATTTTTTTGGTTTCAGCCCCAATTTTCGTCATCCTCGTCCGCTTCCCACTCGTACTTGGAAGACTCGACGCGCTTCCGTGATTCGATCGCACCGAATCGTGGCCTTTGCTGGATCATGTTGCCTTGATTTTGTCTGGGGCTTATCGGTCGCGACTTTGGCGGCGGAGCCGTCATGATTGGCGCCGAGATGTGGATGCACTGCATGGTTTCTTTTTCCTGTCGCTTCCGTGGCGAGAGTGCGGATAGGAAAGAGGATATTTTGGATTTGCATGTGGACTGCGGATAGTCGAAGAAGTTAACAGACTCGTCTTCGGCCTGCACCAAGGGGTTTTCGAGGTAGTAGTCCCTGACCATATTGCCGGATCTGTCCGCCGAGAGTCTCCGTATTGTGAAGAGAGAGAGGCTTCAAAGTGTAGCGCGTCGTGTCAAGTTGCTGGCTATGCGGCCCTTGAAGCCTCGTGACGTCTTGTGTAGGTAGACGTCTGGTAGAGTGTATGTTGCCGAAGCAGAGGACAGGGCGCTGGGAGAAAACCGAGGAGCAAGGCTATTCGCTAAAAGAAGAAGTACGATACTGATTGCAGATGGCTGATGGAGAAGACGAAAAGGAGGCATGGCCCTTTTTATACATGTGAATAAGCCTTCAGCAAGCTTTGGAGTTGACGTGCCTTGGCACACATCACGAGGTCGAAATGGCCGGCAGGTTTCCGAAATGACTGGCAGGTTTCTGAAACGGCTATGCAAGTTAGAGGTCTAAATTCTGTTGGCATAGCCTCGGTCGGTCTGAAAATTATATTTGGACGACTAATGCCGTGCTGGTCTGTTGGCCAGAACGGTCTAGACGGGCTGCTAGGTCTAGTAGTCGGAGTGAGGTTTCATGCGGGACCTGTGTGTGTGCAGGGTTGTAACGCTTACCGCAGACTGACGGCTGCCATGCTTGTCGGCGTAGCCAAGAAGGCGGAGTCGCCGCTCAGCTGCGCTGAAAGCACAGTCGTCGTGTTACCCACTTAGGATTCCAAAGGAGCTTATTCCGAAGGCGACTCGGCGAGTATCATCTTGACTCCTCCCCGCATGCCTTTCGAGTCGGTGGATAGTCTCTTTGAGTGCACCCAAGCCGGGCCGTGAGGCTCACGCAGGTCCTCTAGACGAGTACCTAGTAGACGTCGCCGTGGTCTAGTACCATCGAAGGCAGCATGCCCGGCCTAGGTATGGACGCTTGCGCGGCTATGGCCTCTCCGCGGATCGGCTGGCCAATGGGCATAGCGGATAGCGGCTGATATCGCGAGTACATTGATCGAGGCGAGGGCGGCGTCAGATGGCGCGTAACCGTGTCCGGCGGCTGATAGTGGGTGCTGGGACGCGGCGTCACGTTCCTCCGCTCGCTCTCGACGTTGACGGCGGCGAGCGGAAAGGGAACGACGCCGGCTCGTCGAGCCATGTCTACCTCTCCGAGCTGCCAGTGTATGGCCTCGGCTGCTCGCCAGGGCACTGCGAGCTCCTCTGCCACCTTGCCCACATTTCGGGCTTAAACCTGTCACGCTTATGTCAGTATCCCACGGCATCAGTTAAGGTTAAGAAGCCTATTACTGGCGCTAAGTCCGGTGTCAGACATTTGGCTCCACATGGGTCACAGATGGCATCAGGCAATTGATGAGAATTATCTAAAGAACAAAGGAAAGGAAAAGGATTGGATGCACACATTCGTGCAACAATATATACCTCGATCATTGAGGCGAAGCCGCGGCGGAGCCGCGGCGTAGCAGTGGCAGTGGTCGGGTATGAGGTTTCAGGAGCTGTGATACATGACACGGTCGTGATATGCGACATCCGGGGATGGGCTAAGAGAACGACTTACCTCTCGTAGAGCCTCGCAAGCTTGTTTTTGCGCTCATCGTCCCACTCGCTCCGTCGTTCGAGGTAGTTTGGTAGTGAAGGCGGCAACTTTATAGTGCTTCGCCCCGGCGGCCGCTTGGAAACATCCTTCCACTTCATGCCACTCCCCCGAAGCTCGATAATGAGGGCGTCTTCTTCCGGGACCACTTGCTCTTCTTCTTGAACGGCTGGTCCGGAATCTGTGGGGGCATACCGCGACGCGAATTAGGCATTGAGGCAGTCGAGACAGCCGAGATGCCCCAGACCGGGGGCTGCCCATAGGCAGCTGGCGGCGCTATCGGCTGAGGCACGGAAACGGATCGGGGTTGCTGGGTATTGACGGAGGGCTTATTTAAGTGGGAAGACTTAAGGAGAGAGACGGTATTTACGTCGAGGAGATGCTGTCTGTCGCCGCGTCCGTTGGCAAGAGCCCCGGGGTCGCGAAGCAGACCAACGCCGTGGTGGGAGACGGTTGGGAAGGGCGACTCTGCCCGCGCCAGGCAGAGCAGACCCTGACTTTTGAGTCGGGCTAGCTCCACGACCGGGTGCAACGCTCGGCCTTAGCTGAGTCGCGAATAGAGACGAGCTGCGTTGCCTAAACGACGCAGTAGCAAGGCACAGGCCGTATCTGCCGCCGTATGGCGACGACGCAAAGGACAGGCGACAAATAACGGGGTCTTATTAGACAAGTCGAGGATGAAGGCTGCGAGACTGGAAGCTCGAGAGCAGAGTGGGCTCGGAAAGACAGTCGACAAAGAGCTATAATATCGCGGATGCTTATCGTCAAGGAGCTTTCTGGCAGCACGGGGTGAGGGAGGAGAGCAGGCAAGAGAGGAAGAGAAAACAAAAGTAAGGTGTCTAGGGACGGTCAATGACCCCTATAGTCGTGTTTATGACGGCAAACAACGATTTTTGATTGTTGCTGTCGGGGTTTATCATCCTCTCGCGAAGAGAGGATGCAAGTGATGAATTCATTAAGTTCCTTGTCCTTAGATTCTTCCTCTCTAACAAAAAGTGACTTCTTATAGTTCCCTTCACCTGTGGCTGCCTTGTGGTGGCGATGTCGCCACCCAGGCCGCCTAGATGACGTTGCCATCTAGAAGGTTCGATACCACCGCTTACCAACGACATTATTCATCCTTCTCAGTCACCTTTGCTAGAGTCAGCCCGACTAGGTAACCTTCGGACCTAGATCGTTAACCCGTTTTCACGACACGTCCACCAGACTCCAGTGGGCGGAGATGAGGGATAGCGAGGAGCGGCAACGGGCAATTACGTCAAAAAAGGACGAAAGCCGGGTTCCTGCAATCAGGCAGATCAGGTCGCAGCGGAAACAAGAGTGAGAAGTGATAGTGGTAGGGCAGGGTTCTTCTAGGTAAAAAAAGAGGCTTGGAAGAGCCGCTCCTGGGGGGGAGGGACCGCAGAGGAGAGAAGACGTCAGACAAAGAAAGTTAATGCCCGTATCTTATTTGGCACGCAAAGTACAGCAAGAAGGTATATACATACATACAAATGGAAGTGGTATAAGGCCAGGCTAGGTAGGCATGGGGGTACCCAAGGCAGACAGGGGCCCAAAATGGGCGTTTTAGTAGGAAAGGAGTAAGAAGGGAAGGTGTGGGTTTGCAATATGTTCTCAATGTCGTGGTACTCGCGAGTCGTCCCGTCGCTATCGCAAATCGTATTGTCGCACGAACTGCCTCTATGTTGGGCGTCCATTTCGTGTCATCTGAAAGTGACTTCCCGCCTAAGTAGAACGAAAGGTCCCCTCGCCGCATCTCTGTGCACTGTATCATCTCGTGTCGGTGCGCTGCCCATTGCCTACACTGAAATAGGAGATGAGCAACTGTCTCTGGCGATTGTCCGCATGCGCATTGCTGCTCTCGCGAAGGAGAGAGCAAAAGTGGGCATAAACGTGGATAAAGGGACTTTTTGAAGGTCGAGTATCGTACGATCAGATATTGTGTTTTTTTTTCGCTCTCTCCCCCGGTTCTCACGAAGAGAGCATGCAAGTGGGCATTGATTGTTTTAATAATAGGTATGTTCTTGTTGTCTTCCGTCGTCTCTTTTTTTTCTTGCAATGCCCTCTTCTAGGCTCCCTATTTATATCCCTTGGTTCCCTATTGATATCCCTTTCTCAGTTGTATAGGTACAATATCTAGGAGGCTGGGCTCCTTTCCCCAGCCCCCCCTTTGCATACTGACTTTCCCTAGTCGCCGAGGGCTCTTTCAGCTTCCCCCGTATATGCAGTCTCTCTACAGCCTATGTGGCTGCCTAATGCGGTCTCCTAATAGCCTTCTGCAGCCTCAGAACTCTCTGCAGGCTGCCTCTCTGTCTAGCCTGTCGGGGCCCTTAGCTGTATACCCCTTATGGTCACCCCGAGCTCAAGATCTCAGACGTGCTTCGCGACACCAGTTGCCTCCTTTTCCTTCCAAACAGCCCCTTTTATATCCCTCCAAGCTTCTCCCAAGTTGATATCCCGTTTTCAGGTATAGTATACATTCTATCAGGAAGAGGGCACTTCTTGCCTCTTACTGAAGGCCACGTAAGTCATCTACGTCAGCAACATCAGCTCCATCTCCCCGATCGAATAGCTCTTCTAGCTATGAGATCGATAGTTCAGTCTCTCGAGGTCCCCGAGCCAGTAAAGCTATGCCGGACTCCTCAAGGGTCCCCGTTCGAATAGGAGATCCTCCGGACCCCTCAGTGGTCCAGGAAGAAGAAAGAACAGTCTGCAGACTTCCCATCTTACCTGGTTTCAAGCTGTATTACCTAGAGAGACCTAGAGACCTCAACTCGTTCGGACCTTCTTCTCGACAGCTGCGATGCTGCTGCTCAGATGTTAGCAATTTAGGTACAAAGTTACTGTTTAGCGGGTCCAAGTGCACTCAACAGTTCATGGGATATGTGTCAATTGCAGCGCTCCTGTAGGTGTCGCGAAGACCACTGCGTCATGCAGGCAAAAGCGGAATGCACACTCCAACAAGTGCGCTGCAATCAACACATATCTGACCCCGCCTTCCCGACAGTAGGAGCGCATTCCACTTTTGCCTGCATGGCGCGACCGTCTTCGCGACAGTTATGAGCCCGTATTGCGCCAAAAGTAGAACACGTGCTCCAACAAGTGGTGCGCACTTGATAGCTATGACTGGTGGACATGACAGGGTGGCTCGACCCTATATGACTGTGTGACAGCCCGGGAGGGAAGGGGCTAACCCCTTGCCTGTGTGCGGCAGCTGACGGCAGCTCACGACCGAGTAAATCTTGGCTCCCATCGCTAGTCTCAAACGACAGCGGCTCGCACGGACGCGAACCTGTAGCGGTCCCACCACAAAGTGCTTCTAGAAGGCAGAATATAAGGTTAAGCTACCCGTGCCACGCCCCACTTTATTGTCATTCGCAGAACTCGTGTTGAGAGACGGGAGCCAATAGGCTCACGGTACCCGCGAATCTAATATTTCGCGGGCACCGTGACAATGACTAAGCAG